AAAAAAAAAAAAAAAAAAACAAAAATGGCAGAAAAAGCCACACATCAAACAAAACATACAAGGAAAGCGAGGGACGGTGTCCAGGACACGACACGGCTAATATCAACAGCATCAAGGTGCGAAGGAGTAAGCAACAAAAAAAAAAAACGAAGGTGATGTAGATGCATGCATGCTAGGCTTGTTATAGAGATTGAAAAAAAAAAAAACCAACCACAAAAGAAAAAAACCACAGAACCACCCAAGTCTCGCGGATGCAAAAGGCAGGAACAAGACATCTCACATATGTAAAGTCCCCGGACTGAAGGAGAAGGGACTCCGGGGTAAATCGGGCGTGCGCGGACTCAGGGCCTTGGCGAAGAGCTCCTCGCCGGATCCGGATTCCGTGCTGGAGGTGTGTGTCATTGTGCCTAGTGAGGTGAAGCCGGTGTGGTGGAGGAGGTGGTGGTTTTGTTGCAGGTGATTGGGGGATTGGTGGGTTTGCAGGGATTCGGGGGGGTAGTGGACGATGATGGGGCGGATGGGCGGGTCGGAGGGTGGTTGGGCGGGTTGATTGTTGTTGGTGGTGGTGTTGTTGTTGTTGTTGTTGTTGTTGCTGTGCAGAGTGTGGAAGGAGGTGAAGGAGGAGACGGCGACGTCTGGGGACTGCGGGGAGAGGAGATGGCGGGCGGTGGCGCCGGCGTGGCCTGTTTTTGTTTGGTGAGTTAGCCTGCGGACTTGTAGTTGGGACCAGGAAAGACGGTTGATTTGAGTGGAAGCGAAGACATACCCTCTCCCTTTGGCGATAGCTCCTTCTCACTCGTCTGCAACTTCAACCCCCTCAGCTTCTCCCCCAGCTTCCCCCCACCGGTGGTACTGGGCGACACCGGGGTCGCCGGCCCCATGGGATAATGCGGATCCGGATGGCTGGCCGGCGGGCTGCGCTCGGGGTTCAACGAGACCCCGAAGTTGGTCTCGATCCATTCCTTCTCCTGCAGCGCCATGTGCAGCGCGATCCCCTCGACGTTCGCCCGGCACTCGTCGCGGATCTCCTTGTCCAGCACCTGCAGCCGTTTCTTCGCCCAGATGGTGTGCAGCACCCCCTTCTTGCCCGCGGACCGGCCGTCCGCTCCCAGCTCCGGCGGGAAAATCGCGGGTAGGGGGTTCAGGTGCAGCGGCTCGGGGGCTTTTGCAGCGGTTGGGTCGTGGTCGGCCGGGGCGGCTTCGTAGAAGAGCGTCACGGTCGGAGGGATGGTGACGTGCGGCGGGAGCAGGAAGTAGAACCGGCGCGTGTTGTCCTTGGTCTTCTCGTCGGCGGGGAGGACCGCCTGTTTGCCTTCCCAGGCGACGTGCCATGAGCCGCCTTTGCTGTTGTTGCTGTTGTTGCTGTTGTCGGTGGAAGTTCGGCCGAGATCGTCGTCTTCCCACTCGATCATCAGGATTTTGGTCCCGTCGTTGCCCTTGCCGGCTTCGAATTCGAAGCGAGCCAGCGCGGTGATGGAGATGGTGCCATCGGGGACGCGCGACGGGTCGAGGGCAGCGAACTCGCTGTTGTTGGGGGTGAAGGGCGTGGGGAGGGAGTATGCCATGGCTCTTGGGTGTTTTGTTGGTACTTTCGTGGTTGGAGAGTACGGAGGACGATGCAAGGTGAGAGGGGACCTTCTAGGCGGACCGGACGAGGGCAGTGGACTGTCGCTGATAAGATGAACGAGGCATCTGAAACGGGGATGCAGATGCTGGACTCCTGGAGGGACTGAAACCGCCGATCCCGGGTCAGACGAGATGGAATGATTCCGCGTGTTGGGGTGAAACAGAGCGACTGATGATGCCTGGTCGTTTGTCGTCCACGAGGATCAGAGAAGATGGATGGAGAGTAGATGAGAATTTGCTGGTGATGGTGGTGGAATGGATTGAATGACCGATTGATTGATTGATTGACTTGCATTATTGACTTGATTTGAACTGATTTGATCTGAGGGGTTCTGAAATTGATGGGTTTTTTCTAATTATAGATTCAGCCTTGGCATCACACCGCAGCTTCAACGCTCGCTCTTGTTTATTGCCCCCACCCCTACATTCTTCTTCTGTTTTCTGCCACTTCCTGATCACTGCGTTGCTGTTTACTGCTGGGCCCTTCATCATGGTAGCAGACATGCAAGTCGAGGAGAACAGATCCAGGGTGATGCCTCATGCTTGGAAGGATGCCTGATTGGCCTCGTGGTATACTGGATGTACCCCACTTGAGGTACGAAGAGCGATCCAAGGCAGAAAACGAGAATGAAGAGGGGCATGAAAGAGACCACGAATGGTGGAGCGACAAAGAGGAGTCGGGCCAGGCATGTCAGCAATATCCTTGGTCACGGCGACCAGCCTGCTCCTGTTCATTGTGTTGTTCGTCATGGATCACTGCGGGAGTGATCCCTCCATGATATACTCATGCGAGAAGGGCGCTCTCCCTCTATAAGCAACCATCTAGCCAACAAGTGGTCAACCACTTCATCGCCGTGTGCCTATCCCTCCTCTTGCATCGGACTGAAAACGTCCGTAACTTTGGTCATGGTAAGCAAACCCCAAGGTACAGAACAGTACCATACCACCGCCGCAATGCGAGGAGCATCTGGGCGGCAATACACGGGTGGACAGTCTTCAAGAAAGGGTGATGAAGAGATGCGATCATGCAGGGAATTGTGCGCTTAAACTGCCCGAAGAAACGGACGCGCCGCCCATGATTTGTTCTATAATTGTCCCCCCGTGCTGTGAGTATCACCAAAGGAGACGAATCGTCTACGTTCATTGGCAGACTCTTGTTCGGAAGAAAGAGAGGGGCAAAATTCAACGCACTCGAATTCTGCAATCATCATCACAAAAGTCAACATCATCAACATGACTAAGCGCTGGAATATTGATGGGCTGGAAGTACAGCTAAGAATCACGGCGACCCAAGCCATTCGTCACGGACTTGCGAAAATGCCGATGAGGTCGAGGACTATCACTGGTTGGCGAACGCACGCTCCACCAGTCAAATCAAGATTCAGTCCTTGGGAATTGTCCGGAGGATATTGTTATCGAGAGGGGTGATCCATTCGATGCACTGGCAGGACTGACGACAATCTGATCCTGTGTGTTGTTGACGTTCGACCTCGGATCCAGTCAGTTGCAATGTAAATCCAAGCAGCATTGTCGACGACCACACCTGGACCAGCGTCTGCGTTCATCATCAATGATTCTCATGATCTCCGGCTCCAACCTCATGATATAAGCTCCCAATGCAGCGATCGCAACCCACTGTATGGCCCATCGTCATTGCAGCCACCATAAGAGCGGTTACCAAAAATATCCCCCGCCCACCCCTCCATCCCAGAATAGCAGTGCGCATACATAGCCTTAGCATCTTCTGCACTTAGCCCAATCAGAGCATCTCATTCAGGGTCTCCTCCATCATCCAAAATAACTTCCTTAGTCTGTGATGAAAATAGAAGGCCTGCAGATATCCGGGAGTTTTCAGGACACTACCCACCCTTCAGCAAGTGTGGATGTGTGTCTGGCGCTCACGTCTGCCACTCACCTGCTGACCTTTGCACTGTTCGACTATCCTGCAGACTAGAAAACCAGCCGCCCCTCCCTCCTTCCACTGCGGAGCACAGAAGCCTACTGCACAGTGTTATACTGTACATCCTGCTGTCGAGTTACGCGGTAGTCAAGTGAATCAGTCAGTTAGTCAACCAATCCATCCTCAGTCTGCAGAGAAGACAGAAAAGATTCCAACCGGATCAGGCCCAACTGCGAGACGCTCTCAACCTACATAGTACATACATAGTACTACTCCCTGCCCCGCTTTCCTCTCTGCCCGCCTCTGCTGAGTAGTTAATTCCACTATTAATCCCAGTTGAAAGTCATCACAGCTTCTCCTTCCCCCTTCCCGTCAGACGACTAAACCGATTGAGTAAGGTCAACTCTCTGCACGAATCTGGTATATAGAATTTTTCCAAAGGATGGGGACGCGTGCGATGATCCCGTCCGAATGAGGGGAGGAGGGGAGGAGGGGGCGAAGTGCGAGCGGCTGAGATCACGGCGGCAAATCCATGGGGTTGTAAGGCGTTAGGAGTGTGATGAACCGAGTTTGAATTTCTACATTGAGTTTTTGCTGATGGCTTTTGTTTTTTTTTTTCGGGGCGGCTGGGAAATCCTTCACAAAGGTTAATTGCAAGGGAGCTTGTTTTCGTGGTTAGGCTTGTAGGTACAAGTATGCTGTATCTTGTGTGTCCTCTCTCGATCTCCCGCTCTTTCTTTTTGGGTGTTTTCGATGCATTGGATTTGGATATGGTTATGGATATGACTTGGGAGAGTACCCGATTCCTTAGGCTTGTTTTTCTAAATATAGTTTACTTCAGTACTAGGGACTGATACTAGCAGGGCTGTTGTACATCAGCTTGAGGTAGGGAAGTACTTACTGTACAGTACTCCGTAGAAGTACTTCGCTGGGACCACATCGTGGCAGCTGCAGTTAAGCGCCGGCACTAGACTTCTTGGGGACGAGGGTGGGTCTGGTCGGCGCCGCTTTTCCCCCTCCCGGTTCTGGAACCTGGAACCAATTGGTTCCGCCGGGATAAGGATCGATGCGGGCGGGGTGAGTTTAGATGACGTGTGGTGGGTTTTGGCGCCCGAGGGGGGGATTTCTTACTTACTGGTTGGCTCGTCTCGTCTGCATGGCCAGGCTACCATACTACTTATCTTACCTAGGCTGCTACTCCGTAGCTGAGGAGGGATACTAGTCCCTAGCAGCTTCTAGCACACGGTCTAGTTGGGTGTGGTAGGTTCTAGAGGGATTGAAGGTCGTGGTGAAGGAAATCGCGTTTTGGAGGCACGCGTGCCTATTCTACCGGTGGCATATAACAATCTTTCGATCTAGCATTGAGCTCGGGGATATGATACCCGAGCATCGAGGATAGTAGAGCGCCAACGTGCCAGACACCAGACCAGCCCTATCACGGAGGGTGAGTGGTGGTTGGTGGTTTTCTCGAAGCCCTCGCAATCTCTTCACTAAGATCTTACATGGTTTTCTATTTACAGCTCAATCTCAATCTAATGTATGTACAACTTCAGAAATATCCACCCCTGAATCCCGCTTGCCTGCGCCCGCAATTCTTCAGCGAGCAAACATGAAACAGCCAGCGCGCTTTGCTGGCCAATGACCTGGCCCCATCGCGAGGTGCTAAATCACAGGTTGATCTAGGTGCGGCCACTGGGGGCAGGCTGGAGCAGTGCCCCGAGCAGGGTGAACCCGGCGACCGTTTTGCACGGCAGACTTCGACCTTAGACTACCCTCCACGGGGCGAATCACCCGGAAACTTTGGACTTGGACGCGGACGCGGATTAGAGTGTAAGTGTTAGTCTTAGTTAGTTAAAGGGTGGCTCAGTTCACGACCTAGCAAAGGGGGTGCGGTGCTCACGATCTCTGGGCGTAGATGTTCCAATGGGGAGGGTAGGGTTACCGCCGTGCGCTCGCGTTGGTATCGCGTGTATTGGTTATTTACCGTTACCGCTGATGGTGGGTAGGTTACCGTACTGGACACCACCGAGCCTACGATGTACGTACAGTATTTGGTCGTGATGAGCCTCTTCTTTTTCCCCTGCACCTTGGTATTTGACTTTCGATGCTGGTGATGGTGCTGTATCTTACACTGGATGGGTCAGTGATTCAGGTGCGATTCTTACCAGCTAGGAGCCATTCATACATACATCTCTCTGTATCAGTATCAGTATCTATACAATAGCCCTTCCTTCACCTCGTACAACAAACCACAACCATCTAGTTCACACCCCTCGAAGATTGACCACCAACAAGACGACATCGAGTGTCTCCAACGTCCTAGTCATGTTATCCATTCTACTACGTCTATAAGCCAGATTAAACCAGCAATCCCATCATTCCCCGCCAGCACAAACCCCCCTCACCAGTTAACCCGCGCCCACGAAAAAGGTTTCCCTCCCGTCTTCCCCGGGGTAGGATTTACTTTGACTACGACTTTCCTCTCTCCAATAATCATCTTTACCACTGCCTCGGGTCGGGTCACGACCTATCCCACTGAGATAGGGAGAGTGGCCAGCCCGCACCCACACCGTCTCACCCGCCGCGAGAGCCTGTCACTTTAGACGGTGTCAGTGCGCGCTTCCGGATGCTTGGGTCCCGTTAGACCGTAGTGCTCTTGACTTGGGAGGAAGCTAGAGGGTTGCGTTGGGCACCTAACTCGTAAATCGCGCTTATACGTGCTTTCCTGGGAGGGAAGGGAACTACCGGTATAACAGGCTACTCGAGGGGGACTGAGGGGGCTGATGCGTTTGTGCTTGTATTGGGGGGTAGAACTGGGCTGTGGATGGGGGTTCTCTGGATCGGGAGGATCTCTAGGGTAAACACGTGGTTGCGTCTGTAGGTGAGAATGGGATTGAGGGGATCTTGGGATCTTGGAGGGGGGTCCGGAGGGTATAGGTCTGGGAGGGGGGCGTGGTGCATGCGGCGCAGATGCCTTGCAGGAGGCTCGGGGTTGGTGGTGAGGTTGTCCTGAAGTCAATTGTGGGTTGGAGTGTGCGTTGTTCGAGGGGGTTTGTATGTTGGTACGTATGTATCTTGGTCGGACTGTGTTGATGGGAAGAAACAGGGTCGGTCGTTGGAATGCTGATTGATGTACATGTAATGAACTAGGTCGCTTATAGTAAGGAGCTGATACTATACCCACGGTCAACGTCACTGGTAGATCAGACTCCACGTACACATACTCCGGACATGTCGTCATTGGCCAAGTCTGCGCGTGTTTGCCAATGAACCAGTCACAAGCTTGTAGCTGCTCCCTGCTGGTGTTTTACCGGGTCTATGTTCATTAACGAGAGAAGTAGACTTCCATGTCTAAGGATAAGTGATTTGCAAATGTCTCTGAGAGAGTGGATCATATTTGTTATATCCTAGCCAATAGTGAATCCGCTCCCCAACTCCCAACGCCAAACCCAGCGCTCCCTAACCCAGACAAGAAAAAGCGCCTTGGAACTAAAGGAAACCAAACTTTCACGATTCATCTTTCTCCTCGCTATGCTTTCTCCGCTTCCCCTTGGGCGGATCCTCGAGCTGCGTCCGCTTATATGTCACGGTGTGGGTGACCACATGCCGCACGCTCACCCGGCTGGCGGTCGCGCTCCGCGGGCCCTCCCAATACCGCAGCTTCCAATCCGACGGCGAGTAGGGCGACAGGATCGAGTTCGCGCTCCGGGGCGTCTCCAGCGTGGGCGAGTACCGCATGGCCGGCGGGATGCGCAGCCGGCGCAGGTTCATCATATCCCGCCGGGTCGGGGGCACCGTGCCGTACGGCGTCGGCGGCGGCAGGGACGCCGTCGCGGGTCTGGTGGTGGCATCAGAGAAGTTGAACGAGCCGCTGACGGCACTGGCCGGTTGCGAGGTCGGGGTCTTCGTGGCCTTGTCCCAGACGAAGCGCGTGGTGGCCCCATTGCCGTCGGCCGGGGAGAAGATCGGGGTCAGCGCCTTGAGGAATTCCGTGTAGGCGGCGGGTGGGGTGATGGGCGTCGACAGGCCGTCGTCACTGCTGTTCCTTGCTCCGCCCCCTGATAGACTGGCTCCGGAGTCGGCTTGTAGTTCGGAGGGGAAGGTCATCGTGCGAGGGGTCTGTAACGGGTGGAGGATTGGCTTCGCCGGCATTTTGGATGGATGTAGATGTGTCGAAGGTCCTCGAGAGTTTAGGTAATGTGTCGAACACAAAGAGTGCTCAGAGGCTCAGAGTGTCTTGGAGAAAAGAAGCTCTCGAGCCAGGTGACGATTTGTTCTGACGAGAATGCGCCTGACCTTGTCACGTTGTGCGTGCGTGGCAGTAGACAAGGGTGACCCGTCGTATATAGATTGAGTCTGTATGAGACAGCCGACACCCGGGGAGAAGTAGGCAAGCCGGGACTAGGTGGACTGAAGCGATCCAACCGGGAACGTCGCAGCTGTGATAAGAATAGAGAAAGACCGGGAAGGAACTTTCTTTCGTGATATCCTCTCTCTCAGGAGAAGAAGTAAAGGAGGGGGGAGGGAGGTTAAGGGATGGAGGGCGGGCGAGACGTGGAGGGCGAGGATTATTATTTATCTCGAATTGACGCCGACAGCCCAGACAGGAGAGGCAGGCGGATTTCGCGTACAGTACGGGTATTATGACGGTAAAAGAACGAGACGCATGTCATGTAAGTATGAGGGTCTGTCACGAATTCAAGGTCAGTGTCACGCGCTAGACCTAGAATGGCTTGACCCCGAGAGGTGCGCGGCTGCTGCATCGAAAGGACCCCGAGTCACCCTTTCCCACACTCCTTTCTCCATCTATCCGCCTCCACACGTTTCAACTCACCCAAGCTGGCTGCACAGAGGTGTGATCTCCAATGCAATGGATCATCAGTCTGCAGAATTGACTGGCGTGGATTGGCTCCCGCGAGAAAGAGGGGAAGACGGTGTTTCGCTCGACTGCAGGTTCAGATCGGTTGATCTGCAATGATGTGTGACAATTGACGAGAAGGTGTCATCTACTCGGTCAGATGAGATGAAGCTCAAACATTCATCGGGACCATCCTCTTTATAATCATTCATTAAAGGGCTTGGAAACTGGTCTCTATTGCTCGAATAGCCCGAATATACAATGCTGCAAACTAAAGACAAGGCCGAGATACTTACTGCCTCAGGGATTAACGCGCGCTATTTTCCAGCGCTAAAGCTCATCCTCTCCTTGAGCCACCGCACAATATGTACAGTACATTATGTTCCTCATCAAAGTACGTTCGATCCAATTGACTGCGCGGAAAACCATCCCAGGTCAGAAATACTCAGGACCCTGGTCGTTATCGTCCGCGTTAATGCACACATCTGCCGGTCTTACCTAGTGGCGGCTCGCCCGGTGATTCCATCGTGCAAATCGTCAATCAGATGGACATTACACCTATGAGCTGTCTCTCTGAGAGCTTCCTGCTGGGAGCTTCAATTCTATTGTCAATCTAGCCTGGCGGCTGGATCTCCCCAGACTTCCACGCGGCTTGTTTTCATACTTTATCTTCATCTCGACTCTGCCGGGTTGGCGCCTGCATTATATCCTCATGCATCCGGACCTCTTCAGTAAAATGAACGACGATTGGCCAAGGACTGATATCAAGGCACTGTCAGTCACTCCGTTGCCATGGCATGACGGACTATGCGCGCGGGGTCTGTGACTAGCACCGTGCTCAGGCTCGCAGGGGCCTCCCCTCTACCCCTCTGTGGGCAAGAGTGCTCGACCCTCTGGAGTCGTGGCCCTGGTAGAGTATGCGCATCCCCGCTCTTCTTGCAGGCTGGCCTATGTTGGTGGGTCTATCATGATATCCAATGTTTATCACACCATGCTGCAGAGAAGGTAAACATTGAGACACCCGTTTGCACAGGAAGTGTCGCATTGGAGATCAAAAAGTTGACAATTATCTTCATTATTTACCTCGGTAGCCATGAGGAAGGACTGGTGTGCTCGTACCGTTATGTCCCATTGGCTACTCATCAACCCTGGTTGGGAATTCTCTCACACCGTCTTGTTTTTCGGTGCTACAACCAACCAACCTTTCCACTCGGTGTTGGATGCAAGCCCACACCTGAAGCATGCAGCTCGACCTTTGACTGCTTGCCATGTCACCCTGGCATTCAATAATGATGGATCAAAAGCTAACGGATGGTTCGAGACCGGACCTTGTTGAGTGTGAGGATAAAAACGCTCACCGTTCCATTCGGATGTATGACAGCCAGGATATAGCTTCTCGCGTTGAAACTTGACACCCAATCCCAGCTGTGTTATGGACTATCATTGCACGAACGGTTCTACCAGAAGGTCGAAGATTGATTGGGTATGCAAAGTTGGGGAAGATGATAGAAATCGATGTTGACCAATTGATTCCCCCGAAAGCGAGAATATCTGCGTGCCACAATCATGCACCCAACCCATTATACCCTTTTCTGTCCCAATCCTTTGGCGTATCGCCTGAGTGGAATTCTGCGTACAGTGACATTTGTTCCAGCGACTCGCACTCGGAAACGTTAACGTAGGCCTAGGAGGTCACAAGCACAGGGCACATTAAGAATACGACCTTTTTCATGCAGGTGAACAGAACTGTGGTCATGGGAACCAGGCCTTTCCATCTAAGTCGAGTGCTTCTACAGTTAGATTCATGTCTTCGGCGTTTTGAACACCTTAGAATCCTGGCTCCTGTCGCTCGACGGCCGTGACTGATCACCGCAGATGAACGACCTATGAAGTTGAACGAAATGCATTCCCCAATCTACCTGAACGCCATCTATCAGATTAATTCCCGCACTCAAGCCGAAGCACAATGTCCCCCATCTACCCTCAAGTCCGCTCCCGTCATAAATCCGCTGCCATCGGCCAACATGTACACCGTGGGCGCCTTGAAGTCCTCGGGCACGCCCAGGCGGCCCAGCAGCGCACCCCGCATCCAGGTCTCCTCCACCTCCGGCTTCTCCGCGAGCAGAGCATCCGTCATGGCGGTGCGAATGTACTGCATATGGACCAGTGGTTAGCGGTCATCACTCGATACATGAGGATATAAGAGAAAACCTACACCGGCGGATAGGGTGTTGATGCGAATGCCATATTGTCCCCATTCCTGCGCTACAGAGCGACACATCTGGTGGACGGCAGCCTTGGAGGAATTGTATGCTGTGCAGGTGAGACCCTGTGTGCGGCCGCTCTGTTAGCTTTTCTTTCTCCTGTCATGATTGGAAAGAAGGCAATCTCTTACTCGGTTGGCGATCTGCCCGGACATCGAAGCGATCATCACAATGCTGGCGGGGGTGTTCTGTTCCTTGAAGATGCGAGCGCAATGCTTGGCGGGGATGAAGGTGCCGATCACGCTAGAAGTACCGGCTCTTGTCAGATTTCACGCTATCCTCCCCACAGAACTGTGGACCTGGTGGTTGGAAGCTTACTTAACGTCCAACATCTTCCGCCACATGTCCACGGGGTACTCCAACGCGGGCACCATCTGCTGGATCCCGGCGCAGGTGATGAGTCCGCGCAAGGGCATATCACGGCCCAATGCCTCTGCGGCGATCTGCTCGAGAATCCGGCTTGTGGAGGCCTCGTCGGTGATGTCGCACGAGACATAGGATGCGTGGAGGCGCCGCGCGCGGGCGAGCTTCTGGACCGAGGCCCATTCTTCAGCACTGGGCGCGGGGAGCAGATCCAGGCACACGACGTCGCCGCCGGCTTCGATGACGGCCCCCGCCAGCACAATCCCCAGGCCCCGGCCGCCGCCGGTGATCGCGACCGTGCGATTGCCGAGCGAGAAGAGGTCGTTCGTGCGCCCGATGACCGGCGGCTGGGTTGAGTCGGCGACGGCGGGGGTGGTGCGGTCGAGAGCGACCTCGGGGGTGGTGTTGTCGGCGATGGAAGGGGACATGGTGGGAACTTGAGTAGAGAGGACTTTGCGTGCAGGCGAGGTGGTCAGGGTGAGTATGGGGCAAGGGGAGTTTAAATGAAGGTTTTCGTGGCGAGACTGAGACTACGGTAATCTGGGGGTGATGTGCAGTTGGTAAATGGATTGCGCTTATGCTTAACGTAAGTAGGAGGAATCTTGCTGTGGGACAGGACAGACCTCCTGTTAGAACGCATCTGGCTTGCGTTTCGCGCAGGGACCGTCTTCATTGCTGCGCTACGATTGCTGTGCCATCTGATCCACTGATCTATGGTAATAGCGCCGCTGTCCAGGAACTGCCTGTGATCTTGAAGGTACTGTATGTAGTACGCGAGCGGGTGGTGCTAAAGCCTCCCTGAAGGGGAAAGTCCGGGATGAATCATTGATTGAAACTCGTTGCTTTCCCGATTCCCTTCGGCTCATCCCACTGTGGGTCGTGCCGAGGCGCCAAAGATTTCCAAATTGGGGAATACACGAGCGCAAACTTGGCGATGCCCCAAACCCAAACCCACTCAGCCTAATTCATGAAGCGGAGGTTGATTGAAAACAGATGATGTCGTGCAGAATGGAGGTACTGTACGTACGCAAACATCCGACTTGATGCTTATGATCGTGCAGACTTCAATGACCAGGCCAACGTTTTCGCTATATTCGACTTATGATACAACGACGACAAGGCGCCAAACTGTTGAAGCACTGCAAAAGTTGTTTCGGGGGAGCATGAATCAACATCGAACAATGGAACCCCAGAGCACGCTATGGTTCCGTGTCGGACTATAATTCCTTGGAAAGAGGGTTTGTGTTTGTTCTCCGCTTCCCAATAAAACGACCCCGGGTTCCTCGTGTCCGTTCCCCGCAAAAAACCACCCCATGAAAATGACGTCCTACTCGCGTCCTTCTGCCCGTCTTTCGGCGATTTAACCCTACCCCAGCCCAGCCCAGCCCAGCCCTATAAAAGTAGATGAAGCCCCAATAGATCGGAGTCAATGTGAGCCCTAGTTTGCTAGCATTGTCTCTAATCTCAATTTCACGCCTATTTACGAAAAGACATGACCGTTCTCACTGGTAAGCCACTTTCGCTGGCTATCACTGCCACTGCAGGAAGTGGTTTCCTGCTGTGAGTCATCATCCACGCATTCGTTCATCTTTGTCGGTCATCGGACCAAGACTGACTGGAGATTTAGATTCGGATATGATCAAGGTGTTATGTCAGGTCTTTTGACCGGTACTGCATTCACTCGGACATTCCCGCAAATCGACACGACCTCCACAGGACATGGCAGTTCCTCACTGCAAGGCACGGTGTAAGTCGGCATCTGTGGAAGTGTTGTGTGCAGCGAGCTGACTGGGGCTAGGGTTGCTATTTACGAGATTGTATGTCGATGATACTTCAATTCCTTCCGTTGGCACACCAATTGACCATGGAGTAGGGTTGCTTCTTGGGTGCCCTGATTGCTCTGTTCGCGGGTGAGAAGGTTGGCCGTCGGATGTGTATCATTGCGGGTTGCATTATCCTCAGCGTCGGGGCGGCGATTCAGTGCAGCGCGTATGGTATCCCGCAGTTGATTGTGGGGCGGATCGTGGCCGGCGTCGGCAATGGTCTCAATACCAGTACAATCCGTACGTCGGCCCTCAGAGTACTCTCCTTTGGAATGCAGGCTGATGGGAGTAGCGGTGTGGCATTCGGAGTTGAGCAAAGCATCCAGTCGAGGAAAAGGGGTATGTGGCTTCTGTGTCAATATCGGTGGGGTCGGTGCTGACCTCGGATAGCTGGCAATCGAGCTCACAATCAACATATTTGGTGTCATGACGGCCTACTGGGTTGGTGAGTCTATCTGCTGCTTCCCAGTCCCGCCACACACATGCTAAAGTGCTCAGATTATGGAATGAGTTATGTCAACAGTGAAGCTCAATTCCGGTTCCCTATCGCGCTGCAGATTCTCTTTGCCATTATCACACTTCTGGGGGTGATTGTCTTGCCTGAGTCGCCTCGTTGGGTGAGTGTTGCTGCCCTGAAGGGCTTTTGGGCTTGGAAGCTAACACCAGAAAGCTTATTTCCCACGGCCAACGCGACAAGGCGCAGCACATTATCTGGGCTGTTCAGCCTAACGCGGACCAAATCTCCGAGTCTGACACCCTTGTCACGACAGAGGTAGAAGAGATCTCTCGTGCTATTGCGGAGGAGCAGGCAGCGTCGCAAGAAGGATCCTTTGGCATGATTTTCAGCAACGGGCCTCAGAAGTTCTTCTACCGCACGCTTCTGGGGATGGGGGGACAGTTCATGCAGCAGATGTCAGGAGTGAATCTGATCACTTATGTGAGTTAGAACAATCTAAACTGATAATGTCTTGCTGACCGAACGCAGTACAACACGGTAATCTTCGAGAACTCGGTTGGTATGAGCCACAACTTGGCCCTCCTGATGGCCGGTTTTAACGGGGTAGCGTATTTTATCTCCACCTTTGTCCCCGTCTGGACTATTGATCGGTACAGTTCTTGCACTCAAACTCACCAGCTCGGCTGCTAATTTGAACAGGCTGGGTCGTCGGAAACTTATGCTCTTTGCAGCGGCGGGACAATGTGGCTGCATGGCTGTTTTGGCTGGCACTGTGTATGATGGCGGCCATGCGGCCGGTATCGTGGCCACAGTGATGCTGTTTCTCTTCAATTTCTTCTTTGCCGTCGGCCTGCTGGCTATTCCGTGGCTATGTAAGTTTGGCTCCCACATCCTCCGCACACACGAAGGTTCACTGACCGATCGCACAGTGCCTGCCGAATATGCCCCGCTGGCGATCCGAAGCCGCGCTGCCGCATTGGCTACTGCCACCAATTGTACGCATGCCGATGGGTGAAAGGCAGGAGGAGGTATGCTGACTGCCATCTGTAGGGATCTTTACCTTCCTCGTCGTGGAAATCACGCCCGTCAGTATTGATAGCATTGGCTATCGCACGTATATCTACTTTGCTGGTAAGAATCCCCCCATATTAGGCAAAGGGATGTCAGCCAGGGCTAACGTGAGTCGCTAGTGTTTAATTTCTGCTTCCTCCCCTTGATCTACTTCTTCTATCCCGAGACACGCAACCTGACGCTGGAACAAGTGGATTTGCTTTTCACGGGAGAGAAAGTCCAGCTTCACTGGCACCCGTCGATGGGCGCAGTGGGCGATGTCAGTGAGCGCATGGGAGACAAGGAGGTAGGCATGATTGAGCATGTTGAGTAACGGGCAGATCTGTCACCTAAGGCGTACAGAGTTCGTGCTTGTTGTAAGTAGACTTGAGATATCCAGTATCTGCAGTATCCTCAGCATCTGCAGTAACTACCGTGATAATGAAGCAATTTTATTGAAAGCCTGGTGACAAGCACGAGCCCCTCCAAAACAGGCAGCTGCGGTCCGGGGAAACCCCCCGGGTTCTTCTTCTTCCTTTCCCCACATCTTCGGCGGTTATCTCTACCCGATCGGGAAATTTTCCTCCGCTCTCCATCTGGGATTCTTGTTGACCCCCGCAGTCTTCGTTTCTGCAGCTACTTTCCATCAATGCTGCGTACCTTGATCCTTTCCATCTTATCCCCAGATTTTTCTTTCTTTTTGAATCAAGCATGGCGGTAGAATCAGAGATCGATCTGTGCCACAACATGCGCGCTACCCTTGACACATCCCGCCTTGCGCCGCGCAGACGTACTCGTACCGGCTGTATCAATTGCAGCCGTCGCCGCAGAAAATGTAATGATTCACTCTCTCATCTTGCTGCTCAGAGGTCAATGAGTCAATGAACTGACAGTCCCAGGCGATGAAGCAAAGCCGGTTTGCTTGGGCTGCAAACGTCGAGGCGACACGTGTGAATGGCGGCGACTGGGGTCTTTTCGAGAGGCCAATCTCAAAGTCCTCGAACCCGAGCATCCTTCCATGAACCAAGCTGCCGGTCGTGCATCTCGTCAGAGTAAATTCAAGGTACAGTACAGTCGATCAGGCAGGTCAATTTGCAAATATCCACCTGACGGTTTCAGATCTTGAATGTTATTCCGGCGCGATCTGCCAAGACAACGGCCGTTAAGCAATCTCGACGATCAGTTGATGAGCGTGTCGCATCATCAGCACCCTTAGGAGATGGCGATAGCTATGAGAACCTCAACGCATGCACAGGGCCAAAGTCTCCTTCGCCGAGCACTCGGATTGTTGATCCTCCTCTCAGCCCGCGTACCGCGGAGCGACTCTCACCGCTATCGCATGAGAGCTTCCGAAATTCAGACAGACTGGATCCGCAACAGTCTGCCGTAGGTGTGGAGCGCGCAGCCCACAGTTCTCCAGATGCGTCTCATTACCATCCATATATGCATTCTAGCCCTGATTTTGTTGTCGATGAACTGGCAGCTGTTCAGAATCTGACGGGGAACCCCGGGCAGTTCCCTCATTCAGCGTCCAACGTCTATCATACGATACCCTCGCCCATGTTTGACCAGAGCGTGTTCTCTGATGCAGTCAGATTTACCAACGATGTTTTTGTTCCGGGATCTGCTTATGAGGCTCTTCATACTACTCTTCGCAACCGGCAGCTTTGGACTGCACGACCGGATATCCCAAGTCGGGGTAGAACTCCTGAAATCGTGCCGGAGCCCGGAATCACAGTGCTAGAAGATTGTGAAAGAACAGAATTTCTTGTCATCTCCCATCAGAGAACAGGGCGCGAGTTTGAGCTACACCCAGAACGCGAGAATGTTCTGTGGCAGAATTACCTCAACGAGATATGTCTTTGGGTGAGTTCGGTACGAGCGTGTTACAACGGTCAGCATATACTGACCCTCCAGCTTGACATGTTTGACAATCATCGTCATTTTGCCTCAACCTTTCCGCAAATGGCCAAGTCAGCACCTCATCTCCGCTACTCAATTCTAGCCCTGTCCGCTCGGCAGATGGAGCGGAAGCAGAACAGAAAGTCTCAATCCGAAAGTCTGTCCTTGTACCAAGAAGCAATCCATCTGCTTCTTCCTGAGCTTGAAAGCAAGAGCACTCCTGTCATCGCCTCCTGCGTCATTCTCTGCGTGTTAGAAATGCTTAGCTGTACGTTCTATTTATTCTTAAATCTGGCACATCTGATTGTGGTCACCAGGCAACCCCAAAGAGTGGCGGCGTCATCTCGATGGGTGTGCATATTTGATCCAGGCTGCTGAAATCAACGGATTCTCTGGCAAAGAGGAACAGGCACTATTCTGGTGCTTCGCGAGAATGGGTATGCCGACCGCCTGCTTTCTCTACCCCGAGTGATCTAATATGTTCTTAGACGTCTGCGGTGGCCTCATCTCGGAAGAAGAAACCATCATACCCATCCGCAACTGGATTCCGCGCGACATGACCCCAGCCGACGCTGCACAGCTGTTCCTGGCATCAAATGTTTATGCTTTCGATACATATGCCAATTACACTGTGTTCTTATGTGCGCAGACACTGGGCGTGCTATTTGGTTCCGCTCGACTTTCCACATACTATCACGGCATCCTGGAAGATGGCCACTCGTATGTTGACCGATGGCAACAACTTCTGCATGATGTAGAACAGTGGTACGAGAATCGTCCCAGCCAGATGAAGCCATTATTTAGTATCCCGACCGCGTCGGTTGGGGCGGGTAATGATAAGCCGTTTCCGACCGTGCTGTATGGGAATGGCGCTGCTAGTAAGTGACTCTCAAGCGCTCATATGTCGCCTTCTGACGCCTCAGTATCTGGGAACCAACTTTATCATGCCTGCGCTCTTCTCCTACTCCAGGGAAAGCCGAAGACCCTTTCAATGCAGCGACGCCGAACGGTAAGCTCTTGCTGGCGAGCTCCCCAGGCTATTCAGTCGCTAATATTGGATTTAGAAGTCTGTCCTCTGGCATGCACGACAGATCTGCGCTATTTCGGTTTCGAACACCCATCAGTGCGGAGTCCCACAGTATCACGATCTATAACAAGGCGCTAATCCATAGTAGTGGCTGTTGGACCAACGCATTGCAACCTCTCTGGCTGGCCGGCAAAGTGATGTCTCACCATTCCGAGCATGCCGCTATCGTTCAGACGCTGACGCGTATCGAGCGGGAGACGGGTTGGGCAACAAGCTGGCGAGCAGAAGACCTTCGAGAATTCTGGGGAGATGAGGAGGAAGCAGAGGAAATGGAGGAAAATATGCGAGTGGACATGCAGCGAGATACGAATCTGCAGACTCCGCCGAGTGTTCGAGGCAGCACATGTTCCCATTCCACCTTGTGAGACATACTCCGGATGCAGACGCGACAATAAATCAAGCAGGACGCCCCCCACAGCTAGTCGGACTAGTGCCCTGGAATGAGACCGAATTAGACGGCTAAAGAGGCACCAACAGGCATTTCACATGCTGAGACAGCGTATACATCAGTTTGCCAACGCGCAACCGGCAAAAATACCAGGCAGAGAGAGAGTTTGAAACAACGCAGCTTGACAAAATATTAGGTGGGAAAGGGTGGAGCCCCAAGTGCCAGCTCGGGCTTTTCCATGGCGGCAGCAGCTTGTGGTTTGTGCGATCCGCCACCAGATCCACCAGAGCCGATGTCTTGCTGCTGTCCACTCCACTCCACCAGTCACTCCACCGCTCCACCCTCCGCGCGATTCGTCATCTTGACACTCTCTATCTAGACTACGCCATCTTCAATGATCTATTCATGAACACAGCACAATCAATCCCTCAGGCTTCCGCCGCTACCCGCCTTAGTACAATCTCCAATCCCTGCGCTCCAACTGGCAGATCTGCTCCGTCATCGTTCAGGTCGAAGTATAGCCGCCAAAGCCCGGTTCCGGCCTCATCATCCGGCAATCGCACCGCCAGCCAGCCCTCCCACCCATCCAGCGTCAATCGCTGTTCATCCTTGGTCCAGTCAAAGGGCCCACAGACGTGGCCCTCACTGTCGGGTCGACTACCCCAACGCACTTCGTGGGTTTGCGCGTCTAGAAACACCCACCGTAAAGTAGGTGGTTGTTCGCCTGTTACAGTCACCAGCCCGGAGGTATTATCAGTCGGGAATGCTGGATGAGTATAAAACCCTCCATTGAAGGGAGACATCGTGCTCGGTGCCTGTTTCGTGATGTAGAGCTGTGTGTTCGCAATAGGACGGGTTGTTTTCATTTAACTTTGCTGCGACGTTTGAATGACGATTGTCTCCTGTAGACAGCCAGTAGCTGAGGAAGGAAGCAAAGGCAGACTCACTCGGCCGTCTTGACTCACAAATACTTTTGCGTTCTGAATTTCTTCGTGCTGACTAGGGGTCCCTTGGGTGAGCGAGCAGCTGGCAATTAGATGGCAGCGCTGCTTGCGGGCTGATGCTCGTCGATCTTCTTCATGGTCGCGGGTGTGCTGGGAAGCTTCATTCAGGCCAATCATGGTGGGCAGCAGAGCTGCCATTACTGCAATTCCTATCACCATGGTGGCGGGCGTTGCTGGTTGCGTTGAGAGGATGTGAAAGAACGAGTATGACCATTCGATAGATATTCTAGACAAGGCCGACGATTGCCTTCTGCCCACGCCAGGTGAGAACCGTAAGCATTCTTCCAGCTTAACTACGAGGTGAGGTTAAGTGTGAGTTAAATATGACTGGTTGGCAGCTACAGGTGGTAGGTGGAGTCTGCTCCATCCAGAGCGCCGCGTCGCTGCCAGGCAAGGTAGCTTCACCTTGTGATTAAACGGCGATGAGGTCACGCTTTACAATACTCCATAGATCAATTATGCTCTCTTGTTCGTCCTTCAGGCTGTCATGCCTGCCTCTGAAATAAGCTCAACCTCGTCCACGTCTTATTTTTACTTCCAGTTCTTCTTGCCTGATCACCTCTGCGCTCTACAGCCGTCAACGCCAGTGCCTCTGCTCTCTCCACCTACCGAATCAGTTGCACCGGGATCTGCTCAGACTGTCGAAATGGCCGAGTCCATTACCAGGTATGTCCTCTTCTCTTGTCGGTCCTGGGGCAATTCAACTTAATCTATCTGTCTCATTCTTCCACCTCCGCCCGATACATGTACATGATGTCCGGCATGACCCTGACGCTTTCACCAAGTACTGGACGAAGCAGAAATAGAAGAGGAAGAAGACAAAGCATGGACAATATCCGTCTATAAAATCATCTTCACCCTCATCTACTTCTTCACTTCCTTCTGCACTTCCACCTCCACCCAATCACCAAGCCATCACCCTTCCTTTATTACCTTCCAAAGCCCTCCTCCTCTTCATCTGCTGCTTGCTTGTTCTCCACCCAAATCTCCCTATGACTCCACAACCACAACTAAATCACTAACCACCCCGCCTCTCCCGCCACTGCCGGAACCAGCCCCCCCGACACCCGCCCCACCGGCGGCCGCAAGAACAGCACCAGCAAAGACCACCCGGAGGATGAGCTGGACTCCTCTGCCCCTGCCGCGGCCGAGAGCCTCACAACGGAACCCCCTGCCGCCGCCGCCGCCGCCGCCGCCGCCGCCGCCACGACCACCACCACACCCAATGGCCTGGTCCCGAACAGCGGGATGAAGGCGCCCGGGGCCACGCAGGAGGAGGACGGCAAGGAGAGTCTACGGATTCGGATCCATTTGAACCTCCATGCGAAGGTCAAGCTGGAGTTGGATGCGCAGCTGTATGGGGATATTGTGATTGGGTTGTTGTGATCATCGTTTCGGGCTAGAAGGATGTATATAGTTCGGATGGGATTTGGTGGTGAGAGTTTTTTATAGCTGGGAATTGACTTGAGTTTGAGGGTTCCAGGTTGAGGTTTGGGGCATAGTCCGCTCGACGCTGTTGCGTGTGCGGTTGGGCTTACTTGGGTTTGGGTTTATTTCCTTTAGAGCTGGGTGTGGTGGTTTTTGGGCGTGAGGATGGTGTTGGCTGAGTGAGTGTGATGGTGGTTGATGACGGTAATCATACTTTTGGAATAATGACTTTCGACGCAGATTACCTTAGTTCTCTCGAAGATACAGTACCTAGCAGTATTCTTACTCGTTCTTACTCCACCATGTCATTAGTCAAGCAGTCTTCTCCGCGCATCTGTCCACTCTCACTTTAGGGTTTGGGGAAGATGGTCACGCGACACAAGGCCTCGACAGAACCTCTCAACTCTCGGCGGTGGAAACTCCACACCCGTTGCCCAAGTGACTCAGCCGAGAGACCAAATGAATAAGCAGAAAAAAAGCCGTCATACTCCATGGACGGTGGCTGGGGTTTCTAGGTTCATGAACGTGACTCAGGCAGCGAATCTCAGGAGGCCCGGTCTCCCGGGACTACACGAAGCCATTGCGGGGATATCTGACCACGATGATTCCTTTCTTTTGTTTTCTTTGAAATAACTCCATGGAAAACTGGTAAGTACCCTGGGAGGAAGAAGAGAGACATTGATTCATATTTCCCGTTTCTCGCAACCGTTGAGTTGCTGGGAATGCTGGGCGGGATACAAAGTAGTGCGCAGGGGCATCAAGGGATGAACGGATGAGTGCGGTGGACCCTGCCCTTTCGCCCCCCCCCCCCCCCCTTTGGCCGGAAACAACTCAATTCTTCGGCTCATTGGTGAGTGTCTTACATTCCGTGGGCGAACACATACTTGAGTTGGTGGTCTTGGGTGTGAGGGGGAAGGTGTATCCTAGTCAACGAGCGGAGTGAGTTGAGGAAGGGAAGTGCTGGTGTGGAATTGGGGGATGTTGAGATCATCGGGCGGTGGGATGGGGATTGATTGAGTGGCTCGGGGTGGGCTATTGTTCCTTTCTTAGATCTGGTGGTAGACGGTGGCAGACAGCATTGATGACTGAGAGCACTTGCTGTGTGTTGAAGGTCTAGACTCTGTCTATCGTAGACGATGTGTGGGCTTATAGGTTAAGCACCGGGATGATAATTCTTGTTGAAGGTTAGTGTAGGTCGGTCAGCTTGTTCGTCGGTTGAGATGCAACTGAGTATTGTTTGTCTTTCTTAGCGTTTTAGTCGGTCTATGTGTAGTCTATTTGTATTCGGTGCGGATGTAATCAAGCAGGGAGTGAGGTCGGGTATTGCATCATTATTTTTAGACTGGAGGGGAGGCACTAGGTACTATATCTGCTCACCATGCGTTGACAGCAGTAGAAGAACAAGTCGATAACTAGACTGTTCGGGATAACTTAAGTCTATCATGCTTTTAACTTGATTTTGTAAGTCATTGATTGATGTTTGAAAAGAGATTGAGCAGGTAAATAGGTGCATTGTGGTTGTGGTATAGGATTGGCGAGATTCATGTCGGAGATATATATCCATCTAACACATCCCGTCCACGGTAGCCTTGGCCCCCCACCATGGGCAATAAATAGTAGGCTTTCTATTTACTCCTTCGTTGTTTAATTTGGATACCTACAAGAGTGAATCGCTTACAGTCACGTCTATCCAGCAATACTGATATACTGATTATCGAGATAATGGATAGTGCAAACAAGCATTCACCCACAGCCAAGTGTCGAAAGCGGCCAGTCCCGACCAAAATAGAAGCATGCAAATACTTCCGATTGCCCCAGTGACTCCAGACCGCCACCCAAGTGGCCGGATCAGGGCCAGCCCACTGAAAACAATAGGAATGCTGTCTGCATCTCCTCAACTGTCATCGTTAGCTCCCGCCGATGAGAAGACACAAAAGATCAGGATGGATCTTGCCATGGCGAGCCCGAGTCGCAACTGGAACCCGCTGCACGCCTCAGGAAGCCACCACCAAGACACTGCTATTACCCCCTTCCATCATGCATTGAACGCCTACGACATCCTGGGCCCAGACGTTGTCCTTTGCGACCAAGTTCTGTACTATCATTAGGCTGCTGCTTTTGGAGCTCCACACCGATAAACCTGATCTTCATGACCTACTTACACCTGCACTCCTATCTTTGACCCCAAAGTCGCAAACCTCCAATCTGCCCCAAACAAGCTTTCAACTCCCCCCCAGAACAGCATCCGATATTCCATGCCACCTCCCAGGGACCCCAAACGAACCCCGAATCACCCTGGCGAAATGACAGGTCACAGTGTGTGCGAAGCCGAGAAATATCCCGCCGCGGTCGAGCTCCCCGCCGACTCTGAAACACCACCACACCTGGCGGCGGCGGCTTCTTCCCCTGATCTTCAGCCAGGAGACTACAACCCCTGTGTGGGCGCAAAACCCTCCTCACCCTTTTATCGCCATGCCACCCCCTCCGTGAACATCAATCGCCTGAAGGTGGACAGCGAGAAACCCCAGCCTAACGTCCAGCAGCGCTACAGTTCCCCCGTCATCCCCGCGAGCCCGCCCATGTTCAACGTATCCGCCCTGGAGTCGGGCAGCCGTCATGAGTCGACGTCGAATCTCTGGGGGCAACCGAAGCGGCACTGCGGGTGCATGAATCGGCTGAGCCGCAAGCAGCGCATCGTGGCCAAAGGCGCGATTGCCGTGGTGATCCTGGGAACCATGATTGCGATCGCGGTGGGAATTACCGTCGCGGTGGGAGGCGCCGTGTGGAGGTCGGATCACCGACAGGAGGTAATCGGCTGAGGATGATACAGAGGTATGTTGACTACGGTCTCATGGAAGGCGCGCGAAATTGCTAATTAAGTAGATCAGCAGGACCAACCTTGCGTTGTCCCTCTCTGTCGATACTTCCACCGACCATTCTCGGTTGTGATACAAGTACCTCAAACAAACAACACATTTCTGCAGAGCATCACTATACTGCATGGGAGTTTGGAGTCTGGAGAGTGTTCGCTGGGTAGGAATCGGATTGCATGTACATTTTGGCTTTTCTCTTTTCACTTTCTTTTTAATTCTTCTGAGTTCCTGTACATAAAGGAGGTTTTTTTTTTTAGCGACGCATGCGGGGGCGAGATTGTTGCTTGGAACAACGGGAGAAGATCGAATACAAACAGAACATACAGGATTAAAGACTGGTGCCTGACAGCTTGGCGATTAGCGAGGGCGGGATGCCTAGCTCGAACACGTGATCCAGCGGCCACATAAATACCGCGTGTCGGCGGCGCTCCCCTATCTGAACTTTTTCTTTTCTTCATTACATCGAAAAAAGCTAACAGAGCCTGCCACGACCCTCGTCCATCTTCCCACGACGAGTGTTGCCTTCGGTCTACGGACTGATCGGCTCTGGAGAACAATTCTCCCTGATAGGAAGTTCGCTTCTCGTTGTGTCCTCTTCAGTGAGGGCGATGAGGGGGGAATGTCGATGACGGGATACATCACTTATCATCACTTGCAGTATATAATGGATTGTACTGAATATCACTCACTTAAAAAATGGCTAATGGCTCTTCTGTTGCGTATTGTGTTGAACATCGTAAATTAAACTCGCTAGAAGCTACGTCTAGATCCATCAATCAGTCTCAGACTGTCCTTCGGTGTCTGATGGCTGTGCCGGGTTGATTAAAGAAGCAGAAGCAACGGCAGAAAGTGATGCCGGGCTCCGGCGACGGAGACCCACATTGCTGCAGCTTTCGTACCTGGCCGTTTCCCATACAACATCTCTTCTCCAACTATCATCACTCTCTGATGTCCAGATGGAGCTAATCCTATTGATCAATGCCCATCTCTGTTCAATTACCAGCTGGGCCAGGACAACATCCCTGATGGCCGCACCTATTCTGTTCGTCAAGGTGGGGAGATCATACATACCCATCCCTTGGCTCTGTACGCCATTCAGCATGAAGAATGCACCAATCCACCACTGAGGGAACAAAACTCAGGTTCCTGGGAGCACATGGTCTGGCTGGGATCTGGAGGAGTGCTCATTCTTCCCAACATTCCCAGAAGGACAACAACACCCGGCTTGTATTTGTTTGTTTGCCGCAGAGGAAGCAGCATACCGGCGCCAGGATGATGCCATCCATCATAAAAGGTTCAACAGGGTCCGCAAACCTGGGAGCTTCTTTTTCGAAGTAGGTCGAATCGATCGTACGGTAATAGTCGACAACCATTTTATTTTTTTAATTCATTCCTTAATCTTTTTACTACGCCCCTCCCTCAAACGGCCTCGGCCCCAAGTCACTCTTTCAACTTTCGGTTGTATTGTATTTTGTTTCTTATACCTTGACGTGAAACCTCCATCGATTATACTTAACACCAACAGCAACAAACATGAAGGGACTCCAGGCTGGAATCCCACTCGCGGCCCTGGCTGCTGTCGCCCGCGCTACCTCGGTCATTGGGGGCTCGCAGGGCGAGGACCGCGGCAGTGACGCCGCGCTGCCGGTCGACAACAAGTTCCGGAGCGAGGTGAATGACTACCACTCGGACGACCACTCGTTCGACCTGGATGCGAAGAAGACCGTCATCGAGCCAGGCCATGGCCGTCGCCCTCACCATCACAAGGCCAGAGAGGAAGTGATCCAATCCAACAACGGAGTTTCCGAGGGGTCCACTTATGTCAAGCCGCAAGTCCACGCGGAGTCGAACAACGAGAACTCGTACCATGAAGATGACCACTCCGTAGAGCTGGAGAAGGATGTCGTTGAGGTGGTGTCGCCTCACGGTCGTCCCAAGCACCACCATGCTCGTGGTCAGCACGAGGACGTCGACGTCATTGGAGGACCCGGCGGTGTTGACACGGGTAATTCGTTTGCTTTGCCCATCACCAGCAAATTCTCGTCCACAGTCAATGATGCCTATGTGGATGACCACTCGCGTGATATTGATGTCGATACCACCATCGTGAAGCCCAAATCGCACCCCCCAAATCACTTCAAGGCTCGCGGAGGGCACGAAGACGTCGATCTTATTGGCGGCGCCGAGGGGATTGACACCGGCAACAGCTTCGATATGCCGATCACGAGCAAGTTCTCGTCCGTTGTCAATGACGCGTATATTGATGATCACTCCCGTGATATTGATAGAGACACCACCATCGTCAGCCCCAAGCACCACGGACCTGCTCACTTCAAGGCACGCGATTATCATGAGGATGTGGATCTTATCGGTGGGCCCGAGGGAGTTGATGTCGGCAACACGTTTGATTTGCCCATCACCAGCAAGTTTTCTTCCACTGTGAACGATGCCTACGTCGATGATCACTCGCGCGATATTGATGTGGATAAGACTATCGTCAAGCCTCACCACCACAAGGCCCGTGGAGGCCACGAGCACGTGGACGTTATCGGCGGCCCTGGCGGAGTCGACACAGGCAACACCGTTAGCATCCCTATCACTAGCAAGTTTTCGTCTGAAGTCAACGATTATTACCAAGACGACCACTCCCGCGATATTGATGTGGATAAGACTATCGTCAAGCCTCACCACCACAAGGCCCGTGGAGGCCACGAGCACGTGGATGTTATCGGCGGCCCTGGCGGAGTCGACACAGGCAACACCGTTAGCATCCCTATCACCAGCAAGTTTTCATCTGAAGTCAACGATTATTACCAAGACGATCACTCCCGCAATATTGATGTGGATAAGACCATCGTCAAGCCTCATCACCACAAGGCTCGTGGAGGCCACGAGCATGTGGATGTGATCGGTGGACCCGGGGGTGTCGACACCGGGAACACCTTCGACCTGCCAATCACGAGTAAATTCTCTTCCGTCGTTAACGACGCATATGTTGATGATCACTCTTTTGATCTGGACAAGGATACCACAATTGTTCGTCCCCACCACAAGCGGGAGCACGTGGATGTGATTGGTGGTCCTGGTGGGGTTGATACCGGCAACACATTCGACCTCCCTATCACAAGCAAGTTTTCGTCTGAAGTGAACGATTATTACCAAGACGACCACTCCCGCGATATTGATGTGGATAAGACTGTTGTGAAGCCTCACCACCACAAGGCTCGTGGAGGACACGAACATGTCGATGTGATCGGTGGCCCCAGCGGGGTTGACACTGGGAACACCTTTGACATGCCAATCACCAGCAAATTCTCCTCGGAGGTGAATGATTACTACAAGGATGACCACTCCTGGGATTTGGATTATGATAAGACAATCGTGCGTCCTCACCACAAGCGACAGCATGGCGAGCACGTTGACCTGATCGGTGGAGCCGAGGGGGTCGATATCGGCAACACATTCTCGCTGCCGATCACCAGCAAGTTCTCCTCGGAAGTGAACGACTATTACAAAGACGACCACTCGTGGAACGTTGACCTTGACAAGAAGATTGTTCACAAGCGCCAGCACGGTGATGACGTTGAGCTGATCGGCGGACCTGAGGGGGTGGATGTCGGCAACACGTTTTCTCTGCCTATCACCAGCAAGTTCTCCTCGGAAGTGAACGACTATTACCAAGATGACCACTCTCGGGATATCGACTTCGATACTACTATCGTACAACCCCATCACCACAAGGCCCGTGGTCAGGGCGAGCATGTCGACGTGATCGGGGGGGCTGAGGGTGTTGATATTGGCAACACAGTTGATATCCCTGTTAGCAACTTCTTCAAGTCCGAGGTCAACGAGCAGGTCTATGACGATCACTCGGTCGATGTTGATATCAGCAAGCATCATGCGCGCCGTGGACAGGACTTCAGCATTCTGGGAGGCCCCTCTGGCGTCGACGTCGGCAACAGCGTGGTCATGCCTTTCACCAACACGGTAGATGTCGAATCCAACAGTTATCACAAGGATGATCACTCTGTGCACGCACAGGTCACTACCACCATTGTCGCGAAGCCTCATGAACACCCCCAGCCTCCCTCTCACGAGGCGCCTCCTCCGCCCCCAGCTCCCGCTCCCGCTCCCGCTCCCGCTCCCGCTCCTGCGCCTGCCCCTGAGCCAGCTCCAGAGCCCAAGCATGAAGCCCCAGCGCCTGCTCCGGAACCGAAGCATGAGGCTCCGGCGCCTGCTCCTGAGCCTGCTCCTGAGCCAAAACATGAGCCTGCCCCGGCACCTGCGCCCGAGCCGAAGCACGACCCTCCTGCACCTGCTCCCGAACCTGCTCCCGAGCCCAAGCATGACGCCCCAGCGCCTGCTCCTGAGCCTGCTCCCGAGCCCAAGCATGACGCCCCGGCGCCGGCTCCTGAGCCAGCTCCCGAGCCCAAGCATGACGCCCCGGCGCCGGCTCCTGAGCCAGCTCCCGAGCCCAAGCATGACGCCCCGGCGCCTGCTCCTGAGCCAGCTCCTGAGCCGAAGCACGATCCCGAGCCCGTTCCAGAGCCTAAGCATGACACTCCTGAGCCAGCTCCCGAGCCCAAGCAGGAAGCCCCGGCGCCTGCTCCTGAGGCAGCTCCCGAGCCTGAGCCCGCTCCAGAGCCCAAGCATGACACTCCTGCCCCGGCCCCGGAGCCGCAGCATGAGGAGCCCAAGCCGGAGGAACCCAAGGCAGAGCCCCATGCGGACGAACCTCCCAAGCAGCCCGAGCCCAAGTCATCTTCGTCGTGTGAACCCACTGTTCAGGAGATCGTTCGCACGCTGACACACACCCTGCCCACGGAGTCCACATTTGCCCCCAAGGTTGACGCTGTGGCGACCGAAGCTTCTGCACCTACTCACTCCGCACCGGCCCCAAGTGAGCCTACCAAGCCTGCTGCGCAGTCTAACCCCACCCACGAGGCCGCAGCTCCAACCAGCCCCTTCACTCCAAACTTGGATGAAGCTCACCATGTTCCGGGCTCTGAGCCATCCGCCACCGACGTCGTGCAGAGTGCGATGACGACTGCCGCGCCTGCCCGCACGGAGCCGGTTGTTATGGACAAGGTCGCGTCCAGCATCACGATTAAGCAAGATTCCACTTTCCACGTGATTCCCGTGTACGTGCCAGTGTCCTCTGCCACCACTCCGTCGTCGCACGCTGTTCCCACGGCGGTCACGAGCGTTGCTGGGACCCACTCGACGGGCGTCGACGCCTACCAACCCACTCTCCGCTACAACCTCCCCCCGGCTGCGCCGTCCGCATCATCCACCGGGCTCCTGTTCACCGGGGCTGGAGCACCTCAGGCCGCACCTTACGCTGGCGTCTTTTCGGTCTTCTCTGGTCTTGTGGCTCTCCTGGCCTTGATCCTGTAGGGTCAGCCACGCCATTCTCTTAAAAACTGTCTCTATTCCACGCTTCCCACTGAATATGTTCACCGAAGGTTCTGTCATCGTTGTATCACATACTCGACACCACTCACTCATTTAGTACAAAGGGAGGGGCATCCCGGTTGTTCTGCTGTATTTTATTCCTACTGTTTTCCATTCGTTAGACTTCAACAGGGTTCAATTTTCTTTAGATTTGTCGGTCGTAGTGTTGTTTGTTGTTGTCGGACTGACTGCGTATTCACGGACAAGACCATCCCCACAAGCCTAGTCCCCATCCATCCAAGTGTCACCCTCGATCCAATCACTGTGCACTGTGCTGCTATATGACTCAATCTAAGGAACTGGTCTGGCTCGAACACACACGCCTTAGCAAGTCGACTCCACGCTTATCACTCACCCCATCCATCCACCCTCGTATGCACATAGTCATAGCCCCCACTAATTTCCTCATTGCCTCCCCGCTTCCGCAGCCCTTCAACCGTAGACTCCTTACTATAAGGCTGTGCCTAGTCCTCTGCCACTTTTTCTCACATCCACAACAAGAACAACCACCACCACACCCAACAACAACCCCTCGGACACCCCTAGGGACACCCCCAGCGAAACCCCCAGAATGCAACCCAAATACACCATCCGCCCCGCCACTCCCCAGGACGCCCCGCACCTCGCGCACATCAACATCACCGCCTTCGAACCCACCCCCTTCTGGCGCAACCTGTTCCCCAACCTCGACCGCACCGCCACCTACCCGCTCAAGCTCGCCCGCACGCTCACCAAGCTCGTCGACGGGGGGGCATCGCACCTCCTCGTCGCCGCGGACCCGGCCACGGGGAGGGTGGTTGGCTACGCGCGGTGGACCCTTCCCGGCCCGTCCGGCCCCCCCAGCCCGAGTCTGAGTCTCGCAGACCTCCCCCCCGAGCACGCACACCTCGTGACTACCTTCCGCCGGGACGGCGACGCCGCCCTGCCCCCCGGCACGAACCGGGCCGTCCACCGCCATTTCTGGGGGGAACTGGACCGGCTGAAGGCGAAGTATCTGCGGGAGGGGGATTTCGGTACGTCGGCGGTTTCGTTCTTTCCCCCCATACCCCCCACCCCCAGATTATATCCTCACTATACCCCCCCCTATACCTCTCCCTGTATCCCCCGACTAACCGAAGATGAATCCGTGGGCGGGCGTGGGGGATAGTCCTCGAATTCCTCGCCACGCTCCCCGAGGCGCAAGGCCAAGGCGTGGCGTCGGCCCTGCTGCGGTGGGGGCTGGCGCGGGCGGACGCGTGTAATGCCCGCGTTTACCTCGAGGCCACGGCGGAAGGGTACCCCGTTTACCGGAAGTATGGGTGGCGGGATCTCGAGGTGCTGGAGCTGGATTTCGCGGCGCTGGGCGGGCGGGCGGAGCGGCAGCGGTGGGTGGTGATGATGCGGGAGGGGCCCGGGGGGGAGTCACTTGGAGGGGGAGGGGGAGGGGTGGGGGTGGGGGTGAAGAATTAACGGGATCAAGGTCGTGGGGATGGGAGGTTGGGGGTTGGGATTGTATATACTATGTAGGCTTGTTGACCTCGTGGTTGGGGTTAGGGGTGGGTTCTGGGATAGATTCATGAGCCACCACCCTCCGGGGCCGGGGCCGGGGCCTGGGCAGTTGTCCCGCCAAGAGGCGTCGGGTCAGTGCTTACTTGAGTGAGTCATACACTATATAAATATCTTGGAGAGACAACATATGTGTTTTTCAGCTGTTTAGATACGTCCAAGATACGTCCAAGCAAGATCTGTCTCCTTCTTTCTCTTCTCTCGCGCCAACCCCCCCGTCCCTCCCCACTTTAATGTAAACCCCTCACCTCACCTCTCCACCAAACCACACACACCATGTCGAAGCAGTGCTACGCCACCACCTCCCCCTTCGAGGCCCGCATCGGCTACTACCGCGCCGTCCGCCACGGCCAACACATCTTCGTCTCCGGCACAACCGCCGTCGACCCCACCCAGAGCATCCCGCAGATCCTCTTCCCGGGCGACGCCAAGCAACAAACCCGCGTGGCGCTGGAGGAATGCGTCAAGGCCGTCCAGGCCATGGGCGGACGCGGGCCCGAAGACATCGTGCGCGTGAGGATGTTCGTCGGTCGGCATGAGGACTGCCGGGCTGTGGGGGAGGGGTTCAAGGAGGTCCTGGGCAAGGAGAATGCGAGCGGGAGCGACACGCCGATTGGCGCGGCCGCGACCATGATTGTGGTGCACAACGGATTCATCGACCCCGACATGCTGGTCGAGATCGAGGTGGATGCTATCGCGGCGGAGCAGTCGGTGTAATCGGAGGGCTGGCTGCATTGGATGCATGGAGGGTTTGTGGTGTAAGGCTGCGGAAAGCCGGGGGTCATTGGATCGACATGGAAGTGTATATACAAGCCGAACAGGCTGTGGCGGAACGTCAGGGATCATTGTAGCCTTATTGGAAATGTGTAATATGCTAAAAGACTCAAATCGAAACGCTGGGTGAGTTTGGGCAGAATCCCCGCGACTGTTGTTGTATCGTGCGCCGCATAACATGCACCGGCGCCGGCCGTTTGGTGAAAAGCTCATACTGAGCGACGCCCTGTTCCAGCAGAACCACCAAGCCATCGACGACGACCCATCCTTTCGAGGCCCTGTCGTCCATCAATTCCCGTAGCACCGTTTGATGTTTTCCGTACGCAACCTGTTCTGCATTAGACTGGGTCTGCAAGGAGGCAAGAACGACTCACATCGACAAAGACTCCGCCCGTGCTACTCTCGAGCCACTGCTCAGGTAACCGCAGAGTCACGGGCGATTGGCTACCAATCTCGAGAGCCGGTAAGCAAGAAACAATGATGGTAGGCTGTCGCAGATGTCGGGGCCACGGCTCATTCGCTGAACACAGGACCTCGATACGAAGGCGAATAGCCGACTCCGACGACGCCGCCCACTCACGATAATACTCCGCAAGCCTTTCTGCGTTCGAGCTTGTCCTGTTGTAGAGGCAGATATGCTGCACGCCCAGCTGCAAGCAAGCATAGATCGCAGCACGGGCCATACCGCCGGCTCCAATAATCAAGGCCGATGTACCGGCACGAATGGCGTTCGCTGGTGACAGGTTCTTGTCGATTCCAGCCATGATGCCGATGTAGTCTGTATTATATCCTTTGAGCTTTCTACTGGGCTGTCCGGTCTCTGAGAAGATCTGCTCCAAGACTACGGTATTCACCGCGTGGATGTCCCTTGCCTCACGGCTTATTTCATCCAAATGAGGAAGGACTTGGGTTTTGTACGGGAGTGAGATTGCGACACCACCATGGTTGGCATCGTTGAGAAGATCAATAACCCCCTCGAAGACGCCAGACTGCATGCTACCATACTGATGTGGCAGTCCACAAGCGGCATAGGCGGCATTATGCATTGCTGGAGAAAGGCTCTGCGCCACGTTTTGGCCGAATATCGTGAAGAGCCTTCGGGGGCTCAAGTAACAAGCTGTGAGAGCCTGTTCGGCGGCCTGCAGCGAAATTCCCTCGCTTTGCATGTGGGGGAGTACCACTGGCGAGAGAACAGGGTTCAAGCAAACACTCGCCCTGCCCAAATCTCCCTCGTGGTAGGCAATTATCGGAATCTTAGCCTTGTTGGCCAGGCTTTGACGTAGTGCGATGCAAGCCAGATTATCAATTTCGACTCTTGGCTCTCCGGTGAGGCGTAGAACGTCGAAGCCAATGTCTTCAGCTTTCTTGAGTCCCGAAGAGAGATCTATTGACCTCTGCAAGGACAATGGGCCCGGTATGTGATAGGTAGCAATCGCCTTGACGTGACCCTTTGTGTCGATAATCGTTTGCAGATGCTCTGGAGAACTGCTAAGAGAGCATACAAGAGCATCCGGTACTAGTCTGAGAAGCTGTTTCAAGAACTTGTGATCCTCCACAGGCTCAAGTTGATGTGCATCTGCAATCTCCACAAAGACCGGAACCCTTGCATACATTCTGACAGTAGCCATGTGCTTTGCTAAGCTCTCAGCAAGCTCCGTGGTTCTGTGTCTGGGATCAACGTCGATTAAGATGGTTAACGCATCTGCCCCACAGTCCAGCTGTGCATAGTCGAGATTGGGTTCCTCTAGCCAGCTAACAGGAACCTGCAAAGCATGTGTATAACGCTCGATGAGAGGGTTGGCTGAGTACACACTGCAGGTAGCTCGACCGTAAATGCGGTCGAGGAAGGCTATGAACACTCTGCCGGCCTTTCTAAGTCGCATATGAACAGCCTCTGGTCTGCCATCCCCACCTGACGTATTTTGGGTCAGATTGTAGAAGTCAAAATTGGAGCAGGCCTCGAAAAATGCGTTCCCGATTGCAAAAAGACGATGGAACTTTTCTTGATTGATGTTGATAGTTCGTTGCAGATCCGACCGATCTCTTCTGACATACACGACAGGGTGCTCCTGGGCAAACGTGCTCAATAGCTCCTGCTGTTGGCGCGTAGCCAGCCATCCCAGACCCACAATCACACAGCCGACACGATGTTGTTCCAGGAGTCGTTGAGTCAGCTGCAATTCTAGTTCTCGATAAAGCGTAGAACCATGCTGTGCGATGTACTCCTGGGGCGAAATCTGTGTTTCTTGACGGAACACGGTATCGAAGTCAATCAAACGCCGGCGGAGTGCGACAGAGGCGATGATCCCCAGCGTCTTCTTGCCCGCCCCGACAAATCCGACCAGTATGAGGGTGGCATCGGGACTGTACCGTCTGGTGGTCACACTCCCGGGCTGTGGCGGGGAGCACGGAGAAGAGATGCCTGGTGCCATCGTCGGCTAGGAGGGTGCGCGATGATACCAAAGCATTGATTCTTAGTAGTTGGAACCAGCGGATGGTATATCGTGGTCGCAACCTGTCGGTAAGTGAAGTTATGATCACCGGAATTTGCCATCGCCTAAAGTCCTAACCGATCACATGACGTCCCGGGATCTCGAACCAGACGAGACATCTGCGTGCACAACGCAGTCTATCAAGCTCATGCATTGCAGTCTATAGGTCTCTATGTCATGCCGAATCCCAGACTGTCGAAGAGAAAGCGCATTGGCCGTGCGTGTGACCAATGTCGGCGTCGGAAGTCCAAGTGCGGCGGCGAGCAGCCCGTGTGCTCCATCTGTCAGGCGGCAAACCGGACTTGCACGTATCAGAATAGCAGTCGGCGGAGAGGATTGCAGTCGGGATATGTGAGGAGCTTGGAGGTCGCGCTCGGGATTGTTCTCGACCGGGTCCCTAACAGCGAGAGTACGCTGCAGCGTATCGTCCGAGGTGCTCGGGAGGGTAAGCGTTTCGCTTGCAGTGAGTTGGCCGACCGTTGGCGGAGGTCAAAGCTCGCCAAAGAAGTTATTCATTTGATTCAAGCCGAGGCCGGAGACGATGCAGGGGAACTAGATTTGGATGATGGACTTGGAGAGGATCTTATGGATAGTTGTGTGGCTGACGGAGAAGAAGGAGAGCAGATGGAGATGGAAAGGGAAGCTCCCAGAGACAGCGGGAGAGAACAACCACCGCGGCAGTCGGTATCACTGGATCTGCCCTTTCCAGATAACACGCCTGAGTTGGTGGATTTATATTTCCTTCACACCCATTGCTGGTTTCCAATAGTCGAACGCAGAGACATCCTGCGCGTCATGCATACCCATGCAGACTCACCCAGAGACTCTGCGTGTCGTCTCGTGCTCTGGGCGATTATTGCCTACACAGCTATTATGATCGATTCTTCGTCCTGCTCGACCCGACTGATTCGCTCGAACATACAGCAGTCGATCCAAACGCGACTCATCAGCAGCTACGAGAGGACAGAACTGAGCCACATCCAAGCCCTCCTCATCCTCGTCCTCCTACATCTCGAACGGGGAGATCTTGGTGAGGCATGGGTGCTTGTCGGGCACACGACGCGATTGCTAGCCATCTTGCCCGAGCCAGCGCAGACTCAACGTTACAAGCATGCTTTCGTTGGCTGTACCTTTCTTGACGGAATCATATCGGCTCTGGTCCACAAATCACCATCCCTACTCGGACCAGAACACCAGGTCAATGCGCAGGTTGAAGAGGATGATGTGGATGAGTGGGACACTTGGACCATTACGCGCCGAGTCCAGGGTTCAGAAACGCGATTCCACTCGAAGAGCCCTCTTCGTGCTCTCAGCACATTCAACATGATCCACAAGTTCATGCGCATTCTCAATCGCCTGCCGCTGTGCACCTCGGGCGTCATCTCTGCACATGAGGTCTTCGTGGACTTGCAACGCTTGCAGCAGCAGATCTCCGAGCAACGTCCATACAAGGGCCTGGAATACGCTACGCCCCCTCTACTGATTCTTCATCTCACTTCGTCTTTCGCCATTCTACACGTGATCGAGCAGTGCAAGCTGGTGGATACTTCCGCAGTCTCGGAGAGAGCCCGGAACCTGCGCACGATGGTCAATCTGCTTGATGACTACGTGGAGGTCACTGGCAATGTCAGCTCAACCCCGCTGCTTCGCTGCTTCACATCCCAGGCCAGAAAGTCCCTGGAAACTTCACCCCAGTGTTTCGGAAGTGAAGAAGCGGAACGGCTGAGTGACCGAGTTTCTCGTCATGTGCACATGCTGAAGCTTGAAGATGCAGGCGGCGGCCGCGATTCGAACGTACCACTATTCCGACATCCAGGAACAAGCACCTCAGTTGATCTTACACTCGAAACCGCCGCCTGGCATGTGCCAGGCTCAGAGGTAGGACGTAGCGATATGGTGGGTGCACCAATCATACCCCAGATCCCGACGTCCGCTTGGAGTGTTTCTGGAGCGTTGGCAACCCAACCAGCGCAAACACAGGAACCCGAAGACTTTGATGCATTGTTCGAGGAGATCATGACGTCGATTCCAGCCAGCAGGTATGTGTCCTGCGTTGACATCACAGTATATCTACTAATAACCCTGTGTAGACATGAGCCCACATTTGCGGAAAACTTGGGCTTCTATGCGGGCAACATGGACACAGACTTCCTCGAGCAGCTCCAGTATATCCCCGAGGATACATGACTGGCAGAGCGACTGGCAAAGAGCAGCCATACATCCGGGGACATTGATTTCTAGATGTCGCTGTATTCATATTTACAACCCATGCGCCAGATCACAAAGACGACACAAGCTCTGTGCAAAACCATCACTCCCAACTCATCTCCTTTCCATCCAGCCACTCCTTGGCCTGCCAATACAACAAGTCATGCTTGCGCCCGTTGACACTGTCCCCTTCCCTGCGATGCCCCGGCAGATCGAGCAGCACCTTGACTCCCATGGTCTGCTCCTGCAGATACGCCAGGTGACGATACCCCGGCGGATACGCGCGCAGCCGCTCGTGATCCAGCACCGGCACGCGATCCGGCGTCACGGGGATCAGCTTATCCTTCTCGTACCAATGCCGGACAAAGACCGCGCGCCACTGGCCGCCCAGCTCCGGGTGATCGGGGTCGTCGGCCTGCACCTTCTGCCAGAAGAAGATAAAGCGGCAGTCGCTCTCGGCGTCGGCCTCGCACACGCCGCCGGCGTGGCAGGGCAGCTCGGCGAAGCGCTGCGTGATGGTCGCCTTCATCTTGGTGACGGCGCGGGTGGCCGTGGGGTCGATGTCGGTGGTGCTGCCGTGGATGCGGTGCATGATGAAGGCGCCGCGGTCCATGCCGGCCTGCGAGGCCTCGATGAAGGCCCGGTGGTGGGTCCGCCCCGTCCAGGTCGTGTAGATGTGGGCGTCCGGGTGGAAGATGGAGCGCAGGTTCTCCCACTCGCAGGCGTCGCGGTAGCAGGGCCAGCCCTCGGCGAGTTCGCGGAGCATGAATCGCTCCAGGGCGAGGTCGCGGGGACCGTTGTTGCGGATGGCGTGTTCAGGGCGCGAACCGGCGGGGAGGGAGTGCAGGTCGGGCATTGTGTGTGTGTGTGTGTGTGTGTGTGTGTGTGTGTGTGTACTGCAACAAGGGTCTCGATGCAATAAATTCTGGGGCTTGTACTGGATACAGCATGAAGAAAGTGCGGGGGGGGAAAGCTGCGGGGAGCAGGAGACGTTTTAAGGTCGCTGGCCATCGGGAGAGACCCTTCCCGTGTGCGGGTATACTCATCCCCGAGACGAGACCCATTTAAGCCTGCCACTCACGATACATATTGTACCATCCCCACCGAAACCCCCAACGAGATTACTGCCATCAATCATTACCTTCTCGATTTCCCGTCATCATCTCCTCCATCACATCACACATCAGAAATGGACTCCCCTCAACCCGCACCCAGCAAATTCTCCTACCTTGTGGGCATCGGCGTAACCCACTCCATCGCGCCGCCCATGCACAACCACATCTTCCGCTCCCTCGGCCACGCCGACTGGCACTTCCAGGCCCAAGAGTGCGCCACCGTCGAGGAAGCGATGGCGCTCTTCCGGGCGCCGACCTTCAGCGGCGGCGCCGTGGTCACCATGCCCTACAAGCGGACGATCATGGCGCACCTGGACGGGCTGGACGAGCCGGCCGTGAAGCTCGGCGCGTGCAACAACGTCTACCGCGCCGCGGACGGTGCCCTGCGCGGCACCAACACCGATTGGCGTGGGGTGCTCGGGTGCCTGGTGGGCGCCAACGCGTCCGGGAGGGGCAAGCCCGCGGCGATCATCGGGGCCGGCGGCGCCTCTCGCGCGGCGGTGTACGCCCTGCACGCGGAGCTGGGCTGTTCCACGATCTACATCGTCAACCGGGACGAGGGCGAGGTGCAGGAGCTGGCCGACGAGTGTCGGCGGGTGTACGGTGGGGGATTGGCGCTCGTTCACGTGAGGCAGGTCAAGCAGGTGGCGGCGCTGCCGGAGCGGCCGTTCTACGTGGTTGGCACGGTGCCGGACGCGGAGCCGACCACGCCCGAGGAAGTCGAGGTGCACGCGATTGTGGAGGCATTCCTCGCTGCCCCCGGCGAGAGCACCGAGAAAGGCGTGCTGCTGGACATGTGCTTCAAGCCGCGGCGGACGCGGTTCCTGAAGGCGGCGGCGCGGCACGGGTGGACGACGGTGGAGGGGACGGAGATCATCGGCCATCAGATCCAGGAGCAGTACCGGCTGTGGTGCGGGGAGGAGGCGAGCAGGAGACTACCGGTGGAGGAGGCGTGGGCGGTGCTGCGGCGGGCGGCGGAGGCGAGCCCGGCGATCAATTTTTGAGACCGTTCGGTTGTGGATATAGCCGGTGGTGGTTGGGATAGTGTAGTCGTCGACACGTATATAGTCCCGTCTCCAAGTATGCAGCCTCTTCCGTCCAGTATGCAAATAAAACCACCATCACCATCCCCATAACATAACATCCCCATCCACACCACCACCATGCCCTGCACCCCCGCCATCGCCACCATGTCCGTCGGCCGGGCCTGGGTCCACCCCCTCCCCGCGAAACTGACCCAAATCGCCGCCGCCGGCTTCCAGGGGGTGGAGCTCTTCTACGAGGACCTGGAATACCTCGCGCGCGAGCACAGCCCGTCCGACGCCGAACCCAGCGAATCCAGCCTCCTCGCCGCCGCCCAGACGACCAAAGACCTCTGCGCCGGCCTCAACCTGCAAATCATCAGCCTGCAGCCCTTCCTCTTCTACGAAGGCCTCATCGACCGCGCCGCGCACGCGCAGCGCCTCACCAAGCTGCGCACCTGGTTCCGCCTCGCCCACACCCTCGGCACCGACCTCATCCAGATCCCATCCAACTTCCTCCCCGCGACCGAGACGACCGGCCATCTCGACCGCATCGTCGCCGACATGGTCGAGCTCGCCGAGCTCGGCCTGCAGCAACGGCCGGTGATCCGCTTCGCGTACGAGAACCTCGCGTGGGGCACCCACGTCGCCACGTGGGAGACGCTGTGGACGGTGGTGGAGCGCGTCAACCGCCCGAATTTCGGGGCGTGCCTGGATACCTTCAACATCGCGGGGCGCGTGTGGGCGGATCCGGCGGCGGAGTCCGGGACCGTGGCGGGCGATGCGGATGCGGTGCTGGCGGAGTCGTTGGCCCGGCTGGTGCGCACGGTCGATGTCCGGAAGGTGTTTTATGTGCAGGTCGTCGATGCGGAGCGGTTGGCGGCGCCGCTGCGGGGCGAGGGCCATCCGTTCTTTGTGGCGGGCCAGCCGGCGCGCATGAGCTGGAGTCGCAATGCGCGGTTGTTTCTGTATGAGCAGGACCGGGGCGGGTATCTGCCGGTGGTGGAGGTGGCGCGGGCGTTTTTGGCCGGCCTGAAGTTCGAGGGGTGGGTGTCCATGGAGCTGTTCGCGCGGTCGTTGGCCGAGGCGGATCCGGCGGTGCCGCGCGAGCATGCGCGGAGGGGGTGGCGGGCGTGGGAGTTGTTGCGGGAGGAGTTGGGCTTGTAGGGTTTTTTTTCCTTTGGGATGTAGATTCAAAGATAGTATACGTTTATGGCTTCTCTTTTTTTTTTTTTTTTAACCCCTAAAAGGTGTAACGATCTCTAAGTTATACTCGCTCCGCAATACTCCCCCGCATCACCTGCACAGGCGCCTCCCGCCCCGTCCACAGGGCATACTGCACGAACCCCTGCCGCAGCAACACCTCCAGCCCATCCTGCACTTCCCACCCCGCCTGCCGCCCCGCGCGCATCAACCCCGTCACCCGCGGCTTGTACGCCATCTCCACCACCAACCCCTTCTCTCGTCCCGCGAACAGGCCCGCCACCTCCGTCTCCGCGACCACATCCCCCGGCACCGTCCCGATCACAACATCCGGCTTCACCCCTCCCCCCGCAGGAACCGGGTACGCCACGGCCACAGTCTCGCATTTGAACCCATTCGGCCCCGTCAACCCCTCGAAATCCCGAACAATCGTCTCCGCCTTCGCGACCGTCCGGTTCGCAATCACGATCCGGGCGAAGTTCGCCTGCAGGAGCGCGTAGACGGCGGCGCGGGCGGCGCCGCCGGCCCCGAGGACGAGGCCGGTTTTCCTGCGGTCGCAGCTGGAGTCGGAAGGGGTGGAAGTGAGGCCCGGGTTGGGCGAAGTGGTACCATCGGCTTCGTCGCCGCTACGGGAACCACCCCGGCTAGCGGCCGAAAACTCCGCCACGAGCTCGTACAACCCCCGCCAGTCGGTGTTGTCGCCGGTGATGACGCGTTGGCCGTCCCGCGTCTCCGCGATGAGGGTGTTGATCGCCCCGATCTGTCGCGCGGCGGCGCTGACCTCGTCGCACAGCGGGAAGGCGGTCAGCTTGTGCGGCATGGTGACGCTGGCGCCGCCGAAGGTGGGGGCATCAATCAGATGTTGGACGGCGGCGAGGGAGGGGCATTCTTGGATGGTGTAGTGGTGGGGGAGGCGGTGGTGGGCGAAGGCGGCGTTGTGGAGGGTCGGGGAGAGGCTGGTGGTGAGGGTTTCGCCGAAGATGTGGTAAGTTTGGGGGGTGGGCATTTTCACGGCTCGAGAGAGATAGATGAGCAAGGAGGATATAGCGCTGACATGCGAAGCTTTCGGGATGCATGTGGTGTGGAGATGTCGATGGGAACGATTTATAGTCCCGGACGGGTAAAGTAGATAGCCGGGCGGGTATGGTATAGTATGGAGGAGCTGGCAGTATACTCACTCACCACTCGACGCAAAACCACCGCACCAAACTAGCTCAACATCCCACCTTCCACACAAGCCATCCCCTCCTCCACAACCCTCCTCCACTGCCCAGCTCTCTCCCCGGCCTGCCCGCGGGGAACAACCTCGACAATCGCGCGCAAGTGATTCACGACCCTCTGCACCTCCTCCTGCAACGGACTCTTCCACTGCATCTCCGCCAACACCCACTCCGCCCCCATCTCCCGCCCCAACACCTCCTCAAACACAGCCTCCAACCGATCCCGCTCCGCCTTATCCTCCGCCCCGTCCCTCGCATTCCACAGAAACGCCCTCACCGGATTCCACCGCGGCGCCGCCACCACCCCGCTAAACTCCCAATCCAGCACCGCGGTAATCGGACAGCCCGGCCGCGTCGGATCGCACATGATATTCGCGCAGTGGAGGTCCTTGTGCGCAAGCACATAGGGCACATCGTTCAGCCGGGCCGCGCACTCGGGCCGCTGCACCGCTGCCCTGAAGGCGCGGACGCGCGGGACCAGGTCCCGGTAGGGCTGGAGGGCGGGGTGGATGGCGATGGCGTCGAGGTACCGGTCCAGACAGCCGACGGTGAACGCCACGTAGTTTGGGAATCCGGCGGGCGGGGTGGGGTTGAGCGTCTCCAGACTGATCGTCCCGTCCGTTGGTTCTGTTTCTGTTCCCGAGACAATGATTGATGGAGACCAGTATTTCTCCAGGTCGGGCTTCTGCCAGTAGGTTTCGTCGATGGGCGGGCCCCGCGCGACGGCGCCGGACGCGGAGAGGGTGAGACCCCCCACGTATCCGTCTGTCCAGGGGTGGGTGTGCAGTTCGATCAGGTACGCGGCCAGCTGCCGGACGAGTTGGGTCTTGGTCGACTCCGATAAACTGGGGTAGATCGTGTCGAGGCTGACGCCGGGGGCTTTTTCGAGGAGCGTGAATTCGTGGCCGATCGGGTTGGTTTCGGTCGCGTCGTAGTGGATGATGGCGGGCACGGGGATGGTGGTGTGTGTCCGGACCCAGCTCATGACGCCTACTTCGTTGAGGGTCTTGATGCGCGGGAGTTGGCGCCCGGAGACGCGGAGGACAAGCGTCGTGCTGCCGTCGGGGTTGGGGCGGGCGGGGATGTTTGTCGGGGGTGATGCGGCGAAGGTGATGAGGTAGATTGAGTGGAAGGCGGCTCTTACTTCGAGGGGGGTGATGCTGGTCGGGGTGGGGAGGGAGAGGGAGTGGATTAATGCGGTGATGCTCTCCGCGCTCAGCGCGGGCGGGAGGAAGCTGTCGGCGGTGCTCATTCCAAAGATGTAGATGACAAAGGAATGATGGAGAAGTTGTGCTTGTGCTTGATGAAGTAACGATGATGGAGACGATGTGTTTGTGTTTGAGAAAGAGATACTGATAGAGATCGAAGTGAACAGCGGCAAGGTGTGTATTTATCGTCGTCAGATGAGGCTAAATTCTGATTATACCGTATCTCAATGCCTCATTAGCTACGGAGTACATGGAAGCAATTTACTAGCCAGCCTAGTCTGGCTGCGATATTGCACCGCCTGTCAGGTGCGTACCATTGGCCAAGCATTAGAACTAAAGCAGTAAGCTTACGCTAAGCAGTCCAATCTATGCTCAGACTGGATAAAAGCATATGGCTCATATCGACTCATGTGTTATCATCTCATCGACCCATTCTTATCAGCGGCCATCTTCCAATTCACTCCGCTGTCGGTCCGATCCGCAGGGCTCGACCGTTCACGTGCTGTTTACCGGTTGACAGGCAAGAACTGCTCATGGGCTCTATTGAGGTTCCAACCCCTTAAGTCTCGATTAAATGAGGCTACCTTTCCTCTAGAGTGTAATCAGATAGAGCTGGACTCACAGACATTTTCGGCAGCCAACAGAGTACCTAGGGCGACAGCGCTCACGCCCTAGTGGTGGCCAACAACCAAATCCACGACCAGAATAACCACAACAATCCATGTTCATCGAATGGAGAAACGCTCACCATGAGGCTGGGTACAATAGGAGTACAACTGATGTGATCGATTGGCCCAACAAAAATAACCTCCCACCCCCAGCGCCAAGCTCAGCGCTTATACTTCCGCCTCATCCCCCACCAGCCCTCCTCTATCATTGATACAAGTATAAGAATAGTCTCCGTCCAGCACTCAATAGAAACAATTATAACCCTCAAATATATAAAGCCCACATGTAAGGAGTACAGTACAGTCCAATGTCCAACGAAGAATCCACCAAACCCCTCCGCCTCCTCTCCCTCGGTAAGCCCAACCGTACCCGAACTTCCAATCCCCAATCAACCCCCCCCCCCCCCCGAGTCAAAGCTAAACCCCACCCGAAAGACGGCGGCGGCATCCCCGCGCTCAGCCAACTCACCATCCTCAAATCAATCACCCTCGCCATCCAGCAACAGCACGCCCTCGCGGAACCCCCCCGACCCCACGAGATCTTCGACCTCATCGGCGGCAGCGGCCACGGCGGGCTCCTGGCGCTGCTCCTAGGCCGCCTCCGCCTCAGCATCGACGAGACCCTCACCGAGTACCGCCAGCTCGTGGAGCGGGTGTTCTCCCACCGGAAACGCCACCGGGGCGGGAGCGGGCAATACAGCGCCCGCGCGATGGAGGCGGCGATCAAGGACCTCGTGGGTCGGTACGCTACTCCCCAGGACCCGGATGCGGAGACGATGCTGCTGCTCGAGGACAACGAGAATCACGCTGAGGGGGAGAGGGAAACGGGTGGTAAAGTGTAAGTTTTGACTTCCCGAGGAAAGGCATTTCCCCCGACAAAGACTTATGCGTTCCAGCTTTGTCTGCGTGCGCAGCACGCAGGCGATGGAGCACGCGCGCCTGTTCTGCTCGTATCGGACGTATCGGGCGGGCGACGACCCGGACCTAACGGTCTGGCAGGCGGCGCGGGCGGTGACGGCGCATCCGGGGCTGTTCAAGCCCGTGCGGATCGGGGGCGAAGAGTTTGTGGATGGGAGTCTTGGAACCAAGAATCCGTGTCGACTGCTGCTCGACGAGGCGAGGCGGCTGTTTGGCGGCGAGCGGCGGCCCGTGGGCTGCGTGCTGAGTCTGGGGGCCGGGAAGCCCCCGCCGGTGCAGCTGGGAAGGCCGGGGCTCTTCCAGCGGCTGCTGCCGACGAAGATTGTCTCGGTGGTGGAGGCGCTGAGCTTCGAGGCGGAGACCGTTGCACAGGATCTGGAAGGCAGGTTTGAGAAGTCGCCGGGCGTCTATTTCCGCTTCAATGTTGGGGAGAGGGTGGCGGGCGTGGGGATGGCGGGCGTGGGGATGGCGGACTGGGAGCGGTTGAGTGAGGTGGAGAGTCAGACGGTCGACTATCTGGCTGCGTTTGAGGTGGAGAATACAGTATTACGGGCCGCGGAGGCATTGTATGGCAAGGCAGTGGAGAAAGGGACAGACACGGTGGTGACAGTGTTTGATTTGTGAGGGTAGACGCTGTAGTTAAAGATTGATGCTCATATGTCAGGCTAGCTAGCAAGAAACTTCAAGTTGATCCGTCTTCCCGTATTAACCCAGGAACAATCGCAGCACGGCCAACTCAACCCATGCAAGCACTTAATCCGCCTTCTTCGGCTGCCGGATCATACAATACAGCTACCCACAAATTAGCATCCACCTCCACCGTACAGACCCAGAAGCACATACCTTGCACGCATCCTTCCCATCGAGACAATCAATCTCCTCGACGACCTCGAACCCCAACTTCTCATAGATGACCAGATTGGGGAACCCCTTGGAACTCTCGAGGTAGCAGGGCATCCCCTCCAGATCGGCCTTCTGGGTGACGGCCTCGACCAGCTTGCGGCCGACGCCCATGCCGCGCATGGCCGAGTTGACGGCCAGCACGTTGCAGAAGTAGTAGCCGCGGGGGTCGGACCAGATGCGGGCGTGGGTGCGCTCCTGGCGCTGCTTCCACTGCCAGTAGCGCCGGACGTTGAGCCCGCCGCGCCCGCCGAAGCGGATGTTGAACAGCAGCTGGCGGAGCGAGAGGAGCCAGTCCTGCGCCCACACCGTCCACGTCACCGGTGCGCCCGCCGGCTGCGGCGGGAACCACCAGCACACGCCCGCGATGTCGCTGTCGTTGTCGTCGTCGTCGTCACCGCTGCTGTTGCTCGCGAGCAGGGCGGCCTTGTCGTCGTTGATGGCACTCGCACTCGTCGGGGAGGTCGCTTTGGCGATGTAGATGGGCGCTTGGCAGGAGAGGCCGTATTGGAAGTGGGCGGCCATCGAGGCGGCGTTGCGGTGGAGATTGAACTGGGGGTTTTTTTTTCTCGCGTGTTATTGATGGGTATTTGAGGGCAGGAATGGGAAATGGGAAATGGGCGTGGCTCTACATGTATCCTTATCATACATCATTCGGAGGGGAAAGGGATGAGGCAGCGATGGGGGATTGGGTAAGTTATCACTGCCTCGAATCCCCTCCCTTCTCCGAATGGAGACATACTTACCCCAGATCTCTTGTTGAATATCCAGCGGAAGAATGGATCATCGGCAAATGCTTTCTGGATGCATTCTACGGCCGCGGGGATATCCGCTTTAGTGAGAGGGAGGACTTCGATTGCCATGATGGTGTGGAAGGTGATAATGAAGATATCAAGAACAGAAAGTAGGTCAAGGGCAATGAGATTCTCAGTTCAATTCCTACTGTGTCTGCGAATGGGTTGCGAGAGAGCAATGGTGTATGCGTGAGAATGGCGGCGGAGGGGGATAAGCGAGATCGCCATCTATTGATGGGAGTCGACCGGACTAGCAAGAGTAGAGGAAAGAGAGCAAGCAGTGAGAGAGGGGGGAGGAAGAACAGAGGTGATACGGAGAGACGACCAAACAGCTGGGACTGGGTTGTTGAGATGCTTGCAGGGTGAATTGAGAGAGGGTGAGAGGAGAGAGGAAGACAGTGAATGGATGAGGGTAGAGTGAAAGACTTATACCGACGCCATCGTGTGCTCAGAGTCCGGACCACAGCACGGTGGACGGAGTACCAGCAACCCCCAGCAGCCCCCAGTATAAGCCCGGCCCAGCCCATTCGTCCCAATCAGGCAAGTCCTACTCCAGGGCCCGTGACGTCCAAGACTATCCCGCTTTTAGGAGTTCGACGCGTAGGCGGGGCCAGAGTCACGGGACTCACTGAGGGTCCTGGGACCAATCATGCGCTGCAGATCGACCTCGTTTGGTCATTGCCCAGCTGGCTAGGCGATTTCCGGCAGGTTGTGCCGGGGTTATCATGCTTCCCTGTGAGCCTATCAGCGGCGGTCGATACAGCAGGGCTTATCGTGGTCCCAAGATTGCAGAAACATTGATCGATGATGCATTGCTTCCACTTCTTTATTGGACACGTCGACGCCAGATCTTGCCTATACGAGAATCTCTGACTTCAGGGGCTGCAAGTTGTTACCGACGAGGACTGACAAAAGTCCATTTGGCTTCGGCATTTCCCACCACTCTCCACCTCCTATTTTGAGTCGCATCATCCTGCTCATTTGTTGCATCTTCTTCTCGTTTCACCCCGATTCTGGCCGCGTCACAAAATGCCGGTCGTCCTCGTGCATTGGTGCTGCATGCCGCCTAAGCATAAGTTAGGTTCTTGTGCCGGGTGGAGGATAGATTTCCAGGAATGTCCTCGTACCACGAATGATTTCATAACGGCCGGACTCGTGACAAAAGTGGTGTCTCGGGACCGAGATTCGGTGACACCGGGCGCACAGCATAGTTTCCATTCTTTCGGAGTACCGTAGATCATTCAATTGAGTAATTGAGTAAACGGAACCTCTTCGCCTGGAGCCACCATCGACGTCAAAGGGAGAGAAGATGCGGAAGATGCTCACCGCTCGACGAGCGCCAAGAAAACCACCTTCAATTCTCAGACATAAGCTCCTTACAGAAAACAGTGTGGCATTGTGTATGGAATGGAAATGTAGGAGACGCATCTCTTCGAGAGGTTACCAAGCATGATTCTGGAGTAAGTAGTTAGGCACTACCGACTCTTGGTTATCATCTTCGTATGAACGCATTCTCTCCTTGCACGTTAGTCGCCTCACCAACACATGCATACTCATGACGGAGGATGGCTTTGGTACATTATAGCGTCAGACATGGAATCAGACCGACATTTGGCTACGTAATGCCGAGACTTTCCGCGAGCAACCTCGACGGATCGAATCAACCCCGGGCGTATGTCATGAGGAGGCACTCCTCCTCACGTAATGACAATGACTTTTCGAAGATTGGCTTTTTGTGGTCGGCTCTCAGAGACTAGACTTCAGTATCAATCTCAGAGTCATATCAGCAAAAGGTTATATTAGATTTCCGTTCGGCGAGAATCTGCGATTCAGTTCATCCAACCGACCCCGAAAGGTAGCCCGAGAAGCTTAAAGAGGCTGCCAGAACCACGTAAGAGATCGAGGGTAGAGCATCTCTGTTGTGTCATCTTCTGAGAATAGTTATCAACCTGTCTCTTCTATTCTGCAACTTTGTAGCTTGACAGAAGCTTGAATACTGACTCTAAATAAGTCCTTTCAGTTAGTAGATCCCTGATAGTGGTCAAGCGGGACCCGTTCGTAAGGTGATCTTGGAGTCCGTCCGGACACGGCTAGCGGGTCGGATGCCCCCACTTCTTCCACCAGATCGTGATCGGAGCCGAGTGGAGTAGACGTAAGAAGCAGATGAACGGAGATGATGTGGGACCAGGAGGAGACACAACTGAGAATGTTGAAGACTTAGCCTGAGGGAGGGCGACAGACTCGGGGGAGATAGAGCTGACCCCCTGACTCGGATACAACACTCCGTCCCAAACTGGAAGGACCCTTCACTGCCTCCATCCAGATCTCAGTCCCATGGGGGGAAGTTCAATGTTTGCCATATGCGCCGCTCCCCGTGTATTGCCCTTGGTCTACCGGTTCCGGACGCGACGCTTCTCACGGAATGCGATTGACACGAACTAGACGTGGGCCGCACGATCCGATAGTTCTGTTTCGATGCGACTTATGACTAACCAGACTTTCCAAAGTCGATGGTTCTGTGAAGATTGTAGTGCCAAAGGGCGAACGCCAATGTGCACTCCATGCATAGTTGGTGTGAGGGTGTTGATGTACAGTGCTTAAAACTTAACAATTTGAATGTTTGCGGGTAGTCGATTTAGGCTCGACGACACGACCATTTACGAGACTTGTGTCTAACGAAAAGGGTCTATCCCCTTTGGAGGCGGTAATAGCTGTGCGTCTTATGGACTACTCGATATCATTTCCGCTTGCAAGTAGGGGAGGAGACAGGTGGCCCTGAGAGCGTTTAGCGCATTCACTGCCGACAGACAACCTTGAGAATATTGAGACCAGACAAGCCAATGATATCCATCTTCCTTTAAGAATGGGTGGATGAGATCTGCCTTAGCTGCAGACGTCATGGAGGCCTCCAATTGTATCGAGTTGTCTGATGGCTTCTAGATCAGTACGCATCAACGTCCATACACTCCCGCTTGTGTCAAGACACAAGGCCTTGTGTTTGATGGCAGCCTTCATAGTGCTTTGTATCCTGGTAACTCTTCAATATAGCTCTTGTGTGTATAAAGTCATCGTCTTCTGACTATAACTCCTTTCCAGGATTTATGGTGATGGAAGACTCGAATCGAAGCATAGGTTGATGCCTGGATGTAGGGACGCAATTATATCCCCAAGTGCTTCCCCAGTCGCATCGTCGCCAAAGTCATCTCGCCAGAGTTATTGACGGAGCGATAAGTGAACAAGCGATGGAGCAATAAATGCTGTGCACTGCGATTCGATTACACGGAGTTCAGGAATGATAGCCTGTATAGAGTCTCCTCATGGTTTAGAAGACCATCACGACAGCCAGATCGAGACTGCACTTCTAATGCCCTCCGGAGACACGATGAACCAAAAGCCCGAGTTCGAACCGGCTCGCAACTGATTGAGCCATTTTGTTTGAACCGAAGCGTTCTTGTAGGTCTTCAGTCGGAGAGCCCAAGGCCAGTCATCGGGGATCTCAAGTCCCCATGGAATCGATCACGTGGATCCAACTGGGTCCATACCCCCCGAAACGAGCCACCAGAATGCTAACAATAGAGCATTTTCGACATTTTCTCGAGCGCATGGACGGAGAATGGCCGGAGTCGGAAACTTCTGTTTGTGGAGTAACCCCAGCCAAGAGGATCAGAAGGCGCATGCCCAGTGATCCATTGTATCCTCCGCGACACCCTGGGGGTATATCGCGTGATCAGAGTGTCTGGACCTGTGCCCCATTGAACACCACACAGAAAAGCATGGAAAAATCGCATGTTGGAAAAAAATATGTACTGAACTAGTGTGCTCCCTCCGGGCTTGGAAAAGTTGTTTTGGGGGACAGGCAGACCGGTGCGATGTAGTGGTGCAGCAGTGCAGCGGAAACAGTACCCATAGAATGAGGACAGGACAACGTGAAACAAAGTGTTACATTAACTATGACCGAGAGTTGCGCATATTGAGTCGATGCCAAGGTAGTCCTCCTACGCTATTGTCAGGGGTGTAGTAGTCTCCGGATTTCTCTAGTGCGTGCATGTTAAAGAGTCGAGAATCAACTATTTTTTCGACGCTTGGCGTAAGTTGTGGGCACTGTAATAGCATCTGTGAGCTAGCGAGCTTAGGGGAGTAACGACTGCTGGATGTAGAGGATGGCAATGATGCCATGGTGCATTCAAATCAAGCTCCTAGCCTAGCAGCAAGCGACAATGCACCATAAGTGCGGCGAACTTCCAGTACGTGAACTCAACCATGAGAGAGCTTGCAAGAATAAGCATCCAATGATCTACCTTTACAAGGAAGGAAAGCCTAAGTAGCCGCAGCACAATTTGGGTTTCTCGAAGGCAGTCATGACAGAGGAAATAGGCCTAGGGTTGCATTTGCAGCGCTTTGAAAAGTCCTGTTCACTTCCATTCGGCCCGTAATGAGAAGAGTGGTGAGTGCATCCGAGCCGTCCGCATCAGCACACCTTAGCCCTACCGATTTGACAGAACGATTACGCCTTATATGTCGAATGAGGCTGAATGAAATATTGCGAGCTCTACAGCATTGAGCAGGAAACCTGTCACCCGGACTTATCTGGTTAAACAGCTTATCTGCTGTCGCGGTTCGTTTAGAGCCGGGAGAAGCATCGAATCGGAAGAGTGACAGTGACACCGGCAAGGTATCGGCAACCATCCGAGGTATTTTCTGCTGCATTGCCGGCATAGAGACCAGGATCTGGCATTGCAGCGAGCGGATGGTAATGGCTTTCTTGTGAATATCTAAATTATGCGGTGAAAGACTTGGGCAGGAATCAGTCGGCTTCCTAGGCAGCACTGCCAGTGACTATTACAGTAACGAGAAGTAGTAGGTTATAGATGGTTAAATGGTAGTAAATACTATACTACAAACAGTAGGATATTGCGAACGGTTTGATCGGCACTTTGAGCGAGTATATTCTGGTAGACTATGCCAGCATAGCCTAAAAACAGCAACATGTTTGTTGCCACTGCACGGGGGGCACACAGCCACAGGAGGGGGTTCCACCTTTCTATTTGTAGCAGATCGTGCCTTTGAGATGACGACGAGCGCTGAGGAAGCTGAACACGATTAAGAATCACCCGATCTCGGAGCACGGTTCTTGTCGGCCCCTCCCCCGCCAATTGATTCCCATCCCCAATGCCGGCAGTCGAATGATCCCGGGGATAGAAGGGCGTGGCAGTTTTGTTGATGTTCCCATTCCATCCGGCTCTGCACCGGCCCGGTCGGTGGCTGGCAGTGAAAGTGAGCAGTGGGGAGCGGACACCGCCTCGATATATGCCTAATTCAGTAGTTTGTAAGGGCTAGGGCTAAAGGCATCACGCGTCGGTCAACCTATTTTGGTTGGTAGGGCGGAGTGAGGTTTGCCGGGCGGTGTGAGTTTCCCGGCGGCACCCTCCGCCTGACCACGTGCCGCTTGACCTAATTCAGGAAAGAAAGGCAAACGCGCGCGCGCACCCGCCCCGCTCCGCGCCGGAAACACGACTCACTTCCTTCTAAGGTTCACCGAGCCATCGCCGAACGCGGTCGCAATCCGATCGTTCGTTTGCGGTTGTCACAAGTCTGCGTTCTTATGAGGAGTGTCCGGCTGAGTCATCAGGGATTGGATTTTGCATGCTTTAGTGATTGAGATAGACAAGGCCATCCGAAGTGGTTGTTGGGATTGTTTCACTCCTCACCGGACAGCCGCAGTTGCTCATGGAGATAGGCTCGCCCCTCGGTATTGGCAAACCCACCGATTCCGAAGGCGGGAATGATGCGACACATCCGCGTCAGCGACGCCCCGATCCAATCCCGACTCACTCGCGCCATCCGGTCCGCGGCAGGAATCGTCATCGGTCGGTTGTAGAGGTCCAGACCCAGCAGATGGATCGGGGTACTGATGAGTTGGATCGAGGCTGGGATGGCCAATTGCGCAAGGAGGATCTTGGCGTACTCGCTCGAAGCGACCGAGTCTGGGATGGACGTGGAGACCATCGCCGGGAGGCTGAAGGAGCCGAAGATCGTCAGGGCGTCGCGGATGAGGAAGGCCGAGTAGGTAGCAAAGGGAATGGAGCGGGTGACGGAGCGGAGGATCTTGCTCTGGGATGCCGCGGCGGCGGCGGCGGCGGCTGGTTTGGTGGCGCCTGTGGCTGCCGGAGTTGATGCCGCTGCAGGGGGCGGGGGTGTGGTTGTCCCCGCAGTGCTGGTGTTGTGGTTGTGGCCGAAAAGTTGAGCGAACTTGACGTCCTTCCAAATGCCGACGGAGGAGTTGACCACGAACGTAGTCAAGAACGTCGACGTCGTGGCAAGTGCGTGGTCGATGTGTGGATAGACCTCGCTGAGGACGGTCTCGGTGGCATTCGCCGCGGCAAACGTTGCGGTGTAGAGGGACCAGACGAGCAGACTGGGTCGCGAGGTGAGGAAGGTCGCAGGTTGCGTGATAGAGAGCCACAGGTGTCGACGAAATGCGGGCAGAAGAGGTTGATTGTGAGAGGACTTTTCCACCACCAGTCTAAGTTGAGGGTCAATACGTGCATTCGCTCTCGAGAAGCCAGGTGAGCTGTACCTGTCCAGAATCATCACGGCCGGAGTGACCAAGGCTGCTGAGCCTGCAGCAACCGTGAAATCCGCCGTCAGAAGTTCTGCCAACCGATTGCGCTGTAAGCTCCAGGGGAGCGTCTGCTGGAGAACGAAATCATGATCCATGGTGATGTTGAGTAGAAGGGCACCCCTGGCCCTAGAAAGGTGACGGTGGGGGTTCCAACAAAAGAGATATTCTCAGGCTATCCTATAAACAAAGGAAAGGCGTGGAAAGAATGGTGTAGTAGTAAGGGTATCTAGTACCCAGTCAGTCAGACATGCACACGGGCAATATAGAGTATAGGGCAACACTCACCTATGGATGCATACAAATCGCTAGAACGTAACGCTGAACTGGATATGAAAGGAATGAAAGTAGCAGGCGGGCAACAAAACGAGGAGGGTCACCGCGGGGACTCAGCGTGATAATAAAATAATACAACCGAACAAAATAAGGTAATGGGTGTATCCCAAGGTCGGGCAACGTCAATAATTCCCACAGTGCACACCATCTAAGCACTGGTGGCACTGGCTGGCACTGCAACAAGGAACAATACCTATCCGTTCGGAGCGAGGGCATCTTCGGCGGGTGTGACCAATGGAAGCCAACCGGGCCGGGACCCGGGTAGCCTCGGGCATAAAAAATGATACGCAGCCCCAGGCCGATGCTGCTACATAATGGAAACTGAGGCTGTTGGTTGTGGGTGTGGATCGTGTTCTAGAAGGAGAACACGACTAAGGTGAATTGGTGAAGTGAAGGTGAGGAAGACTGAGGGGGGAGGGGCAGTCCTCAGGGGGTGGGCTTCGCTATTGGGCCATGATGAGACGAGGGGCGTGAGCCTGGCCTGCTTAATCGGACTCTTTTTCACCGCTGATTGACTGGCAAGAAGTCTGTGGTCAGCAAAGCTAGCATGGACAGATTGGATCTGTCGCAACTGTACTCACATAGTAACCAGTCTAGCTTACTTCACATCTTCCACTGCCCAGAATCACCTCCACGGTAGAAGAATTGGCCGAAATGTAGCCATTCCCAACTCCTCGGCGGGAACCACGGGTAGGGCCCGACTGGGGGATCAGTGGGTTCGTAACCCTGATAATCACCCACTAATTTGCAATAAATAAGTCTAATACTTGGGAGCTTGAACCTACCACCAATCACCACCGCCAGCATCGCCCTTCCTCAATAGATAAGGATGGTCCGTCGATGGTGCCCCTCTTCCCGATCCACCGAGCAAAATCAGAGAGGGCGCGGAGATAACTACGGCGGCGAGTCACGCCAGTTGAGTCGCTACGCTGTCCTCGGTACGGCGGCGTCAAATCATCAAAGCCCACACTGCATTGACTGCTGCTCTTCGGGCCCTAAAGCAAATAAGAATGCCTATTCTAAACCCCCCGCCCCGCCTTTCTCTCCCGTAATTCGAAGCACCCGGGTTTTCCATCCCTATTCATGAATCAAGCAATACTGGTCCAGAACTGCAAACGAATGCCCTGTAGCAAACAAAAAACGCTCTCAAAACGAAGTCATGATATTCGGTCGCTGGTGTATTTCCGCCGGGGTTGTACTGGCGACTCGAGTCGGGGTCAACCCATGTGCCCTCACATGATCACACAGCAGGAATTCTGCTTCTTCGCCGAGGTGTAGAACATCTTCGACTGTGCACTCAGACCCTCCGATTTGGATACCAAGTCGTCGATCTTCTCGCCGCGTTCGAGGACCTAGTTTAGAGAGTCAGCCCTGTCGACTGACTGACCTGACCACCTGCTGCAATCCAGGACTATCAACTCACACTCTCGATGGTCTTGTGAAGTACGATCTTCGTCTCATCCAGCTCCTTCTGGATCTTGAGGATGCTGTCCACCTGATGAGGGTCCTGGTAGGCTTGGATGTAGGTCTTCAGCGAGGGGAAGGAGATCGGTTCCCGCGAGGAACCAGCGTTCGGGTGGAGGGTGAGGAACTCGTCAAGAGTCTTGGAAAGGACCTGGTGAGCGGCGAGCGAAGGGTACTCGTTATCACTGATGATGACACCGGCGATACCCTGGGTGCGCGCGTATACGTGGAATGTGAAGTCTGCGATCTGACGGTCAGGGGCTGGTGGTCGAATAGGACGAGATGGATAAATGACTCGAGACAACAGGCGGAAAACTTGCCTTGCTCTTGAATGTCCTGTCGTTGGCCTTGTTTCGTGCGTTCGGCGACGGTCTTGCTGAACATGGTCATGAACTCGCTAATGCTACCCCTGGTAAAGCGCGAGTAGCTGCTAAGCTCACGCTCGGCGCAGAGCTCCACCGCGGGAGCCTGGCCATTTTGGAGGATCTAGATCGGCGTAGGCGTTAGAGAAAGTTGTCACAAGAGAAGGAAGAAGAAAGGAGCACTCACTCCGATGTAAACGATCTTCATGTTGACGACGACGGGGGTTCTGTGAGGCTGACGTCGATGACCAGCCGAAAGCTTGCGGGGAGACGGTTGAGGTTGCGCTTCTCACCGCCTTGGCGCCTGGGGCATCCGTGCCTTTCTTTGAGTCGTCATCACGGGTTCTTTCTCAATCTATCATCATGAATTATATCTGGGGAGGTAATGAGTGTGTCCAAGTAACTTCATTATTCAGAGTTTTCGAGAAGCTATTCTCTCATCAATACACTTTTATGCTAGAGAAAAGAAAGTGTCCATAACGCCGGACCCCATAACCAGAATAGTCCACTTGCATGTGGCTTGATCAAAATATATATACTTAGAACCACGATTGCCATGTGTTGACATTGACACAACAAACCGTTAGCATGCTTCACCGCAGCAATTAGTCGTCGCCATAGTTTATTTTGATCACGCAATATCTATATTCTCAGGCACAAGGTGTAGTACTCCAAGGTTAGATCAATGACCACGTTGTTGATTTACGCACACAAGTCTTGGCCGGATTCTCTATCGAACATGCCCCGGTATACACCAAGAGAAACGCACTAGAAGTGACTACGCATGATTGGCGATATAGCCTCCAAAACTCATGAACGAGAGTATTATCGTATGGATGATCAGAATTTAAGGAGCAAACCGACCGAGTACGGTTTCGCGGATCGCCCACAGCACCAAGCATCGAGGTTGCTTATCGTCGGTGCGGCCTTGGCCACGGAGGCCACTACTGATACCGAGTATGCAACCACATACATCCACAATCAAAAGGATCGCTCTGAGAGTGGTCATGGCTCGCATCTGCGCAGACCCCTCCATGCGGTCACAAAGACTGTCTGAGGAAAGTAGGTCGGTTGTTCGCCGTCGAGCATAACGTCGCAATGAATATTCTCCGATCCGTACGCACTCCACCCTGCACTCCATTGTTGAGCTTAACATAATACTAGTCTTGGGCAAGCCTCTCCCAGCAGCTAACAGAATGCAAATGCAGGTCAACCGAGATGCATAAACTCTCTCTGGAGGAATTGAGCTAGTCCTGCATCACTCGCAGATCCTCATCAAAGAGTCCGAATCAGTTGCGCGTTCAAAGGGGCAATCTAAGGTTAGGATTGGAAGGAGAGAACGAGACACAGATTGAGTCTATGTGGATAACCATGTGAGGGATTTTCCTCCCAGCATGCAAAGTTTTTTATTTCCCCGCTAACATGCACGTTCTTGCTCAGTATATTGGGTCTAGAATATTTGTTGTTGTTTTCTATGACTCGTTCTCTTCTCTCCCTTGTTGGAACAATTGAAGACCCGCGATAAGGAGTGGAATGCCAGCCAGAATGAAAAGTCAATGCCACTGTTTCCGGGACAAGATCTGCTCACGACTACCCCTTCATGAACTTAAACTAAGCATCTGAACCAGGGACCAAAGGGATCAATGAAAGAAAGAGCCCTGGACAACGTCACATTCGGTCGCAATCATGATGTCCGAGATCTTGGGTGCCGTGCAACGCCGTCCCGTCATTGTAACGCGCCCCAGCGCCGCAACCGGAAAGCTTCCCTTGCTAGGAATGCAACGGAGAATTGGAATGCCCGAGCTAACAACATCCTGTCCACCAAACAATGGAAGGGCTGGGGCAGAGGTAAACATCAACCACAAACAGACCTTCTGAAAAGGCATATATACCGTCTTTTGCTCCGCCGTTTTCAATCCCTCCTCATCATCATCTCTCACTCTCTCACTCCAATCAAACAACCTATCAAACCTCCAAACCAAACCCTCTTCACCACAATCATCACCATGCGTTTCTTCGCCATCCTCGCTGCTGCCACTCTGGCCACCGCCACCGCTGCTGTCGGTGGTCCCTCCGCCCGCAACCTTGAGGTCCGCGCTGCTGAGGGCGACAAGGGCGACAAGCCCCGTTACACCGTCCCCGATGACTGGACCATCGAGCAGGGTTCTGCCAAGTGTGGTAACCAGGCTCAGCTCTCTTGCTGCAACAAGGCCACCTACGCCGGCGACACCACCACCATCGACGATGGTGCTCTGGCCGGTCTCCTCGGCAACATTGCCGGTACTGGCTCTGGCTCTGAGGGTGCTGGTCTCTTCGACCAGTGCTCCAAGCTCGATGTCCAGGGTATGTCTTTCGCCAGCACAATCCTATCATCTTCGAGAATAAGAAATGCTAACATTGAACTTTTCTCCCACAGTCCCTATCATCGGCATCTCCGCCCAGGACATCCTCAACCAGCAGTGCAAGCAGAACATTGCCTGCTGCCAGTACAGCGGAGCCGACGCTGTGAGTTTCACCCCCAAAGCTCCCCTTTTGACCGGAAGAGCGGTTAAACTAACGCAATTGAACAGTCCGACGACCTTCTCGGTGTCTCTCTTCCCTGCATTGCTCTGGGTTCCATCATCTAAACGAGACTCTGCACGGCTGGACTCAAGGATGGGCGAAATTGCTCTTTTCTTATTCTTCTGTTCTTTTTGGCAAGAGTAGACCCATTTCCGGACTTGGTTCCTTTCACTAGACTGCCCTTTTTAAAAAAGTGATTCCTAGTCGACATAATTACACCTTAATAAATACCACCGCTTAATTCTACACACAATGTCCCTGGGTCCGTAGGGTATAAAAGAGAGGGAGACTGTCTACTACAATCTGGCAATTGCAACCGTCTCATTTGTTGAGGTACCATTGTACAGTTCTTCTGAACGCACAAATCCCTTTTCCCCCAGTGAACAGTCGCTAACGGCACTCAGACACACGCACCCGACAAACTCTGCTGACAAGAACTCGGATCCATCGGAAGACCTCGGTCATCAAATCGCCAGTAATCTGGCTATAACATAGCAAGAACACTACAATCTTGCAAGTATAATGCATAAACCTGCCCAAGCCAGCGGGGCTCTACTTATTCTACAGAGCTTTCGGAGTTTCCAAGTTTCCAAGCTGATATCGCTCTTGAAACAGCACACTATGGCCACGGGCTTGAGAAATGCGCCAACTCGAAAAAACCTTTTTTACCAAGAAGTGTAGTGCTGCGAAAGCTTCACTGTTAAATCTGCAAATGGCGGAGCTCCGAACAAGCTCGCTAGTGACCCGCAATGCTGCTTCTCGAGATCCCACCCACTCCGAAAAACTGGGAGACGAGGCTTGCTCCTCCGTAACGGCGTTGCCCCCGAAGAAGCCTCTCTCTCTACCGCGCAAGATAGCTCATTACCAACGTGCCTCAGAATCGGCTGATTCAATGCCTGTTCGATAACCTTTTCGATGGAGTCTGCGCACCAAGGGTTATACTACAGCAAATATGCAGTTGACCATGCCTTAAGTCACTCCATGCCAATTGGGGAGCAAGAAGAATCGGTTGGGCTTTCCCTAAAGCACGACGATAGGATCACTCCTAATTAAAGCTCCCACGAAGCTCGAACCACCTTTGCCAGGCGAGCAATGCCACGTTTCATCTCCTCTCGCTGCCACCGCAGATCAGCAACCTTGACCCAAACCCAACCACAGAGGATGGGGCAGAATATCCACTTACCGTCGTCATCGAGAAGGAAAATCGAAAGTTCGTCACTGCCGGCTTTGCGCCTCGAGCTTGGGTTGTTACCTTGTCCTCCCCTTGCCAGGGATGGTAATATGAGCCGGGAGTCAAAAGGACCTAACTCGGACTCACGTCAGTATCTGTCCGCAGCGAAGGAAAACAAAAAGCAAAGCCGGAATCAAGTATCAATAGGCAAAGAACAAGCGTACCCGTTCTTCGACCAACATCTCCCAGAAATAATCCGCGAAACATTTCTCCGGGTCCTCAAGAGATTGATCGTTGCGCAATCTCTGAAATGTCGGGTTGGCGTGGAGATGGAACTGCGCCCAGATGAACATCCCGCCCGTTGGCGGCACGAACGAGAAGATCGGGACGGCGTCGAGAACCGCCACGAGGGTGGAGTCGGCCACGTCGAGGTCAGGATGCTGTGAGCCCGGGACGAGGGTGAACTCGTGCTGGAAGGCACGGATCATCCAGTCCCGACGGGCTTGGTATTCGTGTCGCAGGTTCCGAAGCCAGGTCAAGTACCCGTCCATGCCCCATGTCTGCAGGAGGCTGAGCACGACGGCTTGTGAGAGGCCGGACGGGTCCTGGGTCTCGACCTCCGTGGCGAGGAGGAGGCGCTGGATGAAGAATGGGTGGGCGATGAAGTATCCGAGGCGGAGGCCGGGAGCGAGAGTCTTGCTGAATGACTCGAGGCGGATGACGCGGCCTTGGTAGTCGATTTGGAGGAAGGATGGGGCGAGACTGGCGAGGAACTGTTCGTTGGATGTGCTTGTATCATTGATGGTCTTCGGATTGAGTTCGTATTCCGGGAATTGGAGGAAGAAATAGGGGTCGTCTTCGACGATGATGATGTCTGGTATGGATTGGGGTGAGTTCTCGTCGGTAGTTGACCCAGCCGAGCTCAGATGAAGATCCACTGACCATATCGAACACAGATCTCATAGATCTTGCGCCGTCGCTCGACCCCCATTGTCACGCCAGTGGGATTCGAGCCCACGCTCACGAGGTAGAGAACGTGCGGACGCTGGATACCTGGATGATTTAACTCCCATCCAGCCAGGGTGGATTCTAGGGAGTCATCGCGGATGCCTTGAGCATCCATCGCCACTGGTGCGGCGTAATTGCCCAACGGAATCCAACATGCTTGAGCGGAAGGGTATGTGAACTCTTCGCAAAGGATATACTCTCCTCTCTCGCAGAGAAGGTTGACCACCTTGCTCCAAGCATTGGTGTTACCCGGATGCAGGAGGATGTCAAAGCTCTCGCAAAGGGGACGATGGATGTGCTGGGTGAAGTCGCGGCACCATTGCCGTAGCTGCGCGTTTCCTGCACCACTCCCTGGACGAGTTACGGTGAATGAGAACCCGCGGTCCACATGAAAATAGAGAGACGGAGAGACAGAGCTTACCGTACTGAAGGAAGCTAGCAAACGGATTCTCCGCTTTACCAGCAGACAGATCTAACTTTATCTGATGCTTCGTGCAAGGACTGGAGGCGGTGATAGTGGAAGTGTGAAGCGGAAAAAGAGAGGGATGTGGCAATCCTACGAGATCCCGTGGAAATTAGATGACACGCAAGATGGTCAGGGACCGTGAAAGGGTACTGTACCTCCAGCCAAACTGACCATATCATCCATGGCCATAAATTGGATGATCTTTTTGAGAGGACTCGGATGCCTCGACCTGGACGCTATATTCAGATGATGGTTCAAATAAATCATCTTAGAGGTCTTCGGTTCTTTGGATGGTGACATGATCGACTGCACTACACTCGGCAGATTTCTCGGGATCTAGTCAAACCAGGATGATTGCGTACTGCATGCAGCGACGAGTCTCGACTGCTTTGTAGTTGGCACAGGAAATCGCTTGATGGCCTGAACAAGACACGGGCCGGGATCCGGTTGATAAGCACGAGATTAGATGCGGAGTCGGCCTCAGATCCGACTGGTGACTCCCCCCTGATAAGACCCTCAGGAGATACAGTTGTATCGAGGGCATAGCCTCAGAGTTCGGGGATATCAATGGCAGGAAATCCGGGGCTGCATCTTCCAGCACTTCCCTCGATAACCCTACACATCCTCCGGCAGCAGCAAAAATGTCTCTTCCACACAAAACGGATATCTCCAAGGTCGAGGCCCAGCCCAACAGGACTTCCACTGCATCAATCCACGAAGGCAAGGTGTCCGATGTTGCAGCTGATATCGTGCATGCTGCGGAAGATGAATTCACACAGGAACAATACAACAAGCTTCGGAAGAAGATTGACTGGATCATCCTGCCGCTCATGTGGGTGATTTCTGGCACTCAGTATGCCGACAAAGCCTCAATTGCCACCCAAGCTACGTTCGGCATGCGGGCGGATACGCACCTGGCTGGCCAGCAATATTCATGTTAGTTGGTGAACCCCACGAGTCGAAGGCTAGATCAATCTAAGCTGACTGATGGGTTCCTTGTCAGGGTTGACTTCCATCTTCTATATCGCCTTTTTGGTCAGCGAGGCTCCTGGTAACTATATCTTGCAGCGCAGCGGTCTTGGGATAACCGTAGCAATTTCCATGTTCTGCTGGGGTAAGCTCAGCAGCAGGCTGCAATAGAGTCATGAAGCACAAAACTTACTAACAGCCCAAGGTATCATCGTGCTTTGCATTGCCTTTGCCAAGAACTTCGCCGGGTTGGCAGTTTTGCGATTCCTCGAGGGTGTCACAGGTACGCCGACGAGATCTCATTCTTGAAGCCAACTGAACGGCCCTTGGTAACCACCCACCCATAATGAAAATGTGTAGAGTGCACGACATATCCCGCCTTACTCATCATCACCGCCTCATGGTACACCAAGGAAGAACACGCAATGCGATCTGTGGTCTGGGGCAGCGCCAACGCCGGCATGGACGTCCTGACCAGTCTGATCAACTACGGAATCGGCCGAGAGGCGGAAGCGCGCCCTACAGGCCTTGCCCCATGGAAGGGAATCTCGATCTTCCTCGGAAGTCTCACCATCGCTCTCTCCATACTCGTATATTTCACTTTCGGCACACCCCGCGAGGTGCGATGGCTCACGGATGATGAAAAACGGATGGCATCCGCCCGCATCGTCGCGAGTCAAACGGGGTCCGATGCGCAGAAACGCGACATCGACTGGCGCCAGGTGAAGATCACCTTCCAAGACCCGCAGACGTACTTCTTCTTCATCCTCGTCATGGTGAATTCGATCCCCAACGGCGGCACCACCGCCTTCGGCAACCTGGTGTATGTCTCCTTTGGCTTCACGAACTTGGAAACCCTCGTCGAGGGCAAGATCCCCCAGCAGATCTTGTCGATTCTCTGGTTCCTGGTAGCGGGTTATATCACCCTGAAAAAATCCGATCTCCGCTGTACGACAATCCCCTCCGTGCAAGATATCCCTTTCCACGTGGTCGAGACTTCGAAACACTGAAAACTCTTCTCTCCATAGTCTACATCATGATCTTCTCCGTAATCCCAGCCTTCACCGGCATGCTCGCACTGGCACTGCTGCCGCATAATGCCGGACAACTCTGGGTCCGCTGGGGAATGTACTTCATGACCATCATCGGGAATGTTGCCGGCCCTTGTGCGTTTCCATCCCGACCTTTTATGCATCTTGATTCCTCGACGCTTCGTTAGCATCAAGGTCTCTGCATCGCTTAAACACTAACCCTGAATCGAAAAATCCGTCTGCACTAGTGATCTGGACCCTCCTTCCCTCCAACGTTGCCGGCCGCACCAAGAAATCCGTCACCGGCACCGTCCTCTTCATCGCCTACTGCGCCGGCAACTGCATCGGCGCCCAGGTCTTCCGCGACAAGGATGCGCCCCGCTACATCCCGGCTATCGTGGTGTGTTCGGTCATGTACGCGCTTGAGATTGTGTTGATGGGGGCTTGGAGGTCGTACTGTAAGCTTTTCCTTTTTTTTTATCCTTTCTCTTTGCTCTCGGTATCAAAAGTGTCTGCGGTTGCTGTCTCGGTGGGCTGAAGGGTAGGGGTGACGGCGAGGAGGACATGCTTGTTTGTGGTTTGTGAACTGAATTGACTTGGAGAATCTGGTCTGGTAGATATCTGGCAGAACACCCGACGGGATAGGTTGGTTGCGGAGATGGGGTTGACGAAGGAACAGTCGCTGCATCTGGGGCGGTTGAATGCAGAGGAGGATATGACGGATTGGGAGAATGTGCATTTTCGGTATAGTGTTTAGGAAGCCTGCCTGTGGGGCTTTGGGTGCGATTCATTGTCACTGGACGACCGATTTCAGAACGGAAATTGGCTTCGAATCAATCTCTTCCGAGAGGGGGGGGGGCTTGGGTACTTCATACGATGAACTAAGTATGAACAGTGGTTCAAGTGCTTTCATGTGTTCAAAAAGTATACTATATGGTGTATACGAGATTCCAACCGCCCCAACTAGATCGAGATCCACTTTAGCGAGTAACTAGTGCTGTTATTGATGCTGAACCGGAACCTACCCCCGCCGCCAGATCTTCATGGGCATAGGACCCAGCCCCGTATTCGTGGTTTCATGCCTCGTAGGCTCCCAGGCCGGATGAGGCAAGGCGAACTCGTAGCGGTGCACCAGCGAAGCGATCAACACGGTCTGCTCCAGGTAGCTGATGTTGCGACCGATACAGCCGCGGGCGCCGGTGCTGAAGGCCACAAAGTACGGCTGCAGGTCCTTGCCCGCCTCACCCAGCCAGCGCTCCGGCTTGAAGGCGTCTGGTTCGGGGAAGACGGCCTCGTTGCGATGCACGACATACGCCGAGATCCCGACCGACGTGTTCCCGGGCACGAACTCGCCCAGAATCGTGGTCCCCTCCGGGGGCGTGCGGCGCGGCAGCGCAAACGAGACCGGCGGATACAGCCGCATCGACTCATCCAGACAGGCCCGCAGGTAGGGCAGATGTTTGACCTTGTCGTACGGCGCGACGACCTCCTCCTCGTCCAGGACCTCGTCCACCTCCTCGCGCAGCTTCTGGAGGCAGTGCGGGTGGCGCAGAAGCAGGAACATGACGTTGCTCAGCGCGATGGCCGTGGTGTCGGACCCGGCGTTGATCATGATGCTCACCTCGGCGACCACCTCGCCCCATTCCAGGTTGTGCGGCACCCCGTTCTTGTCCGCCATCATCGCGGCGAAGAAATCGTCCAGCTGCTCCCCGTTTTGGTAACGTTTCCACCGGTTGTGCGCGCGGCTGTAGACGATCCCGTCCCAGTCCCGGCTGAGCTGCCACTTGCGGCGGAACGTGGCGGACACCACCTTGCTGGCTTTGACGAGGGTGTTGTACCACTCGTAGCACCATATCAGCGTCGAGGTGGCCGACCCGTTCGCGAAGTGGCATTCTTGGAAGCTCACGCGCTTGATGGTCCCGTCCATGGATTCGGACGTGATCTGGTCGTTGCCTTGGTCCAGAAAGCGGATGTCTTCGCTTAGACCGATGTTTGCGATGGCTGCAATGGTGAATAGGTTCGTCCACAGACGGTAGTCAACCGTCAGATCCTCTTCATTGGGGCGGTAGCCGTTGGGGAGGGGATCCGTGCATCGGGCATCGAACGCCCCGATGATGCGCCGCGTCATGTCGGCGACCTTGTACTCCCAGGATTCGAGGTTCTTGAGCGCGTAGGCACTGGATAGGACCTTGCGCTTGCGGGCATGCTCGCTCTTGTCAACGACGTCGGCGAGGTGGAAATGAGAGCCGCTTGTGATGGAGTAGAACAGGTCCTTGGTGCATTTCGTGCTGTGGCCGTAGATGTCTTTGATGGCATTGGGGTCTGCGTAGGATAACATGTTGGGACCGGTGCGGAGCACTGGGTGGCTCTTATGGGCTGCAAAGAGGCGCTTGTATCGCGTGCCTCTGTGGGACTCGATCACTAGAGGAAGACTCGAGATTCCCGACCAGAGTGAGAGTTGGGGGTACTTGCGGAGACCTTTAGGGTCTCGGAAGTAGTTGACGACGGGAAGGATGACATAGTAGAAGGATAGAAAAAGACAGAGGATGAGGAGAACTAGGGCATACATGATTGCGAAGACGAGGATGGATTGATTGAATCGTGAGAATGTTTTGTGGTCATCGCGAGCAGCACTTGATTGATATATGTCGATGCATCTGTATACTTACCCCGGATTATGCCCAAGCGAGGACAAAACCGGTTAGCGCCGGCGAGAGTATCCCAAAAGATCAGAATGGTAAATGTCGGCGAACATGCAATCCACTGCATGATTGTCAATCCACATGCTAGCTGATCCATGCAAAAGCAGCTGAGACGGCATGGGGCTGCACGAGAGGACAATTTTTGCAACATACAATCCACCATACATAAGTGGTGGCATAGCCCGGGAGCAGCGCAACTGGAGGTCTCCGCGACACCTGAAACCTCGATAACGAAATGGCTTATACTGAACGTCCTAGCTCAAACTCTCTTGACCCTCACACCTATGCAGCAATAGAGCTAGCACTAGGTTTAGGGCAGAATGGTGGTCGCATTGACGCTGACAAGGTTGGTTTGCTGCGACCCTCTGCACCATCGCTTCCATTGGACGAACTCCGCCGTCGATTCGAAGAGGATGGATACCTTTTTGTAAAAGGACTTATTCCCCGTGAAGATGTTCTGGACGCTAGGGAGAAGTAAGTACGCCGCCTGCATGTGAGCCTCCGGGGTATATCTCTGTTATTGACCGTGGTCAAGCTACTTCAAAGCGTATGCCAACACATCTCTTCTACAACCAGGGTCATCCCCGCGGGATGGTATCTTCAACAACTCGTCTCATCCCGATCTGCACAAGGGCATTGGTGGCCAAGGCTTGCCGGCTGATCCTGTTGAGGCTAAGATTCTTATCGACGCCCACTCCGACCCCAAATACCGTGCCTTCGTCGAGCATCCTGCTCTGACGCAGTTCATCCGGCTATTGATGGACTGGAAACAGCATGTGCTGCTGGACCGAACGATGCTGCGCCATAATGTTCCTTTTGGGATAGGCACTGGTATTCATTATGACAAGCTTTTTCTGCGAGGAGGAGATGGATACTGCCTCACTGCATGGGTCCCAATTGGTGAGTGAATGATATCCCCGAAGTGGGGCGCTATGCTAACTCATCTAGGCGATATCACAATCAATGGTGGAGGACTGTGCTACCTGGAGAAGTCTGTAGCTCTAGGAAATGAGATTGAGGAGGATTTTACCACTCGCGCTGCTGGATTCACGACTGAGCAGCGCCTTTCCGCCTATAACGTCAACATGATGGCTGGTGGTATGCTGGCCAAATCGCCCAACGAGTTCGTGTCAGATCATCCGACCTCCAAGTCTCAAAAGTGGCTGGCCACTCATTATGAGGCGGGCGACGTGGTTTTCCATCATCCGTATACCATCCATGCTAGTGGGCGCAACGAGGATGCGCAGGGGCGCATTCGATTGAGTACGGACTTACGTTTCTATGAGGAAGGGGATGCGGGGATGGACAAGCGGTGGTTCAAGATCTGGGATCCCAACGATGGACTGTAAATTTTGAGGTATATTCGGTTGAATCGTTGAAAGTGCCGTACGTAGTTGACTTAATTGATTAATTGAACCATGGATAGGCGGGGTTGCCGGTAGATGGAGTAGCCGAACAGGCAACCGTCGCCGAACCCCTCCAATTTTGTGAGATCCATCTCTTCAACTCTACCAGCTACTCCTTCCCACCTTCACCGATTCTCTGCCTTGCATGCCAGCAAGGCGCCAACCCTGGTAAGCACCCTTAGATATCTTCTTCTATGGACACTGCTGATTGGCTTTAGTGCACATTGCCGAAGTAAGTGCTCGACTTTTGTCCCTTGTGGGCTGCTCGCTTACACTTTGAACCCAGGACACCACCTGCGATGTAGGCATCTTCCTCAGAATAGTCACGTCGCCTTCGATGCTAAACTCACTTCATCTGCCTCATAGGTGATGACTCTCGCCCCAAATGTGAACGATGCCGAAATGCTGGGAGAGAATGCATTCGTTCCAGCCCACAGTTGCAGTTCCTGAATACAACCAGCGCAGAATATGCGCAGGATCTCTCTGATGTGTCAAATGCGCTGAATATCAGTATGGCTCTTTCTCTGGTTACAATCGCAGCTAACCTTTCAGCAAGCAAACATGCATTTGAATACGTCGATGAGACTCCAGCCTTAGCAGCCTTTTACGCGGCAGAGACGACTATTGGCGTGGAGCAGACTGACGCGTTTCCCTTTCATCCAACCCGCCAGGTCGAACATGGTGGCATTCGCAGCTCAGAACGAACATGGGATGAATCGAGATTATCTGCAATCACTACTCCCCTCTCCGCTGATCTACCTTCACCACAATCACAAACTCAGGCCGCGCAGGCTCAATTGAGCCTAGAGGAAGCCTGTCTGATCCGTTATTTTGTTGAAAGTCTCGGATTATGGGTACGTTGTCGTCGATAAGGTTGTGCGGCTTTTGCTCACACCACTAGTTCGACCTGTGTGACCCGGAAAGGCACTTTGCCGTCGTTGTTCCACAAAGAGCGCGTATTTGCGCACCTCTCCTGGACGCGATCCTCTCCGCATCCGCCCGACACTTCAGCACTCTCCCTCAACAACGTCAACTTGCAATAACACAAAACTATGGGTTGAAGGAGGGCCTCGCTATTGGCGAGGAGTCTATGCTCGCCTACCACAGTCGCTCTATCGCTGGCCTACGCGCTGCCAGCCAAGAACCCAACGCGATCATGGACGAGAACCTGCTTGCCGCGGTTGTGATTCTCCGGTTCTATGAAGAACTTGACAGTATACCTCCTCAATCCCTTCTACTCCCAACCCCTTAGGAGAGCACCTCGGCTAATTCACCAGGTCCCTTCACCGATCCCCCCTCTGACACCGCCGTCCGCGGCCTCCAAGTCTTTCTCGAAGCACAAGCCTCTTCCGCGATCCAGACGTGTCATGGCCTCCGCTCCTCGGCCTTCTGGGTCGGCTTCCGGCAGGAATTCCACATGGCCATCTCCCAGCGCCGATCCTTCCGTATACCCCTCGCCACTGTGGCTCACTACCTCCCTACCCGCGCCTCTCCAGACCATGTCTGGACGAACCGGTTGCTCATCATTGGGGCGCATGTCATTCAATACTGTTTCCCGCCAGTCCATTCTCCTGAACAATCTCCCGGTCAGAAATCCACCGCCTATGAGCACCTTCTCAATCTCCGCCAAAGCTGGGCGGCTCGCGCACCCTCGAGCTTCATCCCAATCTACACCACTTCTGCCTTGCCCTCCGAACGACTCTTCTTTCCACAGCAATGGTTCCTCAACGACACCCACATCGTGGCCACGCAGTCCCTCGGGCTCATCGATCTGTTGCTTGCCACGCACGACCCCCACGTTGACCGGCTCCGCCCCCGCATGTCGCACCGTCGGGCCCTTGCCGTGTTAGACGAAGAGATCCGTACCACAGTGCGGGAGATCTGCGGGGTGGCGGTAGCCAACCGACAGAGTCCAACGGCAGCGTTGACAGCGAGTCTGGCGGTGGTGCTAGGGGCGGAGGCGTTTCGGGAGGCGTCACAAGCGGAGAAAGACGTGCTACTGGCCGTGGTGCGGGGTATCAAGGCGGAGAGCTATTATTTCCCTGGAGAGGGAATGGAGGGGGTGATTTTGGGGGTGTGGGGGGAGGGAAAATGTCGTTCCTGAGCCTGTGAAGTTACAGCATGAGCAGTTGCACATGACTGGACGTGACAAGGTATGAGAGTGAACCTGCCAGTCTTCGTCAATCTCAAACAAGATGAAATCACAATCAATAGCGATAAGACAATGTTCAAATTGACACGAACGGCAGATAGGTATAATCTAGAAAGCATATAGACAAGTTCAGAACGCCAGGCCCTCAGCACCGCTGGAAACATGGGAACTCATATCAGACCCAGCAGAAGTGGTAGTATAAAACCCCCGAATGATTGAGAAAAGTCAAAGCAAAAAAAAAACCCCCATGATCATCAATTCATACAATATCCACGCTCTTCACAAATAGCCTTTTTGTTTTCTTTTGCATTGGCAAAATGGTATCGTATCGTCCTCATCGAAGCGAGATCCGGGAATCCTCCGGAAAAGTCGTGCAGACAAACATGGGCACTAGTAATGCGACGACTCATTCTCCGAATCTGCAGATTTCACCGAAAGAAAAAAAAAATTAGCTTCCACCTTCTTTCCCAGTCTACCATCTTTGTTTTTTTTTGGAGGGGAGAAAAGGCAAGAAAAACATACATCCCGACTCCACATCCCGGACGACCGGCGCCGCAGGGCCCTTCCCACCACCACCACCGCCGTACCCCATCATCGACTCGCGCTGGAAGAAGCCCAGATTCTTTAAGCGCACGGAGCGCATGTAGGATTCCTGCTCGCGGGAGAAGTTGTAGGGCCGCTCCTTCTCGGGCCCGCCGTAGGTCTTGAAGAGGGCGGCGCCCAGCGAGACGAGCGCGAGGCAGGCGACGATGACGATGACGATGATGGCGGATGTACTGAGGGTGCCCATTTTGGGATTCTGTATGGCGGCAGAAACTGCTGTGATATATACTTTTGTGGGTTTTCTTTTCGGGAAGGAGGATCAAAGTGACAGGTAGGCAGTTGTTTGCGACACTCGGTTTCTGTGCTGGAAATTCTTCCTTCCTGTGCTGTTGTAGTAGCGAGATATATAGTAGTGCAGGCGGACGGGTTTGGGCACGGCCGTGCGATCGGGGAGGTTGGTGGTCCGAGTACGATGGAGACTGACTAGAATTGGGACTAGTCTAGTGTGCCAGGTGGGTGTGGTTGTATTTATTTTTGGGAGGGGGGAGGAGGGAAATAGCGGGAGTGTGCGGATTTATAATCGCATGCTCGAATGGTTTGTTTTTTTTTTGGAATGGTGTGAGACAGATTTTCGATGTTGATGAGTGGTGTGAGGGACAGAGTGAGGGGAAGAGAAGTAGGAGTAGGAGGAGAAGAAGTCCGACCGAGAGAGAGCGAGAGAGCGAAGAGTACAATATTTAATCGGAGGATCGGAGAGAAATCAAGCACCACTCAAAGAGAGAGAGAGAGAAAAAAACTCGACCACGACTGATTCGGACGCGTGAGGAGGGCCCACTGTTATTTATAAATCAGATTGGAACAAGATGAATGAGAGGCAGAAATCGACAGAAGAGTTAACATGGGTCAAGCAAGCCTTGTTCATGGATGGTTGCCCACGCGGCCTGCTGGCTGTGTTCCAAGCTGGCTGACGGGCGTCTTTCATTGCCATTGGGTGAGCCTCAGCGCGGTCGGCGCGTCTCCACCGACTTGTGCGCATCGAGTCCTCGGGGTGCCTGCCTCTGGATAGCAGCGCTGGAATACGGATACGCTGGTTCTTTTCTTCACTTTGTTATTGACCGGATAGGTAGATTGTTTACAGTACATATTGAATGTGTTTTATTCACAGTGAAGTCACAAGCAATAATTCTCTTGCAATGAGTCCTCCCTCCCTCCTCCTCATCCTATCTCGCATTCTCATCTTATCGACCCCCTCTTCCATTCCACTCCGCCCTTGCCGAAAGCTTGACCAAGCGACCAAGCGGAGATGGCTTCATCATTGGCTGGAGATGATGTTGCTGCGGACTCCGGTGACTCCTCGGTCTAGAATTGTCCACTTCATCCCACACCACCAGACTGACAGTCAGACATAAGATTCCCTTCCACTCCCTTCTCATCTTATTGTACTGTACGGAGTACTCTGTCATCAACCCGAGCACTTCGTATTCCAACAGCCGTATTCGGCTTCTCCCACCTGAAACAGCGTGGGGCCTTGAAACGGCAACGTTTCTGCCACCCATCGGGCCAACGACGTAATTTGTCCGCACGATCGACAGTATCGGCCCTCGCCCTAAACCCACCATGGTGCCGATAAGCACTAACACCGCGCGGATTTCACCACAGCTGAAGCTTTTCGTCTCTTCCCATGCGACAATCACAATTCCCACGTCATACCTTTCGATACTCCTTCCCCCCACTTAATAAACTCACCATCGCGACTCTAGTCTATTCGACACCGGACTCGACAATCATGCTGCCTGCCTGCCTGCCTGCACCACCGGATACAATTAGTCCAGTCCCTGGTGGGGATCGTCGGCGGTAGCGGCCCGGCCTGAGGCGGATACGCCGGGACTTCTCGCAGGAACAGACTTTTGCCCGCCCTGCTGGATTGCACAAGATTTCTTGATTTTGGGGTGCATGAAGAGCTCTGCGCTCCAGCTTGCTACCAAGCGAAGCTATACTATTGGATGCTGTACCATCTAGTTCTGCCTACTGGGCGGAGCGAAATATCCTGACGGAGTGCTGTACTACTGCCCGCGACAGGATTCTTCCGCATCTCCCGACCTCCGAGTTGCTCCCAGGCATAGTCACCGCAAATCACATGACAGTAAGCGGACGGAAGATTCAAGGATCCTCAGGCAGATCCTCCAGCCCCCTCCAGTCCGAACCAGAATCAATAATAATTAAACCGACCAGGGGTCCAGATTCCGTGAAACATGGATGATACGCAGCAAGCCTGTTCCGCCCGATGCATGCATGAGTGCTTGTGTTTGCGCTTCGTTATAGCTTAAGTGTGGTTCGTCTCTGCTGGAGGGATTGGTCACAATTTCCTAGCTTCGAGCTTATCTTCTCAATTCTCGGGGCGTAAAGCTGACCAAGATAAGTTAAGCTCGGTCGACTCAGGTTTGTTGTAGCTATTGGCGGGCTGTGACACTGTAAGCACGTACATTAAATGATGGCTTGGCATCTAGATCAGTATAGGATATCTCAACTGCTCTCAGATCATGTCACTATGCTTGTCACGGCCCTCTAGCTAGCGGATAACTATCAACACTGCATGTCCCATTCAGCTTGCCTGAGCTGCGCTTGGGCATGCAGCCTGCACTTTCGCTTGGCGGTGGTAGATTTCTTTGTTGGCCACAAAAGACAGCCAGCTTCCAAACGCCACGGACGGCGTAGCCACCGTCGATCTTTACACATCGATAACAATAGGTCAACTTTAAGGTTGCCAGAATGAATTATCAACCTCGAATTAGACTTACAAGGGCTTGGCCCATGAAGGGTCTATTTACGGCCATTCATCTATCCAACTTGCGCTGCGGCCAGAAAGATTGCACAATATCTGTTGATTGACCTGAAGGCTCAAGCCAATATCAAGAGTATCCCACACTCACGTTACTCACTGCCGTAGTGCTTCGAGGTTGAGACTCGCTTCCTTCAATCAGATCCTTCAACTTAGTCAATTCGGAAGACATCCACGCAGTAAGGGCGACGATGTCTGCTCCGGAGTTGACAAAGTCGAACCCTTGCATGTACCTTTTGGCCGCTGGGTCTCAGATGTCAGTGACTCGGCTGTCTCTCCATCAACTCAGAAGAAAACCGACCTGCTTCAGCAGATAAAGCAAAATGCCCCGCATACTTCCCAGCTGCTTTAGCCGCTCGCAAGACCTTCGTTGTTGCTTCTTGCACCTCGGGTATCGTTGCATGATCGAAAGCAAAATACCCCATTGACGAGGCCAAGTCGTTAGGACCGACAAAGAGCATATCTAATCTCGCCTGATTAATTCGGCCAGGTCTAGACTACCTTAGATCAGACACGAACCAATACCCTCAACGGAGGCGATAGCCTCGCTATTCTCGACCCCCTGGCGTGTCTCGATCTGAACAATGATCGTAACATTGTCATTGGCATGGGTGAGATACTCCCGCCCGCTCTGGTTAAACGCGTTCGGAGCAAACATGGCTCCAGTGCCCCTTATTCCTTGCGGCCATTGCGCGGAAGGGTATTTGCAGCCTCGGACCACGAGTTCGGCTTGTTCCTGGCAGCATCCCCAGTCAGATCCACGATGAACGGAAGAACAGTACAGGGTTTGGGGTGTGAAGCAGACCTTGGTCTCACACATGGGAACCATGATTCCATGCGCCCCCGCGTCGAGCGCCCGTTTCATCATCCAGGTATCGAGGGCGGGAATGCGCACGATGGGCGACACGCCGGCTGCTGCGATGGCCGCGACTTGGAGGTACATGTCTCTGTCGTCGATGTTGCCGTGTTCACAATCTATGAGGACCCACTTTTATGTAAGGCTGTTAGCGGATTGGGATGGAAGAGGTTGGGGAGATGGGACTGGCGTACGTCTTCCCCGAGGCCTGCGACTGTCCTTGCGAGTGAGTAGCCGGGCAATTCTAGCCATTGGCCGATCGAGGGGCCTTTTCGTGCGGCGGCCCTTGCGAGGGAGGCTTGCAGACGTGTTTCGTTGGCTGCGGAGGAGATCAGAGCAGTTTCGGCTTGCGACATGTTTTCCAGCAGACTGTGGAGGAAGTTGGTATGGTAATGGAGGTACTGCTGGGGGTGGTGGTGGTGGTGCTATATGCCTCTTTCGGATCGGATCTCGAGCCGGTGCCGACACTCTTTCCGCTCTTTCCAACCATCTCCTCCGGATTACCTCGATCATGTTCTCTAATGGTATAGGCCACCTTGATGCAAAGAACTCTCTTGCACTTTCTCTTGTCTCATACACCCCGTTTTTCTGCACATGCTTCGAGAATGCCCACTCGACTCCACCGTGGCTGGTATTCATCGTTTGTCGCCGAATCTGTTCGATAGGTAGTCTGCGATGTGGAAAGGGACCTCCGCCCAGCCACGATGCCAGACTTTCCATAAAGCGAATCGTTATAAGTGGGTCCTGCTTGTCATATCCCAGACCATTGGTGGGAAATGAGGGGAAGAGATTAGATAGGATCACTTCTATGATAACTGATAAGGATAGTTGACGATGCGTCCAAGTCCCTCGAACATCGCCTTCTTCCCTCAGCATACTCCGAAAAATTCACCAACCCGACGGCAAACCGACAAATGGCATCTTCGACAAAGAAGCCAGATGGACGAGTCTGGAAGGCATGCTTTTCCTGCCGGCGGAAGAAGGTATGCACCACATACGCTGTGTACGAATCATACCTTTGTTAATCCGAACGAAAAGATCAAATGCGACGGGGAACAGCCATGCTTCATGTGCGAGTCTCGCAACCACCTTTGCGAGTACCCCGAAACCAACGATCATGCGGCGAATAGTCGACGGTGAACTAATTGCATCGCTTGGAATGACAATGTCACTAACTCTGGCTTAGTTATGCAACATCACTGGAGGAACGGTGTCAGCACATGGATAACCTGTGCATCCGCTTGGAGGGCCTAGCCCAAACACTTTCCCAGTACATCAATCACGCGCAGGCAGTCAACCATCCGTGCAATGCTCCCGACCACATCGAGCAATGTCCAACGTTCGGATATTCGTCGGTCGCTACGGCTATTTCTACGGATCACGTCTTAGGAATGACAAGATATAAGGCAGGAGTCGAGCCACCAGTCGCCTCTCCTGTAACCTCGCATCCTACCAGCCCTCCCCCTTCATACCGAGCTAGTGCAGATCTAGTGGGCCATATGGTGGCCGACTCATACGGCCGCCTCAGGTACAAACCACGCTGAATATGCCTCGACCTGCTGCTGAATGACCTTGCAGGTATGTTGGTGGAGTAGCCAACAACATGGTAATCGAGGCAGTTCAAAGTCTGTGTCCAGCAAGTAATCAAACATCCTGTGAACAGAACAACTCTATCAGAAGGTCAGAGGTGGAACTGCCATTCTTCACGCGCGATAAGACGTGGCCCGATCTGCCGTATCTTCCGCAGGCGAGAGAGATGACCCGGCCTCCCCGATACATCTCAGACTTACTGATCGACATCTACTTTGAGAGGCTGCATTACACCTTTCCTATCCTATACCAACCAGATTTCATGATTCAGTATCAGAAACTGAAAGATACGAAGGATTTGACGGGCCTTGACAGAGGCTTTCTTGCCGTCTACTTTGCAATCTGTGCTTGTGCTTCTGGCTTACTCCCTCAAGCCCCTGGTGCATCTACCCTGGCGGGTATGGAGTACTATCAGAAGGCTCTACTCATGTTCTTCGCTTCCAGTGGTGAAGTCTTTATTGAGCAAGTTCAGTGTCTTGGCTTGCTTGCATTATGCTGTGCCGGCTGGAATGTTCTTGCGCAAGGATGGCGATTGGCTGGGCAGGCAGTTCGCATCGCGCAAGATCTTGGTCTGCATCTCTCCAGTCTGGTAGGCATGCTTTCATTGGGTTTGGCCGAGTCATTCACTAACTATGAGCAGAGGGAACCTCAAGGAAAGACACCGAGCTTGTCGGAGTTGAAGGAAGCGCAGATTGCTCGCTGTGTTTGGTGGAGTGTATTCGAGATCGACTGGTCGGTACACGTTTAGAGGCTTTCCGACCCGGTGCTGATTGATGGCTTTAGTTTGACTTCAATATGCCTAGGACGGCCAATGGCCGCACATGTTGCCCATGTTTGCTGTGAACTGCCGCTGGATATCAGCAATGAGGATCTGGATCAAGGCTATGATTATGGCAACAAGACTCAGCGTTCACATTCATCGATGATGGGCTTTATTGCGCTGATCCGGCTGTGCAAGGTGGCCGCCGATGTACATCACTTCCATCTGTCCAACAGAATGGGACGCGGAGACTCGTCGAGTCGAAACTGGACTACCTTGCTCACCAATGTCAACAGTTTTACACAGCAGCTTGATAATTGGGTCCAAGGACTCCCAAATGAGATTCGATTTTCTGCCAACAAGGGCTCAAGCGGGCTGAACTTGACTATGAGTGCCATAGCATTCCTTGTGCACTCGGCTATTCTCATGAACTTATACCGGTAAGGCGGTTTCGTTGGCACGTATTGCACATTTTGATCGAGTTATAGGCCGCTGCTGGGTTGCGAACGCCCGGAATCACATTCACTTCTTCGCAACCCATCTTCCGAATGCCTTGGAGCTGCGCAAAGCTGTATCCAGGCAGCTGAACTAATCCATGACTGCATACCACCGTCGCACCATCTAGCCTTCTGTGTCCAATACCTAACTATATCTGGAATATTTGTGTATGGCATCCTACTTTCGCATACAACTTCGTCCACTGACGAGATACAGATTGAGGATGACGGAGTCCGTTGATTCAGGTGATCGGATCTCGCAGGGACGTACGGCTCTTGCCCTTCTCACTGAGATTGAGCGAGTCTGGCCGGGTGCTAGTCGCAGCCGTTCAATTCTAGAGCGACTGCTCCAGGACCCGGATGACTTTGACGGCGCTAGTCAATCTACGCCATTGTCCATGTTTGACGGCTTCTCATGGGAGGACTTCCCGGGAGCAGATATGATCGACGACTTTCTGCGGAATGAGCTGTGAGGTTCGACTTCATCTATCGCTACTCAATATTCATAATACAGTACAAACAGGATATTGAACCAATCTTACTCCGTTTCCACCTCAACCACCAATTTCTCCCCACTGATTTTCCCCTGCCTCATAATCTCGAATCCCTGCTCTGCCAGCCCCTTCAAGCCCCCCTCAACAACCCTTACGGGATGGGGCCTGATCCTACCATCCTGCAAGAATGGCCAGAGCTTCTTCAACCACTCCACGGCAAAGTCATAATCCTCCTTCCGGGCCGGGATCCGATGTCCGCCCAACTCCAGCTCCTCCCCCATCGCCGTGTACGCCACCGTGATCCGCGACCGCACATTCTCTCTCGGGATGACGGTGTCCGTCAATATCGTCGCGAACTCCCCACCCTCACTCGACAGCGCCCGGTCACAGAACGCCACCGTCTCCTCCCCGCCAATCGTATCCATCACCAGCCCCAGCCGGTTCCCGGTCTTCTCGTTGATGCGCGCCGCAGCAGTGGGATCCCGATAGTCGAAGACCTCGTGCGCGCCGTAGGACCGCACCAGGTCGAAATTGCGCGGCGAACAGGTCGTGAAGACCCGGTAGCCGGAGAGCTTGGCGAATTGGATGGCCATGGTGCCCATCGCGGACGAGCCGCCGTAGATCAGGATGGGGAGGGGCTCGGCGAGGGGGGTGTCCGGTGGGGCGAGGTTGAGGGTCTGGTAGAGCGACTGGCCGATGGTCGTGAGGGCGACCCCGAAGGTGGCGGCTTCCGTGAAGGAGAGATGCGCTGGGATGGGGAGTTGAAGCGCCGCGACGGCGGGCGTGGCGGTGGAAAAGGCCCCGTCCTCCGGATGGAGGGGGTTGCAGCCGGAGACGAAGCCGCAGATGCGGTCGCCGGGTTGGAAGTCGGTTGTCGTGTCGGGGTGGATGGCGAGGACGGTGCCGGCGTAGTCGCAGCCCAGGGGTAGGTTGAGCGGGGTGTTGGGCGAGGTGGCTTTCTTGAGGTCGGTGGGGTTGAGGGCTACGGCTTTGGGCTGGACGAGGAGGGTCCCCGGGCGGAGAGTGGGCGGGGGGATGGTGGTTAGGGTTGGAGTGTGCGGGGAGGTGAGGGTGATGGCGAGAGGCATGGTGGTGGTCTTGGTTACGGTGGGCTGTGATTGGAGTAAGAGTGGATCTGGGGTTGAATCTGGGGATATAGTGGGCTATACTGTATCTGACGTTCGATATTTTTATATGGTACCAGGGCTGCGCAGCTGCTGACATATCGAACACTACTGCTTATTAATTGATGGGATGCTGACGTTGTTGATGATTAATGCTATACAGCTTCTAGTCGAGCTAGTATGCTAGGGGCATAGCTGGCCTACCTAATCTCTCATCGCGATCGGTTGTTGGAGAATCACGCTTGCTGCGCTACATGGGACGGCAACTGACCAGCCAGCAATAACTTGCCATCCCAAAGGCAAAAGTATGACGAGTATTTATCCATAGTAGTCGCCAATATCAACCTGAAACGTGAGTTTCAGGCAAAACCTTCTGAAACGCACGTGGCAAAGTCATCCAACAACAAGATGCCGACTTCGGTCCCAACAGACACTACTATCAATAACTGTGGTGATTCAGATTAAGCTAAGCTATCAATATGAAAGCCTGGCGGCAAGTGCAAGCAACCACTTACCTATCTACAATAATCCAACAACGGCAACCCTTGCTCCGCTGTCAACGCAGCCAAGGTCCTGGACCCTGCGGTGGATTGGATGAACGACTAAAAATGCCCCTCGGTCAGCCTCGCGCCATGTGGCACAGATCAACTTCTCCGGCCGTTTCATCGCACCGACGACCAATATGCACGCAGTGCTAAGCGCCCGGTCAGGCGCAGCGTCGGGGGCTCCGAGACGGCGGGCGGCGGGCGGCTAGGGCTGAACGGGGATATAAGCCCTACAGCAGCCTCGACAGCCCAGACACTGTAAGTACGAATGAATGAATGAGTAGTGCATGCAGACAGATCGCATCACCGATGCCATCGTCCAGCCCCTCCCGCCCAGTCCCCTGGACGGAGCACCTCATCTTCCTCCTGCTGCTCCTCCCGACCACGCTGAGCATCGTCCTCCTCCTCGCCGACCGCCTCCACTGGACGATCGCCGACGGATCCATCTACGGCCTCATCAACAGCTACCGCACCTCCGTGCAAACCGGCGTCCAAGCGCTGGCCACACTCCTCAGCACCGTGCAACTCCTCATCATCTGCCGACTAATCAACCAAGCCACGCGCATCCGGTTCGCCCACCACCACGCATCCCCAACCCACCTCACCACGCTCAGCTTCTGGGCCTCCCTCTCCACGCCCGCCGCGAACTGGACCCTGCCCCCACTCCTCCTCTGCCTAACCTTCCTCCTCGCCAACCTCTCCGCCGTGCTCTCCGCCCTCTGGACCGGCGCCCTCACGCCCACCACCACCACCACCACCCACCGCTACCCCCTCCACATCCCCTCCTACCACAACACAAGCTTCATAATCGAATACCCGTCGCAAATCGACCGCACCGGGCCCACCGCCCGCACCCCGCAGGGGTACTTCACCTACTCCGTGGGCCTGGGGCAACTGACCGCCCTGATCTCCTCCGCCAGCACGGCCTCCCCGCTCCTCGCCCACGGCAGCCGCGTGCACCCGAAGCTCGACAACACGGGGTACAGCTACACGGGGCGGTCGTACGGGGTGGGCGCCTCGGTCGGCCTCACCGATTCCGGGCTGCGGACGACCTACCCGCACGCCACGGGCTACACCTACGTCGAACCGGGGTACGTCGCGCACGTCGAGTGCGCCTACAACCGGTCCTCGGCGTTCCGGCTCGAGGACCTGGGCGAGTACGCGCTGTACGCGGCCCGCGGCCCGTTGCCGGATAGCGTGAACGCCAGTCGGCGGGATGGCGGCGAGTATTCGGTGTATACGGGGTACAGTACCCGGACGATTGTGGCGGTGGGCGTCGCGGCGCAGCCGGTCGCGTACACCCGACAAAGGTATGTGGCGGTGGCGGCGGGCGGGTATTATGCCGGGTTGAATGCGAGTCAGTGTGTTGTGGTGTTTGAGCCCGCGTGGTTTGGGGTCGAGGTGGCGGTTGCCGGGAAGGTGGTGAGGGTTGTGCCTGGGAGTCGGGGTGGGAATGTTTCTTTTTCTTCTTCTTCGGCTGCGACTGCTACCGCTACCGCTGCTGCTGTCGGAATCGACAAGCGTGACGATGACGATGACGCAGGAAATGCAGCACAAGGCAACGCGACAGCCACAACAGCGGACATCGACCCCACCAACAAAACCATCCACGTCGCCATGCGCCAGCTCGAACTGATCTCCAACGACCTGACGAGCTTCTACCGCTCCACGCTCGGCGACGCCTTCAACACCAGTATCGCCGACTATCGCACTTCGGTGACCACGACCACGACCACCACTAATACCACCAACACAACCGAAGACGCTATCGCCCTCGCCGGCATCACGAACGTGTACGTCTCGCTGATCGACGACATCCTGGCCGGCTACGCGTCGGCGCAGCTGATGGTCGGCGGGTTCACGCAGCAGACGGCGGCAACGGTGACGGTCGAGGCGTTCCGCGTCGGGTCGCATCCGTACATCGTGTGCGTGTTCGCGACCTCGCTGGGCCTGCTGCTGGTCGTGGCGGCGGAGATGGTGCGCACGCGGCTGTGGCGGGGCCTGCCGCGGTGGGATTACATGGAGATGAAGATGGTGGTGGCGGCGGCGTCGAACGGGGGCCGCGGGATTGCCCAGCGCGCGGCGGAGAAAGGGTGGGGGGCGGACGCGGTGGGACGGATTCCCGTGCGGTTGGTGGGCGGGGATCGGGATCAGGTGGCGGGTGGGTGGCGGTTGGTGGTGGAGGATAGTGTGGATAAGGAGATGTTGTTGTTGAAGGGGGGGGATGGAGAGGGGCGGTGGATCTAGGGAGGTAGTCTAGTCTGAGTGAAAAATAGGGAATTGTGTATGTGCAGTTGTGTCGAGTTTTTGACATTGTTAGAACTAGGCTTTGCTCTACTTTACTTCTTCCCCACCATCCCCCGCAACGCCTCCGTCTCGCCCTCCAACTTACTCACGCGCATCCGCAGCTCGTCCCGCTCCCGCTTCACGGCCGCCAGCTCCGCCTCCAGCTCGTTCACCCGGTCCAGCTTGCGCTGCCGGTACCGCCGCGCCGCGAGCGTGTTCAGCTGCCGCTTGCTCACTTTGGTGGGCGGTTCCTTGGCGGCGGACACCCGGGTGACGGTGAAGGATGGTTTGGTCGAGGGGCGATCCGTCGTCACCGCGGGCATTGGTTGTGGCTGTGGCTGTGGCTGTGGCTGTGGGATTGGAGGTGGGGTTTGGATTTGCGGGTCTATTTTGCTGCAATTAGTATATCTTGATTGTATGGGGAGATGGGGCAGGGAAGGGAAGCGAACGTACCAGGTAAGGACTGCACGCTTGGCGATTCGAAGAGGTAGGATTCACTGAGACTGTCCGGAGAACTGAGCAAGGAGTTTATCGCGGAGTCTGACACGGGGTCTGCGAGGTCGTCCAGGATGTTGATGTCGAAATTATAGTCAAAGTCCAAGAGGTTTGTAGCAGTAGTGGTGGTGGTGGTGGTGGTGGTGGTGAGATCGGGGTAGTAGGTTTGATCGAGGGGATCGGTCGCAAAGAAAGATGGGTCGAATTCAACGGGGGGGAAGGCCGTTGAAGGAGGCAGGAGAGAGAGGTCGAGGTAGGGATGGAGGTCGGAGTTATAGTAGTCGGGGTATTGATTAAAATGATTAAGCGGTTTGCCTGGCCTGGTAGGTGGCCGGGGTGAGCTGCCTGACGGCGTGCGTAGCGTTGGTTGCTGCGACTGCCATCCTTGTATACTGGGGACCCGGGTCGCGGACCCGGAAGACCGGAGGGAGAGAAGGAAGAAGGGGTGTAGCTTTTTCGCCGAAGCGATGAGTTGGTGAGGAGGAGAGGAGAAATGCGGGAGAGGGGAAGGGCGACCTTTATACCTTATCGGTCGGTGCCTGGGGATTATCGGCCGTTCAGGGAGGCGGGTTCCATTTTGGGAAGCGGGTGTGGGGGCGGTGGGGTGGGCTCTATCGGAGTTATTTTAGTTGGGTGTGTGGTATTCGGCTGTTGGCGATTGCATCTGGCGAGGAATAATAGTGGTGATAGTATTGCCCTGCGGACGTTGTACAGTACTTACTATGTCCTGAAATCCAGGGTGAGTAGAGATCTATGCTATTGTTCATGCATCCGAGAACACAGTAATGTATCTGAAATCTCTATTGTTTTCATTAGCAGTATCCAATCAACCATGACACATCCTCCACAACAATAGGAAACAAAAAAGCAATCAGATGATGTCGGCCCTGGAACCTTGGAGAGGTTCTTCCTATACTATGTTCTCTCCAAGAGCCTCAGCAATGCGAAGCATGTCAGCTGTAGGGGGTTTCTTCATGGTGCTTAGAAATGGTAGAAAGACAGTAAACAGACACACTTACTCGGGCACACTCTGAATGCATATCGTTGATTATCATTGCCTAATGCCCCCTTACCATGGTTCACTACAGTCTTATAGCTACATATCCTACATCTATTTCCTACTATCTATCATCATGAGTCGAAGTGATGGAGAATGAGACGCAATGAGGCCAGGATGATCCCCCCGTCTAAAGCGCACCCGCCGAGCCGGAGAAGAAGGAATCCACCCCGGATGAGCCAGCATGAGTCATTCTTACTCATGCCTATTTGGGAGGGGTTGGCCCCACCTTTATCCAACAATAGCATAAGCCTCGCGGTGGATTGACCATTCGACGACCAAATCAGCTCATTATCACTCGAGGCCACATCGGCCAGACCCGTCATCATCCCATATCTGGTACTAACCAGTGATTAAATTGGTTCGACACTCATTCGAGCCAGACTACTCCGTACCTACCCTGGTGGATCAATCAACTAACACACAATTCATCAAGAGAAAATGGCGAAGTCAATCCATCCCCTCGTGCCCGCAAAACGCCTGGAACAACCGCCTCCTTGCCCACCTCACTATGTCTCCTCGCAGTTCGAAACAGCGGGTGCGGCTCGGTTCCATGGCAGATCATTCAAAGTGAGACTGCCTACAAGGTAAGATTCAATTGAGCTTCACGGTGCCAGAATTGTCAATCTCTCATGAGTCGTTGTCTTTGTGTTGTACTGCACATAGTGCAGATAGTCAAGACGATGCCTTCGTGAGAAAAGCGGACCTGTTTCAACCGGAAAAAAAAAAAAAAAGAAACATGCCATTGAGACTCTATCTATTCTATCATAAATACCATTAACATTAGACCTGTATATTATCTATAGCCTTCCACCAACACCTTATTTTCACTCTCTATATCCATATCTCCCGCAAATGCGACTCTGCCACCTCTTTTCTCCCATCTAATTCTTATTGAGCTTGGCCCTTAACCGCCCCCCAAACCAGTAGAAAATGTAAGGGATAAACACCATCCCCACCCCAATGAACGCCAACAGCCACGACGCCCACTGCAGCCCCAGACGATCGTACATCTGCGTGATGAACAGCGGGAACGCCGCACCGCCGCCGGACCGCAGGAAGACCTTGGCCGCCAACGCGGACGCCGCATACTTCTGGTAGCTGTCGATGATGTAGTTGTTGACCGCGTAGTAGCACAGCACCATGCCGAACCCGAACGCGATGCCGGAGGAAGCGGGCCCGACCCAGATGATGCCCTTGAAGGAGGTGGCGCCGAGGATGAACAGCGCGATGGGGACGAAGGGCGCGCCGATGAGGGCGCCGATGAGGCGGTCCTCGGGGGTCGGGGCGCGGCGGCTACAGATCCGGTGGAATTGCTTCTCGAGCAGCGGCGTGAAGATCAGGGAGAAGCCGGCGCCGATGAGGATGGGGATGAACATCAGGCCGATCTGGCCGTCGTTGTAGCCGTACAGCTTGCCGAAGATGACCGGGTAGGCGAAGAAGAAGGCGTACAGCATCGAGTAGATCAGCACGATGTACATGCACATCAGGTCGAGGACGGGCTCGGTCAGGATCATCGTAATCGGGCGGATCAGCGAGGTGCGCACGATCTCCTTGAGGGATGGCTTGTGCTGCTCCTGCTCCGTGATGATGTGCGGGTTGCCCGTCTCGGAGCGGAGCCGCGCCGCCCGCCGCTTGAGGATCACCGGCGCGTACGTCTCGGGGATGAGCCCCACGAGGATGCCCACGGCCCCCGCGAAGGCGAGGTTGGTCCAGAAGAAGAGATCCAGCCGGCCCGAGCCCACTGTGATCCAGCCGCAGACGATGGGTCCGATTACGGGGCCGCAGTACGGGGCCGCCGCGAAAAAGGCGATCGCCATGCCCCGTTCCTCGATGGACCAGATGTCGGCGATGGTGCCGCCCGCGAGCGAGAGGCCGGAGCTGGAGAAGACACCGCAGAGGAAGCGGCATGCCAGCAGTCCGCCGATGTTGGGCGACAGCGCGCAAGGGATGTTGAAGATCGTGTACAGCACCAGTGAAATGATGTAAACCGGCCGGCGACCGATAATCTCCGATAGGGGCGACCAGAGAAGGGGACCGACAGCGAAGCCGCAGACCATGATACTGCAGGTAAGGGTGGCTACTTCGAGAGAGACGTGATACTTGTCTTCGATGAGACCCAAGCCGCCCGTTACGATTGCGGAACCGTAGGCGACGCAGACCACGAGGAGGGAGGCGATCATGGTGACGTACCAGCGATAGGCACGGGACCAGTTGTAAGGGTTCTCGGGGTCGTTGATGGTGAAGGTGACAAACTCGGTAGGCTGGTCATCGGCCTTTTCGAGGTCCGAGGAGGAGCTCGACGACGGCTGCCGGTCCTGTCGCGAGCGGATCTGTTCGAGTGTGCGTTTGGGAACGAGGCCGGTGCTAGTCTCGATGGTATATTCCTCGGGGAAGACAGGGTCGGCAGGACGACCCAAATCTGGATAGTTGTAGTCGACTGGTGGAGGACTTGGAGAGATTCCGCGGTTTGTTAGGGACTCTCGAGTTTCTGTGCGAAGAAGATGTGGCTGTTCTGATGCATTGCTCATAGCCCGTTGGGGCTCGGACATGGGTGGTGCCATGATTGTATAGAATGAGATGGCTTGAGTTTGAGTGGACTGTGCCCTTTAGAGTCTGTCTGTGTGCTATTGTAAGAGATACAAGCACACTAAGTAGAGGAAATGTGTTGATTTATATCGTTGGATGTTCGGTGAGGTCGGATTCGTATAGTTCAGGCACGTAGCAAAGCCGACGCATCGCCGATCCATCACCGAGACGCACCGAGCTTGAACCGTCCGACACTCTATCCGGTTCCTGGAGCCAACACACGCCATCTGGGTGACTCAGAGCCGGTTCGGCCTTAGCTCGTCCCTGTTTCGTGGCTTCGGGTTGCATCTTGCATCAGATTGACCCTGAGCCAGGGATTGCAGCTGAGATCTGCTCGGATCAAATGATCCCAACCGCGTCGACCAGGCGCTGTGTCTGTGCGACGAGCTGGTCATCTTGACGAATCTCCATATGAACATAAAGACAGCAATGCTCGGGAAGCTGTAGCTGGCGAAGATCGAATGCAAATCCCCCAGTTTGTCATATCCTTGGGAGCACAGCTTCAGCTCGGAGATGTGTTGTCATCCAGCTCGTGTAAGCTGTAGAGATTTGTGATCACGAAGACTCTGCTCATGCAAGCTGCAACCAGCCCAGCCAGGACTACTAAGCTATGACGCAAGACCAGAGCCCACAGTTGCGCGATATGTTGCGGTAAATCCTTTCATGAAGTAAGTAGAGATGTCGATGAGAGTCTGGAATGGACGATGGGTGAAGATAAGGGCGCAAACTCGGCGATGGTTCGGTGCCGAGCTCTTCCCGGACCACCCCCGAACAATAATATGATAACATAGACGCTGTCGAGCTTCAGGGAGAACGAGAAATCACCGAAACATTTGAGCCCGACACGACTTCTCCTGAAACATGCGTCAAAAAAATTTCTGCAGGGGCCGTCCTTTCATTCCATCGAGTGGTTGAAGGTATGGACCGGTTGATTTGATCTAACCAAGCCCGTTCAATCCATACCGAAAATCCGATACAACTTGATGCTATCCCTAAGCTATAGCATAACCATAGACAAAACTCCCCCAAGAACCACCTTCTCATATCCTTCACAGTTACCTTCATACGTTCAATCAGCTAAGACCCCCCTAATCGCTAGCCCGATACTTGGCCCGGTACTCCTCCAACCGGCGCATATCCTCGCCGGCCCCCTTCTCCTGCATCAACCGGATCAGATCATCCAGGGTGACGATGCTCGTCGTGGGCACACCGTACTCCTTGCGGATCTGGCCCATGGCGCTCATGCGCGGCGCATCGTCCTCCACGCCGCTGGCGTCCTTGGGGCCGGGCATCTTCTCCTGGCGGTCCAGCGCGACGGTGAAGCCGACCACCTTGCCGCCTTCCTGGGCGACCAGGTCCAGGGTCTCGCGCATCGCCGTGCCGGCGGTGATCACGTCGTCGATCACCAGCACGTTCTTGCCCTTCAGGCCGGCGCCCACGATGCTGCCGCCCTCGCCGTGGTCCTTCTTCTCCTTGCGGTTGTAGCTGTAGGACACCTCGGCCCAGGCTTCGGGCTGCAGGCGGTGGAGCTCGAGCAGGGTGGCGCAGGCGAGCGGGATCCCTTTGTATGCGGGGCTGTTTGATAGAGGTGGGTGTTAGAGATTGGGTTGAGGAGAATGGACATAGCAACATGCGGCGAAGTGTTTGGTTTGGGTTCAAGGGGCTGCGGTGTTCTCGACTCACCCGAAGATCACGTCGGGCTTGGGGATGGAAGGGTTCTCCGCGAGGAAGGTGATGATGGTGTGGGCGTAGGCGGTTGAAAGGGCGGAGAGGAGCGAAGCCGTGTGGAAGGTACCGGCGTTGAAGAAGTATGGGGAATCTATTGGGATCCTCAATTAGCAACGGACGGGTCACAGATAGTAGTTTCTGGGGGATGGGAAGCGTACGACGGCCCGACTTGAGGGTGAAAGTGCCGAAGGTCAGGACCTTGGCAGAGATGGAGGACTCCAAGAAGGAGGTCTTGTAAGCGGGGAGAGCCATGACGAGGTGAATTGGTGTGACTTGGGGATTTGCAGGGGCTGTTGGCGGGGAATACTTTCAATCTCCTGAAAGAAAAAGATTGAAACTATCTCCAGATGATGAGGTAAGCCATACCCCGCACTATTCCTGTTTAGATCACACGGAGGAGTCCGTGCCCCGAGTTCGGATTTTTTATCTTATCGCTTATCGGCTTGAATCGTCGACCTGAATCGACCATGATTATGAGGTATATGTACATTGAAGGAACCATTATCCAAACGCCTATCCCATTATCGTACAACTCACTCCATTCAGGCCAAGTTCTGCAAGTTGACCATCTCATAGTACCTTCCTCGCCGACGCAACAGTTCCTTATGCGTGCCCCACTCGACGACCTCTCCCTGATCGAGGAAATAGATCATGTCCGCCCGCTGGATTGTGCTCAACCGATGAGCAACCGCGATGGTCGTGCGGCCCTTCGCTGCTGCATCCAAAGCCGCTTGGACGACCTTCTCCGACTCCGAATCCAAGGCCGATGTGGCCTCATCCAGCAGAAGAATGCGAGGGTTACGAATCAGCGCCCGAGCGATGGCGATCCGCTGCTTCTGGCCACCAGACAACATGCCGCCTTTACTGCCGACGAGCGTGTTAAATCCTTGTCTAGGGAGGTGTTAGCTAACTGGGTCACCAAGTTGGGGCGAGCCAATGTGCAAACTTGGGAATTGGCAAGGGCACACCTACGGTAACGACATGATAAAGTCGTAGATGTTCGCGTCTCTGCACGCTTGGACCAATGTGTCCTCCGATACCGCTTCTTTGTGCGTACATCCCAGTAGGATATTCTCTTGGATCGTGCCCTGGAATAGAGCAGGCTCCTGACTGACCAGAGCCAGGTGGCTGCGGTAGGACTTCTTCTCGAGCGTCGCGATGTCCCGGCCGTCGACATACACTTCACCGAGCACCGGCTCGTAGAACCGCTCCAACAAGGAGATGATCGTGCTTTTCCCGCTGCCACTCGAGCCGACCAGTGCAATATTCTGTCCTGGTTTGACAGTTAGGCTGACATGCCGGAGCACAGGCTGCTCCAGCCGGGTAGGGTACCGGAAAGACACGTCTCGGAATTCTACCGACCCTTGCATGGAGGACACATGAATAGCTTTGCTCTCAGCATGTTTATTGGTCGACCGATTGCTGAACAGCTTCTTGAACTCCGCGGCCGCATGCTTCGCTTTGCCCATATCCGGCGCGTTCGAGAAGATAGTCCCGGCCGCCTGAGCGCCGAAGATGACTTCGCTGAAGCACACGTAGAACTGGAAGAGTGTGTAGTCTCCGTGCCCGAGGAGAGTCCCTCCATACCAGAAGCCCAGAGCCATGCACATAAACGGCAACGCTTGGGAGCTGGCATAGAGGGCGGAGGACTTGAAGATGGGGAGGATGTCCTCCTTGAGCTGCGCTTGTACTTGTTTCTCGTAGGAACTGACAACTTGCTTCTCCATCGTAAGAGAAGCAACGGTCCGGATGGCAGAAGCCGCCTCGCAGGCTGAGCTCGCAGACTGTTGATACGCAGCTTTCGCTCGGCGCTGGAATCGATCCAGCATCCACACGCGAAGAAACCCACACATCAACAGGACCGGCACAGCTGAGATGCATACCAAGGCAAGCTTCCAGCCCATGACCAGGGCCACGACAAGGGAAGCTGAAAGGTTGACAGTGACAATGAGCAGGGTGCCGAGAGTGACGCCGCTGATTCCGGCAAGCTGTTTGGTTTCAGCACCCAAGGTCGATGTCAGAGCACCGGTGGTGTTCTCTTCCTTATCAAAGAATGAGATCTCCTTGTTCAGCATGACCCGGAATGCCTGGCTTCGGGCTCGAAAGATTAGTTTCTCGGAGCTATATGCGAACAAGGTCCCTTGGGTGGCATAAATAACCAGTGTCACCAAACCCATCATGAGGAACATCAAGCACCAAAAGTTCGCATCGTGGCGCAGCTTGTGGTATTCGAATGGAGGCAAGCTCAGCGTGTTGACTGCCTTGGCAAACAACACCGCCTGAGATGGCTGGATGCCCCCCGCCAGGGTCGATGCACAGAGACCCAGGATCATGATCGGCCACTCCGGTCGGTTGAACGAGGCAAGGAACTTGAACAACGCCCATAGCGATAGATTCTCCTTGTGCTTGGATGGTAAGGGTGGAATGAACATGGACATCCTGGTCCTACGTCTCTGCCTCGCCCCCGACTTCAGCACAATATCCGAGGCGTCGTCACTAAAGTCGTCTTCGTCGTCCATCGGATATCCGCCCCCGATATAATCTTCATCGAGGAAGAACGTCATTGACTCGTGTCGCTTGGCGGCCTCCTTCTGCTTGATCTGCTGCGCCTGCACCATGTCATAGTACACACCCTCCCGGCCCATGAGCTCAAAGTGCGACCCTTGCTCCACAATGTGCCCATGAACCAGGACAACGATATTATGCGCCTCCTTGATTGTAGAGAGTCGATGGGCGATGGCTATGGTCGTCCGACCTTTCGAGGCGTTGTCCAGCGCCGCCTGAACAATCTCTTCCGACTTCGCGTCCAGCGCCGAAGTCGCTTCATCGAGCAACAAGATCTTCGGGTCGCTCACCACGGCCCTGGCGATCGCGATTCGCTGCTTCTGGCCTCCTGACAGTGAGAATCCACCAATATTCGTCTCATACTTCTTTGGTAACGCCATGATAAAATCATGTGCGTTGGCCATCTTCGCAGCGTCGTGAATGCGCTTGGTGATGCTGGCTTCGGGCGCATTCTCGTACTCGGACCCAATCAGTCCGAATCGGATATTCTCATAGATCGTGGTCGCGAACAGTCTAGGCTCTTGTGAGACCAACGAGATCTGCTGGCGCACCCACCGCAGATTCAACGTATACAGATCGTGTCCGTCGATCGAAATATGGCCGGCGACGGGGTTGTAGAACCGTTCCAGCAGACCAATGACCGTACTCTTGCCGGACCCTGACGGCCCCACAAACGCCGTGGTCTTTCCCGCAGGAATGTATACGCTGAGGTCATTCGTCACAACAACCTCCGGTCGCGAAGGATACACGTGTCGGACATTCTGCAGGACTATATTGCCCTTCACATGGCCGAGGATCTTGCCGCTCTCGGAGGAGGCATCCAACGGCGACGCCCGGTCAATCGTACTGTAGAGCTTGGACGCGGCCGCGACGGCATTCGACAGCGCCTGCACGTTCGGGGCGACGTTGCCCAAGTTGTAGGACCCCAGCATGATCGACATGAGGATCGTGAGGACATCGCCAACCTTAACATGCTCCCGGGCATCGACGAGGAAGCGCGACCCCATCCAGAAGCCCATCCCATAGTTCAGGTACATGACGCCCAGCATCGCGCCGACCATGATGGCGAAGGTGATCTGGGATTTCCGGGCGGGCGCCTCGGACTCCTTCAGCTGCTCCTCGTACTTGGCGGCGAGCACGTTCTGAGCGTCGAAGGCGACGACCGTCCGCACCGAGTCCAGGATGTCCTCGGCGAAGCTGCCGGAGCGGCCCTGACACTCCAGCGCGCGCTTGCTGTGGACCATCATGATGATTGACCCGCCGCCCATGATCAGGAGCAAGGCGATCAGCGTGGCGCTGCAGATCAGCGCCAGCTTCCAGTACTTGATGTAGGCGATGACGAACGCAGTCACAAAGGTCGACAGCCCGGTCAGCGCCAGGCCGACCTTCTCGGAGATCCCATCCTGGATCAGGTTGGTGTCGGCGGTGATCCGCGTCGTGATCTCGCCGGCACCCAGACTGTCGAAGAACGCGATGTTCTGGCGCAGGATCGCCCGCAGGTATTCCACGCGGATGCGCTGCACCACATGGTCGCCTGTGTAGATGAAGCCGACCGTGGCGATGCAGATGGTGATGAACTCGGCCGCGGCGAGGTAGATGAAGTAGACCACGTATTTGTTGAGCTCGTGGTGGAAGTGGTCGTACGTGATGCGCCCGGCCGCAATGTCTTGGAAGGTCGAGGTGAGGTTACCAAAGAGGACCTACTCCACGAGGTCAGTCTCATGCGTGAGCATTACAAGCAATAGCGTCGTGAACTGACGGTGAACAGCGGCAAAGCAGCGCCTCCGATGATCGAAGCGACCGAGCTCAGCAGCAGGAAGACAAGATCCCACCGGCTGGCATAGCGATAAATGCCAAAGAACCCAGGCTTGGATACTGGGACCCGAATCTGCTGCTCGAGGATGCTCTTCTCGACCTCCGACAGGGCGATAACAGTGCTGTCTGTGGCAGGAGTCTGTTTGCGACCGGTGTTAGTGGGTTCGATTTTGATCATGAGCAAGAGCTAAGGTAGTCTGACCGTGGGTAATGACTCCAAGCAGATGTCTTCTTCTTTCCACTTCATCATGCAGATGGTTTGTTTTGGCTCAGTCTGTCCCTATCATCAAGCCGCCCAACAGCAGCATCTCACGGTCGGAACGGAAGAGCAAAGCGACCTAGGTTCCTAGAGTGCCTTGATTGAGCCAAGACAGACAGTCGAAAGACATTGAAGACGACGGGCCAGTGAAGGAGCGGTGGGAACAGAACTGAAACTGGCCATCACATGAATTGACACTGGGGACGTGACAGGACCCCTATAATCGAAACCTCGGAGGGCCAACTACCTGGACTTTTTCTCGTACCACGGAAAGTGGGTTGATCGTGCCCATCGTCATTCATTGTATGACCGGCTGGACCAATTTCTTAATTATTCTTCTGTCGACGAGTCCAGTTGCAGATGGGACCAAAGGGCGCAAAGGCGACCAAAAGATGAGAGTCGGTGCCAGTTGCGTTGAACCAGTGTTTCACGTGGATGGGAAGAATGGGAAGAAGCAAGACGATCAGGGACCGAGAAAGCCAAATGGCCCTGGTCCAATTATTAGGGCTGGCATACAGGTCAACTCCAGTCAGCTCCAGTCCCCCCCGGCCTTGCGGCTGAAACGCAACGGTGTCCGAACCAGATCGACAGATCGGATATTACAGCCTGTTTAAGAGATGGACGTGGACGGTCGGGGATCTCACGCTGGTCCGGGCTGAGTTTCAAACTCTTCGTTCATGGTTGAAAGCTGAAACCGGGGTTCGTATTGGCGACGGCCTCAAAAATTGGGCCACTCAGCCAAGCCCCAAAACAACGTTTACGGAGTACCGTGCAAACCAGAACTTAATCAATCTAAGGCAATCTCCGAAGGTTAAAACTCAATTCCGTTTGTTTTTGGGGGGATTGGACGCTCTCATTTGTCTACTGCTAACTATTTCGTTTCACGCCTAAATCTTAACCGGGGTATAACATAGATCCACTTCCAAACCTGAAGCACTAGCCCAACTTGTCCATCCGCAAATCAATCATGGATGTGAGTGTCGCCATGACACAACAGTAAAAAGAAAAAGAAAAAAAAAAAAGGCAATTGATGAAAAAATGAATGTGTGTGGTGGGAAAAGAGAACCAAACCCGAGAAAGTACCAGCCCCCTCTGGATCTAGAATCTTGAATCGATCGAGCATTCCGTCAATTAATCAATCTCACGCTTTTGAAGCTTCAGCTTCAGGTCGGGAAGCTCCCAGAAAGCGTAGCAGCGACTCTCGCGCTGCCAATCCTTGACAGGGCCCACATATTCTGCATCGAAGTCCAGGAAGAACGCAGCCAGAGTCAGCTGCATCATCTGTTTGGCGAAATACTTGGCAACACAAGACCGACTGCCCACCAGAAAAGGCTGGACGGCCTCCTTCTTGTCCGTACAACCTGGCTCCGTCCATCGCTCGGGGATAAATTCGTAGGGCTCATTGAAGTATTCGGGATTATGGTGCAATGCGAAGATCGAAGTACAGATCTCAGTCTGAAACGGGAAGGCAGGGTTAGTGGGGGAAAGGCCGGACAGGGAACATATCAGATAGACTTACTCCGGCCGGGATATAGGTGCCATCCACGTAGGCTCCGGGTGAAACACGCGGACCGCCCACTGGGACAGGAGGATACAAGCGGAGGGACTCTGTGATGACAGCGTTCAGATATGGCAGCTCTTGTGAAACGTGCCCTGAAACATCTTCTGCGGATGTGAAGGCCGAGCGCAACTCCTGGTTCAATTTGGCATGCACTTCAGGATGGGTCAGGACAAAGTAGATGGTCGCACAAAGAGCATTCTGGGTGGTATGGAAACCAGCCAGCATGATGGCGGAGAAATTCTCGGCAATCTCAGGAACAGGCAAGTCGCCTGTGCCTGCCCGCTCCATCACCTCGACCATGACGTCCCGACGAGTGTGGGATGCACCAAGCTGTCTGTTTGCATGTTAGCCACGAACTGAATCATCTGCAGGCCAGCACTTACTCATTGATGAGTCTCATTCTCGCCTGTTCTGCGGACTGGCGGACGCCCTTACGGATCAAATGGCGCAGCATCCATTTGATCATGGTCGGCACTCCGGAGCCCTTAAATTGATCACGAATGGTGCTCCAGTAGAAGATGCGAGGCAGCTGCTCGGTCCAGAAATAAGGCTTTCCACGCTTGAGACATCCTAAAGACTTTCCAAGTAGCACCTCTGATACCGTATCGACAGAGTGGCAGTAGAGTAGCTGGTTCAAAGACAGTGTATCTGTCTTCTCCAGCTTCTCCTTCATCGTCGTGTGCAAATCGAGGATCCGCTCCTTGATAACACCTGCATGGGCCTGCATGCTGCCGGGGCTAAGGGAAGGAGCGAACAGCTTTCGTACCGAGGCATGGTAGACAGGGTCACTCGCGGTGAAGATATTCCGTCTCGAGATACCCTTGTAGAAACCGGTCTTAAGGAAGGCGGTACCTTTTCCCGAGCCAGCACCATAGATGTTGCGCAGGCCTCTAATGGTATTTGTAGTGGCCTGGCCGGGAGCAAAACGCACAATCTTACCTGAGTCATGTCAGTCGATTTGCACGGAGGCCACACATGCTATCAGGGGATGCGTACCATATGATTCGTGCAACGAATGAAAGTAGTGAGCACTCCGACCGGACAGGAAGGCGATCTTGGTGGCAGACTGCAGATGCAGGGTGGTTAGACGGTCGTTCCATTGTCTGTGCAAAGGGGAAGGGCAACCGTACACCGCAGAGAAACAAATCAAGGAACGAGCCTGGGACCCCCTTGATGATTGGTCCCTTGGGAAGCAATTGAATGAAAAGAATGAGAAGCCAAGGGATCTGGTGGTGCGTCAGTCATACCCGTCAAGAAGCTTGTATGATTCCAACATACCAACACAATGGCGAGGATTGGAAGCGAGATTATTCCCGAAGGATTGATTTCGAACTGCCCCGAGGGCACGGCCATGGCAAGAAAGATCATCTTAACGAGAGTGATTGCAAGAACGAATGCAATTGCAAGAACGAAAGGAGTTGACCACCACAAAGTCCCCTCAGACGTGCTATGGCCAGATCTATTTATCATGCATGGGCCATGGTCCCTCAGGACCCCTTAGGTGAATCACGCTTGAACTAGCAGTACCGCTGTTGAGGCAAAGTTACTCTCCTGATCCCATCCGGCTAGATGCATCTACCGGTCTCAGTCCATGTTTCCGTTGCACAGGTTCCTCGGCCTGATTCTGATCCAGTTCATCAGATCAGACCAGAATGTATGCGTGATCCTTGGCGATCATGATTGGGCGCGTGGTTTGAGTTCCTGACGATAGATCGAACCCGGGTCAGGGTTAAGAGTGGATCTGCCCCATTTTTGGGGATCCTCGGGCCCAAAGTTTATGCTTTGCCCCTGCGGCAGTCGCATCCGCTTTCATCTACCAGAAACATCGTATACTCTGACTTGTCGCGGTTTCAGGTCCATATAAGGGCCTCAACGCCAAAATGTCAGACCGTTATTCAAGCACGGTCAATGTCCGAATGTGACTGTTTCACCATTTTCCATTTTTCGCGATAGATCATTCTGGGACCATTCCACCAATTGGGGTTCCCCACTTTTTCCCCCAAATTCCCCGTCCCCTTTTCTGCCATTCTGGTGACAATTCAGTTATATAAGCCCTTCGTGTGACAAGTATCTACCTCTCCTGTGATTCAAATCTGTCACTCCCACTCAGACGGATTCTTTCTTGCCGACTATGGCAGACGAGCGCACCCGGGTCCTCTTCCTGGCAAACAGCGAACATGGTCAAACAAACATCATCCTCGCCATTACTCATGAGCTTCTTGTTCAAGGCAATGTTGATGTTCATGTTGGCTCATTCCCTGTCCTTGAACGCCGGGTTGAGAAGCTGGTAGCTGACAATGCTGCTGCATACGACGAGGATTTCCGATCTCGCATCCACTTTCACCCGGTGAGAGGCCCCTCGAACACCGATGTCTTCATCCGGACCGGAAAGAGGGGTGCGTTTCATCCTCCCGGCTACCATGGTGCCGTCTTAGGGTTCCAGTCCTTGTGTGAAGACATCTGGGGCTGGACCGAGGACGAGTATGTCGATATCTATGAAAGCTGCGTCGAGATCATCAAGGAAGTGAAGCCAGATGCGATCGCAGTCGACTTTTTCTTCCTTCAGGGTCGAGATGCTGCGTACAATGCCGGCCACACGGCAATCCTTATCAACACAACGTCAATCAGTCACATCGTCCTGGGCATGCAACCCAATTCTGCGCCTCTTTGGAAGTATCCTCTGTATGTACTGCAAGCCATGTTAGCCCTGGACCTTTATTAACAAGATTCCAGACCTGGCACTGGGTTCGCTTATCCCATCCCATGGCATACAGTCCCCCTCAATGCCCTTGCCGTACTGAAGACGGCGAAGATGTACCACGGCAGTGGCAGACGTCGTGAAATCAGAGAATGGCGAATCAAGCATAAGATCCATGGCAGATTCCCTTTCGCAGATGCATGGCGGCCCGATCGATTTCACATTTCACCGGGCTTGTTGGAGCTGGATTGGCCATTTAGTGTTATGCCCGATAACATTCTGCCGTGTGGGCCAATTCTGCTGCCGACTGCATCGGTGCAGAAGCAGGACCCGGAGATGGCGCGCTGGCTCGCGAATGCTCCGACTATTTTGGTCAATCTAGGTACCTTGTATGCTCCTGATCCCAAGGTTGCGGAGGAGATTGCTACTGGCCTGAAGATGTTTCTCGATGGCTGGAAGGGTGAGAAAGTCCAGATTCTCTGGAAACTGCCCAAGCACCCGCACGATGTAGACGACATCTACGGTCGGTCGATCGAGCCATTGAAGCGGGAGATGGAGGAGGATTCAGTCCGCGTCCGCGCTTGGTTTGAGGTCGAGCCGATGGCGATGCTCGAGACGGGTGGGGTAGTCTGCTCTGTCCATCACGGAGGTGCCAACTCGTGGTACGAGGCTATTCAGTGAGTTTTCTAGCCATGCTTACCCGGAGACTGTGACTGACCTCTCTAGAAACGGTGTTCCTCATGTTGTTCTTCCGGCCTGGCAAGACTGCTACGAGAACGCAGCTCGAGCGGAATGGCTTGGGATTGGCGTCTATGGCAATAAGAGCCGTGCGCCCAATATCAGCGCGAAGGAGTTGAGCAAGGCACTCTTGAAAGTCATGAACAACAAGTCGTACAAAGAGAAGGCGGCCGAGCTTGCCAAACTCTGCCATCGGAAGGAGGGACGAGTTGCAGCGGCGGAGAAAATCCTGGAGATTGCGCAGTCTCGTGACCATGGCAAGCTCGCCATGCGCTTACCGGAAATGAAAACCAACTGTCCTCTGTACGAAGTCAAGAATCGCCAGGGTATGGTGCTTCAGACTGCCCAGAAGCCCACAACAGCAGGCAAGGGAGATTCGAAGTAAGTCCTGATCAAGCCTCGCCCTCACCCCGGCCCTCGCTTCAATTTATAAGAAAGCTAACCATTATTCCAGACCTCTCCTCACGGATGTTTACGAGACTCTCCTTATGACTATTCTGAGCAACACCTGGCTCTTCTTCCCGGTGCTGGGCTACTCTCTCCTACTCGTCCCTCGTCTTCGTCTTTTCGCCCTTCTTTATATCCTCTACATCAAATTCATCTCCAAGGCCCACAGAACCGGCACTCTATCACTGCGCAACGACCGATTCCGTCACTCCTCCATCTGGAAGACAACCTACGCCAATTACTTCCCGCTCACCCTCTACCGTACCGTGCCTCTTCCGCCCCAGAGACGCTATATCTTCGGCTACCATCCTCATGGCATTGCGCTCCGCGGCGCCATCGGCGCCTTTGCCGCCGAGGCAGCCGACTTCTCCCAACTCTTCCCGGGGATCACCAACACACTCCTCATGAAGGACAGCTTCTATACCACTCCTCTCCTTCGCGAATACCTCTTGTCACTCGGCACCAGTGGCGTGTCGCGCTCCTCGTGTATCCGACACCTGACACGCGGCGGCCACGACGACCGCGGGATGGGTCGCGCCATCACCATCACCGTGGGCGGGAGTCGGGAGTACAACATCGCGCAGCCCGGAACCATGGGTGTGGTGGTGAAGATCCGCAAGGGATTTGTGCGGGTGGCGGTGCAAACCGGTGCCGATCTCGTGCCTGTCATCGCGTTCGGTGAAAACGAGCTCTTCGATCGCGTGGATGTGAACAGTTCAACTGGGCTGGGGCTGGTGGCGCGAGCGTGGGAGTTCGCGGTGGGTCATCGCGTGGCATTCTCGACCGGTCGGTTTGGACTCTTCTGTCCGCATCGCAGACCCTTGAACGTCGTGGTCGGCAAGCCGATCGAGGTAAAGCAGCAGCGGTGGGAGCCAGATGAGGCGTATATCGATGAGGTCCACGCTCAGTATGTGGAGGAATTGAGAAAGCTGTATGATGATTGGAAGGAGACGTTTGCGCCGGACAAGGATGTGAAGTTTGAGGTTGTGGAGTAATTCTGAGGTTACTGGAGTTAATCGGTTTGATTTGGGATTAGGATGGGATCTGGCGGATATGGCATTGTCACTTTATACCTGGAGTAGACTCTAGAGTTGAATACTGAACGGCTCAGACAGCTGCATATAAATTCGCAAGTGAAGAACCTTTAGCAAGTAAGTTATATGGTAGACCAAAAGAGTTCATCACCCATGCCGCCGGAGTCATACGGTGGCTTGGGCTATTTAATTGCATAGAAGAAGCCGCCCTCGGCCCGCCACTCCCTCTCAACCTTTCCTTCTACTCGCAACAGCCTGCCCTTTTACAAACTCATTTCTTGTCAGGACACGGCTTCCAGCAAGCACTAACAACTTCCTTCGACAGCAGAGAATGCATGATCCTGGCTACGTACAAATTATCTCATCAAATCAAAACATAAGCACACGCATTTGACTGACAAGATGATTCCATCTGTAGCTACGTCACACCAGATCACGAACCCATGCTCAAAGAACCAGCATCGATCCCTTGCTTCCAATATTCCCGAAAGAGTGCAGATCCCCCAACACACACGAGCATTATGCCCGATGGTCATACACAAATTGTGCACAAATCCACGTTATGCACGGCAGTCTGAGATGATTTTCTGACAACTCAGCGGCCATATTGCATGAAGCAGCTCTTCCCAGAGTCACCACGCATCCCTGCGCTTCCACCGCAGATCCCTAGATCGATTGGCAGCCGACCTATCCGAGTAGGGCATAGGATAATGGCCGGTCAGTGAGATATATAAGGATGACCAGGATGTCTCCTCTCTCACAGGTTTCTGCTGCTGCTACAGGGGTACATTACCTTGTATCGCGGGGCTACAATCAGTCTATACAGCGATAGAGAGAGTCTTCAATTGCATTGACAACTCTCGGTATTTATTTTACACTGGTTACGCATCACAGGTATTTGGACTTGCCGACACTTATCTCACTCGCAAACCCTGCGCTGCTTTCACAACGCTGAGCAAGGATCCTTAGGCACTATTGTTTAGGTAAGGGAAGTCAGGCATCGCTTGGCAGTTCAGCCATGGACTTTCTACAGGGCAACGGAGAGGTCCGTATTCTGAGCCTTTTGATTGCACCCTTATCTTATTGGTCATTTTCGCATACTTTCCTCGTGGGTATCTCTCGGTGGTTGACCTACTTCCTTGACTGACTAGTTCTTCGCAGGCAATCTGCTGTACTCTCGGCATACTCTTTGGTGCCAAACTTGTATACAATGTCTACTTGCACCCGCTTCGTTCTTATCCCGGGCCAATCCTTGCTCGAGCAACAAGGCTCTACATAGTGTTTCTCGAATTCCAGGGATGCCTCCATCTCCGAACCAAGGAATGGCACGACCAGTACGGCGAGGTGGTCCGCATCGCGCCCGGCAGTTTGTCATACAATTCCAGTCAGGCCTGGAACGAGATTTGCGGTATGTCTGGTTCAGTCGCATAGCCCGCCTGTTCACCTCTCACGCTGCGTAAGGCCACCGAACTCGCGATACCAAAGCCGTCTTTGAGAAGGATCAAGACTTTTTTATCCGTCCGCCGAACGGGCAATGGAGTATCGTACGTCTATCTCCGTCTACTTTTTTGTTTCCCGCCCTAACCGCTGTGGGAAAATGCTCGCAATGCAGGTAGCAGCTAATGGCGACTACCACCGACGTCTTCGACGTCTCTTATCGCATGCATTTTCCGAAAAGGCTCTTCGCGCCCAAGAGCCAGCCCTTCAACACTATGTCGACCTTCTCATCCGTCAACTCCGTCATCGCGCTGATCAGGCGGGAGGTGGTGTGGTGGACATGGTACAATGGTTCAATTTCACGACCTTCGACATCATCGGCGACCTAGCCTTCGGGGACACGTTCGGTCTACTGGACAAGGGCGTTTGGTCTCGCTACCTCGCCGCTATCACCGGACTGCTGGAAGTAAACGTCTACTTCCGCGCTGCCAAGTATCTGTTGCCGTCTCTATGGAGCCTTTGGGCCGCTTCACTCTGGGCCCCGAGGCACCTTCAGCAAGATCGTGTATACATATATCAATTGGCAAAGGACAAGCTGTCTCGTCGAATTGAACACAAGACCGAACGGCAGGACTTTGGTGCGTGAGCTGCACTCTTTCTCCTTACCTCACGCTAACAAGGCTCCAATAGTCCACTACATGCTCAAGGGCTCTCGCTCGGCCATAGGCCCCGATGGCCTGAGCTTTGAAGAAATGGTCACGCAGAGCCAAACCCTTATTCTCGCGGGCAGTGAAACCACTGCCACTGTTCTCTCGGGCATGATGTATTGTCTCCTCACCACCCCACGCGCATTGTCGCGGGTGACGCAGGAGATTCGTACGGCTTTCTCCGACGAGCGGGACATCACCGTTCACCGCGCTGCCCGGCTCCCATATCTCCACGCTGTGCTCGAGGAATCGCTTCGCATGTATCCTCCCGTGCCCGGCATACTGCCCCGAGTCAGTACGGCCCCGGGGCAACTCGTCTGCGGTCAATTCGTCCCCGCGGGGACGTCCGTCGGTCTCCATCACTGGGCATGCTACCGATCAGCGTGCAATTTCAGCGACCCGGACACATTCTGGCCGGAGCGATGGATGGACGGCGAGGATGGTGCACGGTTTGCCAAAGATGATCGAGGGGCGTTTCATCCATTCTCTTACGGGCCCAGGAACTGTCTGGGAAGGAAGTAAGTGCCGCCTGCTTCGATTCGTTTAACTGATGAAGGTCCTAATGGAAGCTTAGTCTCGCATATGCGGAGCTGCAGTTGATCGTGAGTAAGCTGTTCTGGAACTTCGATGCGGAGTTGATGTCGGCAGGGGAAGGGTGGGCCAATCAACGGACTACATCGCTTTGGATAAAGAAGGCGTTGCCCGTGCGGTTAATTCCGCGGCAATACGAGGAGGTCGAGCGGGTATGATCAATTCGCTGGGCGCTGGGACGTAGTCAGTGGTGATGATTACTTTGAGGCGTGATTCTAGGTTTTCTATCCCATACACTTATCCAGGACTGCTTGGCCCATGGTTATTTGTAGCAAGCACAGTCTGTGCTATACCCACTAGCACATCGACCACTTATCTACCCGACCTAGGCGAAATCCGATCGGCCCAAGCCAGGCATCATCTCATGCATGAAATCTGTATGGTACAGTACTATCGAACCCCTCCCGTGACTTTCGGCCACCCCGAAACCCTCCCCGACCAGAACTCGGGTAAGAGTAGCCGAGATGCGCCGGCCAGCAAGCAGCCTCGCAGACGAACTAGCAAGAGCATCAGCAAGAGCATCAGCATTAGCCCCAGCCTCAGACTTACTACCCAGTACTATGAGCAGTACAATCTCTGCCACGTCATATCCTCAGTCGCATCCACCGTACCTTCCACTTCCACATGATCCAGGCGAAATCCAAGACCAGCCAGCGTACTGCTCCCCTAATCTCCTCTAATTGAGTTGACTGAACTGACATATAGATTGATTCTTCCCAGGTCAATTAAGACGTTGGTACCAGCAAAGGGGAGAAACTACGGAGTACTTGATAGTTTAAACCTAATCCTGATACTCACCCGGATAAACCCCCTGCCCTGCCCGTCAACTGAGCGATATATGCTGGGTGGGGAGATTGGTGCCGACAAACTTGCTAGTTTCGAGGCCGATCCAGAATCCCTAGTGTTGATCCAACTATAGCCTCAATGAGCCACTACTTGTCATCTATAGTATATTGAGTAGCATGAGAAGTGAGCCGTAGGTGATGAGGTAGTTCATCTGGTCGCATACTCTCAAAGCATAAGCATATTCCCGAGAGAACGAAAAGCGGGCGGTCGGGATCTCCGTCCCGACCAGAAACAAACCAAACACACTGGGCAAACAAAACGAGTCACCAGATGAACCTCGACCACCAGGTACGATAATGCAATCCACGATTCATCAGCACGCCACTACCCCCGAAATCAGGTATTGGGAATCCCTTCATCAACACGGCCCTTCACACCGCCACCAGAACTACATCGGTCGGTAGCAAAATCATCCCACAATGCTTGGCTCGGGTAAAATCGACGAAAAAAAAAAAACATCACCTACCTCCCCACCAACCAGAAACCCATGGGGATTTAAAAATAACAACAAGGCTGAAAATTCCTTCGCTTCTCAACTCACTGTCTAACTCCGTACTAGGAGACAATCAACAACGTGGCTTAGGCTTAGGCTAGACGCTCAAAACACTAGTTCCATAGGCACACAGCACACAGACACTATACTGTACAAAGTGGACCCGCAAGTCAGAGCCGCGCCCTCAGCTCACTTGCTTATGGATGGATGTTTGTGTTTGTTGCCGTTGCCGGGTCAGATTACCGCAAAAGCAACTGCTAAACGTCTAGTGTGATCACAGCCTTGTATACTCCGTATATGGGACACTCGCAAATCCTGCTTCAGTCCGCCCAAAGTTCCATCGCGGAAAGGGCGTGGGAGCTTGACGCAAGCTTGACGCTTGAAGCTTTTCTTCTTCGTCGGTGTTTTTAGCCTTCTGTTGTTCGAACTGCCGCACCACCGGCAAGAATTTCCTTTCTTCGGTGGGGAAGGAAAAAGGCCAGAACAAATTTGCTTCTACAGTAGTACACAACCCCTGACATACCATCTCTTGGGATGGATCATCGAGGGGAAATAATCCAGGTCAAAGTTGATCAAGGCTAATATCGCCATCTTCGTCCGAACTACTCCATACAGTACTTACCTCAGATTGAACATAAAAATAAGAAAGAAAAAGGGAAAAAAAAAAAGTGGGTGCACAGGATCGTCCGCTTACTTGCTCGCTGCCCGGAATGGGGCCGAGCTGAGCCATTCTCCCATGGCCGCCGGCCTTCTGCCCTAATTCCCATGCCCGGATCATGGAATCCTGATAACCCTTACTACATCCAACATATAGCGTGATCATCACAGGATCCCGAGGCTGTGAACTGTTCGCTATACTTGATAGATAGGTATCGAATCTACGCCGTAGTTACGTTGAATTATACCTACAGATGTAATATACCACAATCCCTGCAGGGAAAACTTTAGGACCCCGCTATCTCATGTCATCATCATCATCACCACCACCACCACCACTATCACCATCATCGCGCATGGAATGCCCGTCAGATCCAATCGGCTACTGCGGCCCTGGTCAGCACTAGCAGTGCCCAAACCATTCCCCCAGAACCCACTTTCAACTCAGCCATGCTCTTGGGTCTGGACAGCTAAATGGTAGGGGTGGTGGAGTGTTCGTATTGCACTGGGGCCGGCGCACCTTTGCTGAGCGTTAAACATGGCGAGGGCCCGACGGGGGAGCAATAACCTATAACTGAGTTAAATACTCTCTCTAGCCTACAGGGTTCCTGTATACCATTGATTTGCTTTTTCCTTTCCCCGTTGCACCAACGGTTCCTTCGAACGATTATCAACAGCTTACGGATTCTGCCGTCTGTTGATTCACATCTGATAACGCCCTTTCAGCAATCCGCTTCACATCCGTGGTACATCTCTCTTTACCCAGCCAGCCGAGCTACGTCCGAACCCCCGGCTCAGCAGCAGCCATGAAGAAGGACGACCTCGAGTTCCAGCGCCTGCACGAAAAGCCCGATACCTCGTCGACCACCGAAGACTTCAAGACCCTCTTCCCCGTGACAGATCTCTCGCGTGGGCTCGTGGGGTGGGACAGTCAGGATGACCCGGCCAACCCCCAGAACTTCCCCGCCTCCAAGAAGTGGACCCTGTTGGCGCTGATCAGCTCCATCACCTTCATCTCGCCGCTCGCGTCGAGCATGTTCTCCCCGGCGATCGAGTTCGTGGCCAGGGAGTTCATGGTCACAAACGAGACCTTGCTCTCCTTCAGCGTAACCATCTTCCTGCTCGGGTTTGTGGTATGTAGGAGTCAGTCTGTCCCCTGAGACGCACCCCAAAAAACTGACCGTTCCAGTTCGGCCCTCTGCTACTCGCCCCGCTCAGTGAGATATACGGCCGCCGGGTCGTCCTCAGCGGCGCGAACTGGTTCTTCGTCGTCTGGCAGATCGGCTGCGCCCGGGCCCCGAATATGACCACCCTCATCGTGTCGCGCTTTTTCACCGGCATCGGCGGCTCGGGCTGCGTGACTTTAGGCGCCGGGGTCATCGCGGACTTGTTCCCAACCGAGCTGCGCGGTCGGGCCACCGCCATTTGGGCCATGGGCCCTCTCGTGGGGCCCATCATTGGCCCCATCTGTGGTGGCTTCGTCGGCGAGACGATCGGCTGGCGCTGGGTCTTCTACCTCTTGATTATCAGCGGTGCGGTCATCTCGGCCGGGATCGAGGTCCTGAACCAGGAGACGTATGCGCCGCTGTTGATCCGATGGAAGACGGCGCGGCTGGCCAAGGAGCTGGATCGGGTTGATCTTCGCAGCGTCTACGACGTCACCGGCAGTATGCACCAAGCACCGCCCTCGGCCCGTCGGGTTCTGGTGCAGGGACTGAAGCGGCCCGTGGTGCTGTTCTGCAAATCGCCCATTGTGCTCCTTCTTTCCGTCTACATCGCGTTCGTGTACAGTCTGCTGTATCTGTTCTTCACCACCGTGACATCCGTCTTCGAGGAGCGGTACGGCTTCTCGACCGGTCTCGCAGGCCTCGCGTACATCGGCATCGGCATCGGGTTCTTCATCGGCCTGTTGACGGTCTCACTGACCAACGATCGTATGGTCATCAAGCTGACCGCGCAGAATGGCGGCAAGTTCGAGCCCGAGATGCGTCTACCGCTAATGATCATCTTCAGCTGCATCATCCCCATCACCTTCTTCTGGTACGGCTGGTCGGCCGAGAATGCGCAGAAGGTCCACTGGATCGTCCCCATCATCGGTATGATTCCCTTCGGGGTGGGCATGCTCGGCATCTGGATGCCCGTCCAGACCTATGTCATTGACGCATATCCGGCCTATGCGGCCTCCGCGAACGCCACCATGACGGCCTCGAGATCGCTGATGGGCGCCTTGCTACCTCTGGCGGGTCCTACCATGTTCCGCAACATGGGCATCGGATGGGGTAACTCGCTGCTGGGGTTCCTGGCCTTGGCGTTTGTGCCGGTCCCGTTGCTGTTCAATCGATACGGCAAGATGATCCGCGAGAGGTTTCCGGTTGACTTGGATGGATGAGCCGTGGCCGCGAGGACGATGTAATGACCCCTTTAACATGTTTTGATAGACTTCCGTTGCTCCCACATAGAATATAGACTCTACTTCCTAATAACATTCGTTCATCCATCACAGGACCTCATACACAATAGACTGCAGGTCGACCCCCGTCAAAATACTGGGGTAGCTTCGAATGACATCAGGGGTGAGTCCCCAGCCCTCCATGGTCATGAACGTCTCGTAGAAGCTGCGTCGGATGCGGAGTTGATCCTGATCGTCGCGCTCGAGGATACTCTCGCCCCACGGCCAGCGGACCTTGATACAACAGGCCAGGAACCCAAAGAGATCGTCACGCTGACCCTCGTAGATGTGCCAACGACGGATCAGATTGGACCGGATTTGCGGCCAGATCATGAGGTCGATCGACCCAAGGTGGGGAATATTGATCTGGTCGGGATTCGGGTGCATGAAGGTCGGCAGCCGAGCAAATCGGCTGGGACTGGGCGAGTACATCCACTTAAGAAGGTGGTAGGCCAGCCACCCACAGGCCAGGCGCTCGGGGTCGCGCAGCGGCCGTCGCTTCGTGGTGCGGTAGACGAGGTCTGCCAGGACGTTGGTCTTGGAGCCGTACAGGAGATCCAGCGGAGAGGCGGGGGAATCCGGGGATGCTCTGATCTGCTCCTGGTAGGCCACCCAGTTCATGTACGGGGCCGATGGGTCATCGTTGGTCAGTGGAATGCGTTTCCAGAGCGGCTCTGGTGAGTTTGCTGACTCGAGGGTAGGGTAAACCGTAGCTGCGAGTGGGGGCAGCGGGGGCAGAATTGGAGCGATCGGAGGAATGGGAAGAATCCTTCTACTCGCTTCCAATGGGTCTATCAAGCTGCGCGAGACTGCTGTCGGCGGCGGTGGCGATGGTAGAGGAGGACGCAGGCTCTCGACATCGGCCGCCTCGGGGGTATGAGCCGGTCCCGTGGGAGCTTCCGGAGACGTCAGCGCATCGATGTCCCAGGATTGCAGGAGAGTCTTCAGCTGCTGTTGACGCGCAAGAAGAGATGCATTCTGTCTCCGGAGACTCTCTATCTCTCGGGATCGCTGTTGGGCACCTTCGTCCGTGTGGTGTTGCCGACAGTGAGCGACCTGCTCCTCTAGCCGTTCGATGCGATCTTCGAGGTGACTGAGATACTGCAGCTTTTTACTTCGAGAATTCTGTTGTGCCCGTCGATCGCGGAGGCGCTTTTTCTCCGCCGAGCTCAGATGGCTGTGATCCGACATTTGAGCCACATTCTTCAGAGATGTCGGACGTGTTCGACAAACATTGAGGTTCGAGACAAAAGGTGGAAGGTGATCATCCGTGATAGCCCAAGTTATGCAGCCAATCGGTACATAACTCACGTGATCTGGGTTTATGCTCGCTTTTGAGAATTATGCATGATTGACAATCTATAGGAAAAGGTAACTGCACTCAATTGACTCCCTTTAAATGGATAAAATCGAAGGCATGTATTTACATCACTTGAAAAGGTCTTGGTTGATTGAAATCTTGAAATGTGACTTCGCAGCATTGAAGATCGAATCTCAAACCCCAGACCCACCCATCAGTTGCAGGATAGGCCTCTTGGTTGATCGGATGTCTGTGTTCGTAATTGAATGCGCTATTGGCCAGCAGTGAGATATGAATAGTCAAGTGTCTATACAACTCGGGCATGACCTTAGATGAACCTTTTCAAGTCTGTTATAGCCGTCAGGTGTTAATGCAGGGCAAAGTCTGGAGCTCGATGTACATACACATTTACACGGTTATAGATTCTACAATGCCGTTAATGTACTGGTAAGTCCTACTTCTACTCCAAGTGTTGGCAGTTTTGCTCTTTTTCCGGCCGATACTGCTCTCTACGTTAAGGTGCACGGTCCTGGATCCTTCACGGGTGCATCCACGCAGTCGATGAGACGCATTGGGCCGGCGGTGTCTCTACGACCAAGCTTGTCGGCGCGCGAGAGGCCATACTTTGGATATCAGCAGGGCATCTCCGTCCGCAAGTAGCATTCCTCCCGCAGCATAACCACCGGTGTACCCTGAAAGCATGCCGTGCGCTCGCTATTCTTCCCATTGTGTCCCATTCGTATCGGTTCCGACATAAGCTCTCGGGAGCGAATAGCGATTTTGCGGGAGGTGCTATCAAGGTGTTGTGCGGTCTGGAATCGGGCGGGTACAATTAGGTCAACCGGTCAAAGTACGTTGCTTCTCTCCAGTTCCCAGGTCTCGACCGAGGTTCGATGTTTATTGAAATTCAAGATCGGTGTTGGGAAACGGAGTCGAGTTGCCGGTGTAGCATCAGTAGCCTGAATAGCATTAACCGCGCGGACAGGCTTGGACAGTAGTCGTTGATGAGCGGGAAAAGGGGAAGCCATATATTCAAAGCATCAAGCTTGATCGGTTTGGGGTTTGGCGTAAATAAGTTAAAGGACGTGCAATGGGACAATAGATGGAGGTGTGGACGATGGCGGACGACAGGTGGACCGCGGGGAAGTCAAGTTAGTGCTGCCTGAGGCATTAAAGAGCCACGTGATGTCTTCGAGTCCCATATCTCAAACTGGTCGAGAGGGAATTATCTTGGTCAGTTGTGTAGATTGAGGTTTCCGAATAGAGATAGCTCTAGTGTAGAGCAGAACGCAGGTGCTGCAAGACGGACGAGATAAAGAATCTTCCATTGAGCGAGTTGTGTTCGACATTTTGTGGTGCATAGACATCCGGCAGTATGATATATACCTTGTCACGGACGTACTGAGCGTCCCTGGAGAACAAAGCAAGCTCTCCGAGTAATATGAAGTACAGTACATCGTACTGAGTATAAATCAATTCAAATCTCTCACTTAAGCTGTAATCCACAGCCACTCTCAACCCAAGTATTATCCACACCAACTATCACAATGCTACATCTCGATAAAACGTCAACATCGATCCCTCAGGCAACCTCCATCAACACCCGGCAAACCTTCTCCGCACAGCAGCCCATCCCGCCCCAAATACCGTTGCCCGTATCCGACCCGTCACAGCCATACAGCACCCCCGTACCGCTCAATACAGGTAACCACCCATCAATACCCGGGCTCGGCACGACTGAAGAAACAGACAGGACGGATCAGCAACCACAAAATGGTTGGTTTCCTGTCCATGATTCATCACACCTGGACCAATTTACCCGTCCACTGCACCGACGGGAAGGAGAACTGATGGTCCGTATCAGAACACTTCCTTTTCCCTCTCCCTTAATCAAGGTGGTGGTTGTTCCCTCGAATAAAGTAGACTCCCACCTCACGAACCTCACCACCCCTGCAATAACATAGGCTTACTCCGTACTGTATCCGTATATCGCACCCTATTATCTACAACCTGTAGCAAGGATTAGAGAAAAAGGACAGAACCTCTCACATCCCTGCCCATCCGGCGAAGGAGCTTACTGCCAGTCCTGTACAATGCAGGGCGTGCAAAAGGAAACCCGGCGTATTACCGCGGTTAAGTGGGAAGTTTGTCCGTTGATCGGACCGGAGTTACACTTTACAAAACTGGTTCTGGGCGTGACGCCCGCTGTAAAATTACACTAGAGAGAGTGGTTGTGGTTGTGGTGGCTGCATGCATCTAATCCATGCATCCGTGCATGAGAGAAAAGTTTTTCTCAGGGGGATAACAACTTTTGAGACATCGATTTCGAAAGGCATTTGCATGGATATTCTCTACGCAATTGAAGAATGATGGATAGATGGACGTATCATAATTGATCCATGTTACTGTGGGCTTGAAGATCGAGCGTGGCCAGGTAGGAGTAACTTACAGTACATACGGTAATTCAGTGCTGGCACTGGTGGGCGAAGGATCCTCATACACTCCCACCCACCGATACACGCGCACACAGCAATTGCAAAACCTGGGGAATGGGTGGACAGAGTTCGATGAAGAAAGACGGGTGGGTAGACTATATACAGAGTTAAGAGAGTGGAAACTGCAATTGATTGTTTTAGAACATCGATTGAGATCTGATGGTGATTGATAACAATCTCCGTAGGAGCCAGTGCCAGTTAGCTTACACACAAGACAAGACAGCTAGACCCATCGGCCGCCCCCTCTCCCCGGAAGAACAGGGAAAGGGAGGTTCATTCGTTTTCGACAGCTGGCATCAATCCGTCCCCTTCCACACGCACCCACCACGGGGAGGAGGGAGGGAGGCTGGAGAGAGCTCTGACCTTCTCTAGATTCCGTCATACCGTATACGACATGTCAGTGGTTCTGATCACTACAATTCGATATGGATTCTCGAGAGCTCTCTGTTTTGTGCTGAGCTGGAACCACTCCAGATTCAAGCTCAAGCTCAAGCTCATTCTGTTTTTACCCCAGAATATGGGGGTTTGTCGGTGATTCTACGATGTCCGTCTCCCTCGTCGTCATCGCCATCGATCGTCTACTTGGCTCCCCAGGACAACACAGCGAGTTTTCCAGGCTCAGAAGGATGGGTGTAGAGTGGCCATTTTAACTCTATATGTACAGTGTATATTGGTTGCATGTTGTAGGCGACGACGTGAGGGGGATAAAGGAAATAGGGAGTAGTACATGATATATCAAAAGACCACCACAAGAAGATCAACCTCCTAGAAAGAAAGAGAAGTGTCTGTGTGGAAAAAGACCCAGTCGTTCTCAATTTTTGAGGGGGAAAGATGAAAAACAGAGAATGGTATAGAATGGAACAAAGAGAAGATAACCGGTTTACCGGACGAGCACGCTCATTAAACCGATTGTTTCATTTGTGGAATTGTTGTACAAGTGATCCAGAAAAAGCTTCGTAGATTTTGTGAGAGTCTTTTTGTGAAAATTGGTTTCGTCATCATCCCATCTGTTCCCTTCCCGTATTTCATCTTCTCACAAAAAAAATTCGATCCCTTCCAAGATTTGCCGGACACCGCAAACGCTTCGCTAGGAGATATGATATGCGGCTCGATTGTCGTGGGAGAAAAGTGGTTGCGTTAAATTTAGACGTACTTGCACATCATGGCAACCATCAGGTCGAACAGACCAATGGCCTCGACGAAGGCGAAACCCAGAATGGCGTAGGAGAAGAGCTGACCACGGAGGGCAGGGTTGCGGGAGACGGCGAGGAGGAGGGAGCCGAAGACGAGACCGATACCGATACCGGCACCACCGAGACCGATGGCAGCGGAACCCATACCCAGGTTCTGGGAGACCTGGACCATGGCGTCGGCGATCTCAGAGGAGTACTGACGGCGGCCCTGGGCGGCGAAAGCCTGGCGGGCGCTGGCCTGGAGGAGGCCGGAAGGAGACTGACGCTTGACGGTCTGGAAGGGGGTCATGTTGATCTTCTTCTGGGTGGTGAAGGTGCGCTTGGGGGCGACAGCGTTGAGCTGAACGCGAGCGGCAGGGCGGGCGACCTTGGAGGTGGCAGCCATGGTGGAAGCCAGACGGCTGGCGAAGACACGGGAAGAGGCCATTGTGATGGGGTGGGTGGTCTTGAGAAAGAGACTGGTGTTTTTCTCGAGAGGATGGGGATGGGAAGGAAGGAGAGAAGAAAGAAGAAGAGGAGAAAAGAGGAAGAGGAAGAGGAAGAACTTTTCTGGGAGGAAAACCTGGAGGAAATGTGACAACAGTGACCTTTCCGGGCCATAAATACTTTCCCGCTAAATTTTCGCGTTTTTTACCCTTTCGAGCCCACCAGCCCCCCAGTCGGCTTCCTTTAGTGCGCTTGTTGGGAAGAGAAAAAGCCCTACCCGGGGCCTGGCGCGTGTGTTGCTTCCAGTAATTGATTGTCCGCTATCTTACTTGACTGGTATCATACACTGCCAGTACCATTGTCTTTACACAATTCGGGTTCGTTCGGGATGGGGCCAAGCGCGCAATGCTGCCGGTACAGCCAATTGTTCAGGGTCTCTGCCCGGCCGCGCAGGTCCGCTGGCCGTACTATCCACGAGTCGCATTGCGGCGATGCTACCATTGCGCACCCACTCCTTGCCCATGACCAGGTCCTGTGCTTTCCACCGTATGCCGAATATGAAGCAATTGGCTTTACAGTAAGATTACTTGTAACCAGGGTGACCGGGGGAAAGATTGACCAAGGGAGGGGGGAGAGAGGGGGGGTGGTGGAGAGAAAAAAGGATGGGGAGGGAGCATTCCCACCCCGAGCTCCCTTCATTCTTCCTTACATATAAAATGGACTTGCCCTTCCATCTTCCAGTTTCCTGGTCCTGAGGGCAGAGCAATTGGGTGGAGGGAGAGTCTGGCCTACGGTATGCACAGAATATGGTCGTGCTGAAGCTGACCGTGAGGGAGGAGGGATCACAGAGTAACGAGAGAGAGAGAGAGAGAGAGAGAGAGGTAGAGAGAGAGCGAAAAAACCAAGGAGGTCCCAGAAAAGTGGATCCCAGCAACCAAATGGGTCCGATAAAGTGGTACATGACCCACTTAGCGGTGCATCCGTAGCCAATGGCAGGCTAGCCGCCTGCTCGGTCTCAATAGACCGGGCCGAATCGGGCATGCGGCTCCACCAGCGCCGGAGGTTCTGTCCCAGAAACAGAATTCCCACTGGCGACGCAAGCAGGTTTGTTTGCACCCCGGGGGCCTGGGTGGCTTCCCTCTCGAGTTGTCGCTGCTGCTGCAGTCGTGAGCTGAAATTCGGAGGGAATTGCCTCGCCTCACCGACTTGTCGGATTGGGAACCTGCTGTTTTAGGCCAACCCGACTCATCCCGTGGACGCCGGAACAAAAAGCTAAGCTGCATGAAGAGCTAGCTCGAAGCTGGGGGCACCACCCACCGTGATGAAATCGACGCCAACCTTTCAGCAGAACCAGAAGAGAGAGAGAAAAAAAGGAATGTCACTGCATCCATTTCTCTTTCTTTGTTTGTTGCCCCCAATGCTGGCTCGAGGGAGGTGATGTGGATTTATATAGCTTTTGGATAGATCAGAGAAACTGGCCAAATTTGGTGTGGAAGAAGTCAGCTCGTCTGCACTCCCGCTTCCCACCATCGCTCCCCCCCCCCCAACCCTAGCCAAAGAAATTAAATCCTCGGGAAGAAAAACGTCACAATCCTCCCAGAGAAATAAAATACAAAACAAATTGAGAGGTAAATCCCATGACGGTCAGCGCTAGTGCCAGCAGTAGCCACGCCCTGTTTTTTTGCGTCTGGTCAATTTGACGCAGCAGCGACTTCAAGTCGTGGATAGCGGGTTTCGCCCACCACCTCGGGGTAGTTAGCCCCCGTTCCCTCCCCCTCCTTCGGCACTCCATCCCCAGGAAAAGAAAGAGAGATACGCTCTCATATTTATACCTCGCAGTCTTGTCTCGTAATGAGGACAACAAGGATGGAGTCTCTCTACCGATTTCCTCACCATCTCTCCCTCCCTTCCCCCTGTATCTAAAAATTTTCACATTCTTACCCATGCTTACTGCACTATGCCCAAGTTAGCACTAGTGAAAAGCGGTTGGCGGTGATCGAGATATGATCTCAGCCGCCCTGCGTCCTTACGTAACCGAGCAGGGGGGAGGGGAGCTTTTGCGTCTGTCTGCCCGTCTGGGATCTGAACTGCTGCCACCCAGCGAACAAACTGGCCCTTCAATTTAAGCATGCAGCCGCCGCAGACAGGGATTGAGGAAGCTCTTCCAGCCGGGTTCTTCCGTCTCGTATAGCTGGGCAGGAGCATGATTATGTGGATGTGTAGATACTGTATTTGTGATTGCCACCTGTCGAGGAGGGGAATGCATGGGTAAAGAGGAGAGAGAGAGGACGCGGCGTTGGTTATGAAATATGGGCATGACGATCCATTATGGGTCCAGAGGATGGATGATACCTGTGTTGATTTCGTCGCATCATGGAGGAGGCGGCGGATGGATGGTCGGAGGTTCAGGGCTACTGGGGAGAAGTGCGTGTTTCGTGTATTTCGTGTGTAAGGGTGGGTGTAAGTCTGGTATTGAAACTGTTCCGGAGTTACATCAATATCCTCAGGCACCGATCTGGCCGGCCCAGCGGGTGATTGTTGGACCTCGGGTCACGTCCATGTAGAGAAGGTATGGCGGCGGTTATGAATCGGAAAGATAACGAACGCTTCAGATCTTAGTCGGAGAATGTCCACAGACTCATTACACTTTGCACCTTCTACAGTCCTTCAATGCTAGATAAACAGATCGCATCTTGCTACTCAGATCCTCAACAATTATATGAACTTCTATATAATGCATCGTCATTCGACTTCCCCAATGAACTACCATCCTAAGTACAAGACCCTCACCCGGCAAACCCACCCCGTTCCCACCCGACCGGCCTTTCCGACTCTTCCCTACGTAGTCCCTCCAGATCGGTAAAATCCCTATCCAACAATGTACACGCACATATATCTATACCAACCTAAAAATTCTACTGAACTGAGTCTCAAACACCCGTAACTCTCCCTCTCGACTCTCTATCTGGGACAGAGGAAGCCACAAGAATGTCCCCCCAAGCCGCCTACACCCCCGAACAAACGCCGACGGTCGTCCGCGCCCGCAAACATCTCTCGGGAACGCGCGCCAAGCAGCTCCTCCGCGCGGCGGAGCGCGACCACAACGACCCCCCGCCGCCGCCGGGGCTGGGCGAGTGCTGTGGCAGCTCATGTGACCCGTGCGTACGGGATCTCTGGCGGGAGGAGCTGGCCGTTTGGCGCGAGAGATGGGGGGAGGCTGCCTCGGAGGGGTCTTCGGAGAAGAAAGACCAAGACGGGAAGGAGGAGGAGGAGGGGAAGAGGAAGATGCCGGGGAGTTGGGAGTGGTGATTTGATTTTTTTCTTATTTTTTTATTGGGTGTGGATTGGAATATCGACTGGTTTGGAGAGGCTGGCGTGGTTTCGGAGATCCTGGTTTTGGGTTGTCACTTGGTTTGTGATTCTTTGTTCTGGTTGATGCTATGTGACAGGTGATAACTAACTATAAAACAGACTGAGCATGGACCGGGCCGATGAAGCAATTCGCGGCAGACGATCTCCACTCACAGTGAGATGAAAACTCATTTACACTTCGCTAACCTCACTCCCTGCCGGCACCCTGGCCTCATACTCTAACACCAACTTCACCTCCTTCCCAGGCGCCAACTTGACCACCCACTTGACCTCCCCGGCCTTTCCCAATTGCGCGATCCCCTCCTTCATTGGCGCATCGTCTCCTTCCCGAACCAGCCCCTTGGGCTCCAGGATCTGCACCTTCAACCGCTCATCGTCGCTGACAGGCACCTGATCGACAACCGCCACCTCGACGGCGTTGCTTCGCGTGTTCTTGACCCGGCACGTCCGGCGGAACACCGCCGCCTCTTCCTTCTGGGAGAACAGACCCCCACTGCCTGTCGCGCGCCGCACCGTCGGCCGCCCGTACGTGACCTGGATCAGGGGATCCACGCCCAGAGGCAAGGTGAACGATTTCTTCGGCCCGCAGCTCGGCAGGTCCGCGGTGCCCAGGAAGGTCCCGTCGATGGTGATCCCGACTTTCCCGCGGAGGAGGCTCACGGACGAGGAGGAGTTCTGGATCTTGGCCTGCAGGAAGGCGGCGGCGCGTTGCTTGGGGACGATGGTGTAGGATAGGGTGACGGAGTCGAGGTGGAGGTCGGCGAGGAGGTGGCGTCGGGCCACGAGGGATGGGATCACGGTGCGATGACCGGGCAGATCGTATGTGGTTGTGAGGCCGTAATCTTGCTGGAAGGATTCTTGGTGTTCCAGGTCTGGGATGGTTTTTGGTGGTGATGAGAAGGAGGGCTTGGGTTCTTCGGTGGGGTTATTGACCTCGTCTGGAGCCCCGGATTGAGCGAATGGTTGCATGGATGTTGTCGCTGTACTCATCAGCGCCGGGGGTTGAGCTTGCGAAGGCCTGGGAACACTTCCAAACAGCCCTCCACTCATGGTAGACCGTCCGAATCCGCCAGATTGAAGACCACTGGTACCGGTTGGCGGTGGGTTGGCTGGTGCACCAAATGCAGGACCGCTTGTCGTGGTTGGTGGTAGGCCACCAAATAGAGCCCCCCCAGACTGCGGGGGCGGGGGTGGTGGAGGGGCTGCTGCTTGTCCGAACAACCCGCCCTGAACTGGTTGCGGAGGAGCAGCTGGTGCAGCATTACCAGAGGGTCTGGACGCAGCCGCTGCAACAACATTATTGGGCGCAAACACCGGTGGGTTCCGCGTCTGCTGCTGGCAAAGCGTCTTCTGGAGGGTCTGCACTGGCATTAGATGGCGTTGCTCAGGCTTGCTACGCAGAATGTTCTCCCACGAGGTCTGCTCCTGGTTCTTATTGTTGTTGTCCGCTTGGACTATCAGCTGCCACACCTGGAGCGAGGGAATGCGCTCTCCCAGCCCGGAAAACGAGGCCTGGGAGGTGGACAGGGTTACGCGGGCATCGCGCCAGGTCTCCGAGCACGCATTACGAAACTCGGCGCGATAGACCATCTTGGCCGAGGAGGCAGGCGTGTTGATACTCAGATCATACCGTGGGACCCAGCTGGGTCCCGCGACGACATAACTCAACCGGAGCATGACATTGTTGTCGCCTTGTTTCGTGCCCTCACCCTCATCACCTTCAGCCTCGCCATCCAGATGAACCACCACCTCTCCCACCCTATTCTTCCGAAACGACTTCTGCTCCTTCTCGAGCCTTTCCTTCCGCTCCTTTCTCTGCATCTTCTCCTTCCTGCGGGCCTGCCTCTCCTTCTCCCTGGCCGCCTCCTTCTTCCTCTTCTCCTTGAACACCCTCTTCTCCACCTTCTGCACCTTGCCCATCAACCTCGCCACTTCTTCCTCCGCCTCCTCCACCTCCACAACGGCACGATAATGCTTCTCGCCTTCCTCCTTCCCTCGCGCATTAAACAGATCCATAAACTCTCCAACCTTCCACACTTCAACCGGTTGCTGCGGCTGTGGCTGCGGCCTCCCAAACCCGGCTCCACCCGTCGGAAAAACCGACCCCCTCTTCTGCTCCTGCAAGAAATCAATCAGACTGCCCGCGACATCCCTCCGGATCCCCGCCAACGCCGCCTTCTCCTTCGCCGCGCGCAGCTCCGCCCTCACGAGTCGAAGCTCCTCGGGCTCGTCGTCTGCCTCGTCATCCTCGGATGACGACGAATCACTACTACTCTCATCTGGTTCCGCTTCGTTCGCCTCCAGAGCATAGAGCCGCGACTTGACAATCTCCGTCTGGAAATCCGTGACGCAGGCGGGTCCCGAGCCCTCGATACGGATCGAATCGAAGTCCGTGAGGGGGTCGAGGCCGTGGATGGTTAGGGTGTTGGGGCCGGGCTTTTTTTCCCGTCTACCCGTTAGTTTTATAATGAATCATATTTGGACGAAAGGGATAGGACGAGACTTACGTGGATCGTGACGGGGATTTCACGGACGATGGTGGCGCGGGTTGGTTGGAAGGTGACGGTTTTGGTGGGGAGGGAGGTGAGGAGGATCTCGGTTGCGTTGTCCGTGGTGGTATGGTCGGGCATCTTGCTCGGCTTCTCTTTTGGTCAAAAAGAAGAAGAAAAAAAAAACAAAAGAGAATTTCCGCTTAGTCGAAATGAATGATGGAGCGGAGAGAGAGGATATATGAATGAATGGGAAAGAGATGATGGTGACAAGGACGTAGGTAGAATACTCTGTACAGTACTTATACTCCGCACCGCAGCCCCTAAGAGGTAATACATCAGGCAGCATAGAACTGCGCCTTGTGTTGTGACAAACATGATTGGTGCAACGGCTCATTCGCTTATAAATCCAGTGACTAGCGCGGTATCGATTCTATTCTCATTGGCTGTGTGAGTCACTTGTCCGCCTCAGATCGAACTATTGGGGCTTAGCATCGCGACTAGTGCCGCTAACTTAGTACTAAATATGACTGAGTAGGTAGTACTCAAACTAAAACTACGGAGTACCCGGCTGAAAAACTGCATGTGAACTCGACTCTTGATGATATCCATACTCCATAATCCTTTTGCTGAAAGGCTCTGAGACTGGAAGGTACCTTGTATAGGGTCTAACTTACGCGTCCCTGGAAAACCAACAGACTACTCGACTGGCTCCCTTCGTGAGACCTAATTCCTAGGCTGTCGTGTCAGCCGAACTTTGCCTTCAGCATTCTGGCCAAAGAACCTTCCGTCCGCGACAAGCTGTCGGGCGTGTCTGAGCGTCTCGTCGTATCGTATGGTTTGAGGAGCGTCGCGACGAGGGTCTTGAGCATTTCCATCCACGCAAATCTCTTGTCCTGCGTAATCGGGGGAGAAAACAAGCGACAAACGCCACGGGGCAGGGAGGGAGGAATAGCGGAGTGACGTACGGCCGGCCGATGCAGACCGGCGGTCTGATGGATGAGGGGGTGCAGTTGGAGTTTTCGATCATGGCTGAAGTGGCGCTCGTAAGGAAGCCCCAATGGGTTCTAGGAAGGTAAGGCAGCGGTCACTTCAACATCATAGTCGGGCGGATGCTCGCACCTGAGCACTGGTGATGAACGTTGAGCGCAATGACACTAATCAAGAGCTGCTGTGCACCAGCAGATCCTTTTCGGGAAGATCAAACAAAAATAGAAGTGAAGGCTAAGCATACCCCGGGGATGGACTGGATACTTCAGTTTCAATCACGGATAACTCAGCCTCGGTGTACGCCCACACAAGTCTCATAACACCGGGGTAAACTATATAACAAAGGTCCTCTTGCAGCGACTGTAGACTGGTCCGGTCCGTCACCTTCGTCGAGATGTCGAACCAATCACGAAAATCCACTCTTAAGGCTGGACGTGTTACTTGGGACGTGTTGACAGGGGTTCACCTGAAGCCACCCAATCAGACCCTCTCGTCAGTCGAGATGTCAAAAGTATCACAAAAATCCACTTTTAAGGCTGCCGGCGCTGGACGTGTTACTTGGGACGCGTTGACAGGGGTAGACGTGGAGGGGGCCAATCACGCCCGTCTCTCAGGCGAGATGTTGAAAGTATCACGAAAATCCACTTTCAGGGCTGCAGGACCCCAGCCGGGTTGTTTGGTACGCGTCGGGGAGGATGCACGTGGGCTTGGTGATCTCTGGGTCTCTGCCTATTGAGGAAATGCGGATCTATTAGCAAAGCTTGCCTTTCTTTTATCCAGAGATGTTCTTGTCATCCCTCCGCACTACACCTAGACTTCAATGACCAGGGGGGGGGAGGGGACTTGATATAGGATTGAGAGGTAATAGAGGTGGCAAGAGCTCAAGTTATGGAGTCTTCAAGAGTAATGAGCTAGTCAAGATTCTTTGCAAGGACATAGAGACTGTTCTCAAGACCAATCTACCCCAGCCAATGTACTAAACATTGCAATCACTACACGAGACTGATGTTTCTTCATGATGCCGTATTAGGTCGGTTTCTGATATCAACCGAGGAGCTGCTGCAGTTGCTGATGACCTTGAGCCGCGGAAGCTACTGTAATGACTGACCTTGCTGGCGTGCAGTTCAGCAGCATGAGTAGAGGCGAATGAAGCAACAGAACATTGTGATATCAAGCCAGGATGCCTTGGGACGGTTTCCACGGAGAAGCGGCTAAGGTTCAGGAACTCACCGGGGGCGGGTCGGACCCTGTTCCTCGCCACTCGTCGCCGCGGCACCCCCGCCCGTGGCTGCAGCGACGAGTACAGTACAATACATAGCACTGAATCTTTCTCAATTATGATAAGCGCCTTATCTTTGCAACTTCATCAAGTTATTCTCCATTCTCCGCTCACGCAGCTTGCAGTCAAAGTCGCTGAAAGAGTAGGTGTTTGATTTCTCAGCTGTGCGTGCTTCTGATTAAAGATATTGAGGCTTAGCATCGTGTCTAGGATTGCTCGAGCATTACACTGCTACCCCCCCTCCGACTCCAACCATGCTTCACCCCCTCATCCTCTCGCAACTTCTCCGCGAACAACCGCCCCGCCAACTGCTTGTACAAAAACACATTTCCCCCATGATAATGGATATGATGATCCGAGTCCGTGAACCACTGCACCTGCACCTTCTCCGGCGACACTCCAGCGCCAACCAACAGATCCACCAGGGCCGCCGAGTGCTGGAAGTGCACGTTGTCGTCCGCCGTGCCGTGCTGGATGAGGACCCCGCCGCGGACGCTCCGGAAGCCGGCTGTCCGCCGCACCGCGCTGGCCGCATAGCCCTCCGCGTTCTCCGCCAGCGTCTTCATGTACCGCTCCGAGTACATCGAGTTATAGAACCGCCAGTCTGCCACCGGCGCCGTGATCAGACCTAGGGAGAAGATACCATCGCCGTCGTCGCTATCCTGTTCGATGACCTTGGCCGTCAGATAGCCGCCGAAACTCCATCCCCAGATGGCAATGTGGTCCTCGTCGACGTAGGGCAGCGCGGCAGCCTGCTGGGCGGCGTAGATCTGGTCCGCCGCTTCCAGAAGTCCCAAGCGTTTGGTGACCTGTGTGCGGAACGCGCGGCCCTTGCACCCTGTCCCCCGATTGTCGACGGTCCAGGTGATGTATTCGAGCTCCGGGTCAGAGGCGACGTAGGCATTGAATCCCAGAGACTGCCATGATTTGCTTGCCCGTTGCGCGCCGGGGCCGCCATAGGGAGTGAATAGGATAGGGTATTTCTTGCTCGGATCGAAATCCACCGGCAGCCGTTGCATGACGTTGAGGGTTTCGTTTGTGGGGCTCTCGGGGAGAGGTAGTTCGAAGTAGCTGATATTCGGGAGTGCATAGTCCTGGAGTTGAGTGACAGTTCTAGCGTTGTCGGCGATTGTACGCAGAGGATGGCTCTGGTCGACGGAGTAGAGCTCCTGATACGGAACATCGGGGCCATTGTAGGTGAGGATGTAGTATCCCGAATGCGCGGAGAATGACGCATGCCAGTAGGCGGGCACGGAGTCATCAACTAGAGGTGTTATTTCGAAAGTGCGATAAGATACTGAGTAAAGATGTCGCTCGGTGCTGTGATGTTGCGTGGAGAGGTAGTAGATGAGCTGTCTGCCTCGGTCTACGCTAAGAATGGAAGTCACCTCCCAATCACCACTAGTGAGAGCGATCGGCTCGCCACCAGACAGAGGGAAGAGCCACAGGTGGAACCATCCCGACCGGTCAGAGATGTCAAGGTAGTATAGAGAGGAGGTGTTGTCGATTGCTCCGATATATTTTATCGGAGTGTTGTCTATCCATCCATCGGTGCCGTCGCGCTCGTTGATGATTTCCGCCGTCCCCGAAGCCGTATCAACCGCCACGACTGCCTGACGATCCTGAACACGATTGAATGTCTTGACGGCTAGCGTGGTGTGGGTATCAGTGAGCCAGGAGACTTGACCAATGATCAAATCATCCAACTCGAAAGAATCGACTGTGACGGTCAGAGCGCGGCTTTCAGCCACGCGGAGAAGGCTCAGCTGCACCGTGGGATTGATTTGCGATGCTTTCGAGTATCGAATCGGCATCTCTGCTGGATACGGCGGCGCAATAGCCTGGTTATCCATGTAGTATGGCACCAGGTAGGTCGGCACCCCCGTCTCATTGAAACTCAGGAAGGCGAGATACTCTCCATCGGGAGAGAAAAAGAACGCGAACCGGTCCCCCAGGATTTCCTCCTCGTAAGCCCAGTCCGGCACACCATGGAAGTTCTCAGGTCCACCATCCGAGGTGACCGTTGTGATGACCCCGTCGATCCAGGTGAACAGGTTGTTTTCACGGACAAATGCGATCGTGTTGCCCACCGGGCTCCACTGAGCATATCGAATATCAACGTTCTGGTCTGAAACGAGAGGGCTTAGCTGCAATGACAGAACATCTTGGATGTAATAATTTGCTAGGGAAGGACGTCGGTATTTCTTCGTATGGTTGGTCTCCCAGAGGACTGCCGAGAGGTCGGGCTTGACTTGGTAGCTATATACCCCCGAAGGGACGTGGTCGGCTGCCACGAGGGTCTGCGTTTGCTTGGTAACAATATTGCTGATCTTAAGACTGCCATCTTTGTCCCGGTAGACGTACTGCCCATCCTCTGCTGTGTCAATCCATTTCACCGATATCCGCGATGGTGAAATCGCCGTCCGCACGACGGTCTCGTTGAAGGTCAGACGCTTTGTGCCACCCCCGGTCGGAGGATAGGGATTGCGAGCAATGCCAAAGGCATGAGCGAGGCCTACGATAAAGAAAAGAAGCTAGAGATGTTAGCGAAGTTGAGGCTTGTGACAGGTTACTCTTACTCACCTTCATGATTGTGGCTAAAGTTGGAAGAAGCAATTGGTACGAACGAAGACATGTTCACAATGACCTTATAATAATTCAAGGGAAACCCCCGCGTACCTGCCGGGGAAGGTGGCTGGGATTCTGGTCTTGCTTGACGTGATGAGTTTTCACATCGCTGCAGGCAAGTGCCTGTACCCCTCTTGCCATCTTCTTATTTACCTTCATAGCGTTCAGTATTGTTGCGCATATGCAAGTTGTATTCACGATCATCACTGTAGCCGCGCGACCGGCTTGTCTGCAGGTGCAGATGGGTAGTTGCGAAAACGGTGAAGTCGCGGACAAAAATGCTTCATATAACGGAACCAGGGAAGTATACATGATGTGGATGATGGAAGAGAGGCAGGTTTGACACTATGATATTATGTTATTTGTGTGATATTGACATCAAGTAGCATCATTGGTCTAGTGGTAGAATTCATCGTTGCCATCGATGAGGCCCGTGTTCGATTCACGGATGATGCACTCCAATTTATCTTTTGCTTTTTGTTCTGGCCCGCGCCCACTCCAAATGAAACTTATTGCGATCCGACTCTTTCCCCTGCCGTTTGCAGTAGTAGACATCTTTCTGCAGCACTTTCCCCTACCTCCCCGGAAGCAATAATCTAGAACATCGAATGATGGGTAAAAGAGCGAGCTGCCTTCCTGACTACCCAGACCCCAACCTTGATTCTTACCTCGTGCTTCACAGGCTTGATACAGTCTGTTCCAGGTCCACGTACAGATCTAGACAGTCAAATCTTCCCGCCCTCTGCTCCTGAAGGTATAAGGTTTACCACGTACCTTGGTAGAAATCATGTCAAAATATAGTTCAATGATAAAAACTGAAACGTTAACCTAAAAAAGTATGACACTGCCAGTCAAAACTTTATCTAATCTATCTATGATCTCGAGCTGAAAAGACTTATACACAGACCTATACACATCAGACCTCCGTAAAATCGATTCTGTCCTGAGGATATCCCAATTAATCTACAGAGCATGCTAACCAGGCACACTGAAAATAAACCCCTCTAACGAAAGAGAAGAGCATGATACCAAAGAACAAGAGAGGATGAAATACATCATCATACTATGTATACATCTTTGACCGCCATGTTACATACCGCCTATTCCTAGAGTCAACAACAACACCCAATCCAACACAAGCGATAGACTGAGGGAAGAGTCATACCTGTCGTCTCGAGGCAAAATCATCATAGATGCCGCGCCAGATATCTCGCGCGCGACAGTCGTCATAGAGGCCCGTTTTGGGATTTAGATCACACGCCGGCTGATTCGCCTCGACGATACTTGTGTTGGCCCTGAACCAGGGCTATATGCCGGAAAACACCGCGTGAGTTACTTTCTAATATGGCCTGGTATTCAGCTTACTCACCTTTGGGAGAGGCCAGTCGGAGAAATGCAGGAACTTTGTCTGATTGAAGACCTCGACCGGGTCCCAGGATTCCTGCGGATCGCCGAGATAGGCGGTATGGTCTGTGGCGCGTAACTCGCCGGTCAGGAGGTAGTAAGGCCGGTGGGGGATGTTTCCCGCCCGGCCCTGGTACAGCTTGTTGACGATCTCCATGTCGAATTCGGTCGGCCCAGCGTCGGCGATCGCTTGTTGGATGCGGTGGAACTCGGACGCAGAGGGCTTGATCAATGCGATTAGGGTGCTCATCGTCCGGTTCGCGGGACTGAGCCAGTATGCCCGAGGGAGGACCACGGGCGATGGCGGGAGCAGGAAGAGTTCGTCCAGGGACTGTGGGGCTATTGTGAGTGCTCCCTCCCTTGCTGTAATCTGCGGGTTCCGGAACAAATAGATCACCCAAGCTTACCTGGAGAAGAGTCGAGTCGGAGTCCAGGCTCAGTACGCGATCGTACTGGGTTTGGTTAAAAGCGAGAAGCTTGGTGTAGCTGTCTGCCCATGTCTCTGGGGTGCGCTTTCTGTCAGTTGTTTGGAAAGGCTATAAGTGGGCTGGTTGGCTCACTGTCGGCGCCCTTTCGGTGCTGTAGCTCAACTGGGACCAGCTTGACCCCATACTCATCGCGGGCTTTGCGGAGCAGCTTCGCAACCCTGGAGTTGTCATCGGTGGAGAAGTCCGATGGGTACATTAACAGGCGATCCGCTCGACTGCCTAAGCGATGCAGGGTCTCAAACAACATCACTGAGTTGCAGATATAGGCCCGGCTGGTGGCATACTGGGTATAAGCGAATCGGGACCAGTCGACCTCAAGAGTTGAGGTATAGGCACCAAGGGGAGTAAACTGGAACGAGGGGTGGATATCACTCAGGCAGAGCTGCCACAGAATTGCGAAGATGAAGCAGCACACAAAGGCGGTCCGGACTGCTTTGAATGTTTTGACTTGCATTTCGGAGCTGCTTCCATCGGCGTTGTGGTTCGGAACTCAGGATGAACGCCTTGCCTTATACGAAGTCAAACGCTTGGTGCAGTGCAAAGGGAACAATAACTTGAATTGGAAGGGTTCAGGGCTCACCAGCGCCGGGCGGCAACTCGACCTATTGGAGGGGCCAGAGTTTCAGGGTCTCTTGAATCCATCCCCGGTTTCGGAAAAGCCGCGGCGTTTTAGCGTCATGTCAGATTCATTAGGGTTTCATCTATAGTACTATTTTGTCCATAGATCTTGCGAGGCGCGTAAATGCAGTTGATGAATGGCTACAAGCTCACACCATTTTAGAGCCCAGCCTTGTCCACACAGTGCAGCTTTTGTGGCGTGGAAGCGCTTGTCTTCACTATTCACACATGACAAGGATTGGGGCCGCAGGTTCGACTTCGCTCTTTACTCCCCTGACCCTAACTCCCCTCGCTCTTTCCCCATAAGCAAAATGCTCAGTCGCCCACTTTTCTGTGAGATCGTACAGGCTCTTCTTGCGATTCACTCCTTTCTATTCGCTTTGAATAAACAATCTTGCTCTAATGGTTTCCTCTCTTGTTTTTTTGGTAAGTATCTGGGGTGCTTCGGGCCTTGTCCATGCTGCAACACCTTTCACCGTGCCATGGACGGGTAAGACCTACGGTCCGGATGGTCCCTGGCAAGCTGTCCAGGTCAAAATCGGCAGCGACCGGCAGGAGATAGCCCTATATCCTGGGGGAGCCTGGCAGAGCTACATCCTCCTCTCCTCAATCTGTTCCAATACTTCGTTATCATCCTACTGCTATGCTAACCGGGCGGGTGTCTTCAACAAACTGACCTCCACCACATATGATGACACGGCTATCCGGCTGACCATCAATGATGGAACATGGGGACCGCTGCACTTTGGCGCTGCCACCAACAACCCCATCTACGGCACCGCCAAGTGGGCGCTCGATTCAATTGATATCTCGGGCGTCGTGGCCCCGAACGTCAGTCTGAACGTGGTGGACCAGGGATACCAGATATACCCGGATGGGACTAACTACCCTCTGGAGCTGGGAGTCCTGTCTCTGGGGGCTCCCAGCCTACAACAGCAGTTCGCAAACCGGGGACAGCCCACCATAAACGGTACCTTCTTCGACAGCTACCTGTATACCTCTGGGACCGGCCAGGCCATCTCCTCCTACTCGTACGGGATGCACATCGGTACGCCCACATACAATCTCGCGGGATCCCTGCTGCTCGGCGGATACGATCAATCCCGCGTGCTTGGGGAAGTCTCGTCGCAGCCATATTCCGATGATGGAGGGTTCCCAATCAAGCTTCGCGACATCAGTCTCGGGGTGATCCGCGGAGGTTCACCATGGTTGTCCTCCTTGTCCTCAACGAACAGCAGCAGCAGCAGCAGCAGCACCACCACCACCACCACCTCCACCAACAGCAACCCAACAGGGCTTCTCGCCGCCGGCAACTCCTCAATCACCGCCAACGGAATAACCGTATACTCCAGTCCCGGGGACCCCTACATCTACCTCCCGCAAAGCACCTGCGACGCCATCGCCGCCCACCTCCCCGTCACCTATCAGAGCACCTACGGCCTCTACATCTGGAACACCTCCAGCCCCGCCTACTCCCAAATCACTACTTCCCCTAGCTACCTAGCCTTCACCTTCGCTAAGGATAACTCTAACCGCGCCAACATCACTATCAAGATCCCCTTCGCCGTGCTCAACCTCACCCTGACCCCACCCTTGGTCACCCAACCGACCCCCTACTTCCCCTGCCGAGGCACTACCGCCGCCGGGGCCGTCTACGCCCTCGGCCGCGCCTTTCTGCAGGCTGCCTTCGTCGGCGTCAACTGGGGCGATAGTGGCAGTGGCACGGGCAATTGGTTCCTGGCGCAGGCGCCCGGTCCAAATCTGCAGACTCCGTCGACTACTGTCATCCAGCCCGAGGATACCACTGTCGTTGGGTCGGACAATAGTTGGGAGGATAGTTGGTCGGGGGTGTGGACGGCGCTCCCGGTTGCTTCTGCTGCCGCTTCCGCTTCCGACGCCGCCTCCACGCTGACGACAAATACCACTACTACTACTAGAACTTCATCCTGTGAGGATTGTACTCCTACGGCACTGTCCACCGGGGCCAAAGTCGGGATTGGTGTCGCCTGCGGCGTGGTCAGTGTGGGCACGACCGCCCTGATTACGCTGTGGTGCTTCACTCGTCGTCATCGTCGTCGGGCTTCTTTTCCCGATGTGGATGGTGCTGTTGGCGGTAAGGACTGGCCTGATTCAATGCAGGGTCAGAGCAGGGCGGGTTATGAGGCTACTTGTACTACTACTAGTGGTGGTGGTGGTGGGTGGCCAGCGGGTCGGTCGCTGGCTAAACCCCCTGTCGAGCTTGGTGCATATCGCAACGAGGGTCCGCATGAGATGGGATAGAGGCCGAAGTCCTGTTTATATATAGATTCTCTGTGCAACTGTTCATGTAGATATGAATCTTATCTGCAACAATTCTTCATGGGTGAGAAACCTACCAGAAATGGATGGGTGGGTGGCGCTGGGCATGGTCTGCAGGTGCCATTGTGAATCTATCTCTTACAGGGAAAGAGGTCCGAGCACAGAAGCTTGTCAGGGACTCGGCTGAATGCCGAGCCATGGTTCAGGGAGGGAGGAACAACCGCCCTCCCTTCCTCGGTTTGATGAATTACTGTACCACTGGGTTACCACTGGGCAGGCGGCTGCAGCATTCTGAATGGCTGCACCTCTTGTTCCTTTTGGCGACAAATGCTCAGTCGAATTATATTTGATAATCTTATGCTTTATTAAGTAGATGCTCGGACCAGGAGTTGGTCGTCATGCATATTTCAGAACCAGTTCCTCTGCGGTTGCTCGCAAGTATACGATCTCGCGCCCATAACATCCCCACCCTGGTACATCGAAACAAGCGGCCAAGGACACAGCGACCTTGTCCGCCCATCCGCCGCCTGCGCAGATAGGGTCTCCGGAGCTACGCCACCTTCCACCCACTCGACCACCTGAGACAATGGGTCCACCGGCACGGGACCCTCTCCCCCGGAGCAGTGATGCACGCCCGGGGCAGGGAAGAAGCGATAGAAGTCCCGCACCTCAGGGTCACGCTCCTGCACCTGACGGTAATAGTGCTCGGTTCCCTTGGGAAAGATCAGCGGGTCGGCGAGGCCATGCCACGTGATCATTTTCCCACCAGCAGACTTGAAGGCGGAGAGATCCGGGTCGTTGGTCCCGATGATTGCATTGTATTCTGCAATGGAGCGGGAGAGGATGGCATCCAGGTCCGTGTGGTCGAGGGTGGAGAGGTCAAAGGCAGGATCCTGGAGGACATAGCGGCGGATCCAGTCGGAAGAGATGGCAAACGGAGATCCCGTGCAGTTGGTCGGGGGGCTGCAGGTAGTGGCGGCGAGGCTGCCGCTACCCATGGAGAGAGGAGCGCCTCGCTCGAGACCATACCACTGGAAAGTGCCGTTGGAAGAGCGCATTCCTGCCCAAATCAGCTTGACAGCTAGGGCCGCGGGCTTAGTAACTTTGACGCTGCTATGATTGCATGCGACGGTCTGGTTGACCAAGGTGAGAGGGTCAAAGTTGCAGCGGTCGGGAGCAGAGATCACACCGTCAGTGACACCGTCGAGGGAGTCGCAGGCGCTGACGGCGGCGGCAGTGATGGCGTCGGTCACGCACGTCGGCGGGTGTGTCTGAAGCTGATTCATGACAAACTGCGGCCAGTATTCCGCTACAAGGAAAGTGGGCCAATTAATGGCAGGGGCGGCAGCCATAATCCCATTGTATGCCGTGGGATACCGCTGCGCAAGCATGAGCCCTTGTCGTCCGCCGGTAGAGCAACCGTTCCAGTACGAGCGGTTTGGCCCATAGCCATAGAAGCTGTGGCTGATTTGTTTGCCTATGACGGCTGCGTCATTTAATGCAACGTAAGCGAAGTCGTCGAGAAGAGCCATATTGACATGGTCAGATGCATCAAGTGACCAGGCGGCTGAGTTCTGTGATACGAGGCCATGGCCACCATCCGTGGCTACAACTGCATAGTTGAGGCCGACCGCTTCTGCTAGAACCGAGTCGTCGTGACGCATTGCATAGCCGCCACCGCCAGAGCCCTGAAGCCGACCGTTCCAGCTTGAGAGGGGAAGCCAGATAGTAGTGTGGATAGCGTCATTCTTTCCGGGATGGGTGTATGTGACAGTCACATTGCAGAAGCTCAACGTAGTTTTGCCATCCTGGTAGCCGGTGACTGGAATAGCAGTCAAGTGTAACAGCTGCCCACCAGGAATCGAGGGTTGGGCGATGCCGGCTGCCGAGCAGTTCCCCGCATTTACTGCCGAAGCACCAAAAAGAGTAGCTGCAATGGCAGCCGAGGTTAAAGACCGGCGGGTGAGCAGAACCATCCTGAGGGTGAGGCACTGGACTGCGACATGCGTCTGTTGTGTTCCAGATGCCGGGACATCAGCGGTGCTTTATACCAAGCCCGGATTTGCAGGTTTCTCTTCGTTGGAGCCCGTGTGGAAATTCAGGGAAGCATCTTGGTGGATCAGCGGCATCACACGCGGTCCATTCGAGCAACAACTGAATCGCCAGGATAAATATCCGCAGATACCAGTGTCCGTGCCATGGCGCGGGTAGCGGAGTGCTGTTTGATACGTTCCCTGATTAGGCAAATTCCCTTGTTGTGGAGGGACTCAGAGTATAGATCGACATGTACGGCAGCTCGATCGGGAGTTCGTGAGTGGAGCCGATCGGGGCCCACTGTTGCTGAGCATATGGCACTGGAGCCCGCTAGGAGCTGCCCGGAGATCGTAATTCAAAACAGGGAACAGGAGGCTCTGATGGCCTTGGATATTATGAGAGCCAGCAAGAGGAATACTTGCGGAATTGATCTTATGGTGCTTGCGAACAGCCGTCGTTCGTGTTGGAGGGATACATAAGCCCGGACGGGCTCTGTGAGAGCAGGATACGCTTATCAGAAGCACATGTCATGTTCGCATTGTCAATCTATCATGGAGTAGACTAGAAAGCAAATAGCGTGCCTTAGTTTGAGGTAATTAACCGAGAAAGCTCTTGTTGTTCGCTAGGCATTCCCAGGCCATGGAATCGATCGCTGGATTGCAGATGATAGGCCAGCAGGATGAAATCCATTTGGTCAGAGCGATTATCTCGATTCTAGTCTCAGGGGCAGCTAGACTGAAATTCCATAAGGACTGTCATGCAAAGTCGAAATCCTATTCGGAAACGAGCTCGGCAAGTTGTCTGGGACGATCACGATAACTAGAAGTCATATTTATCGATTGCATCGATCTTTGCTTCGGATAAGCATTGGTCGATATAAGCGAAACAGGATTTCAGAATCGAGACTCCGGAGAGGCAGTGCTATAATGGCACAGTTGCTTCTTGCTCACAAGGCTTGCGGCCTGCTTGACGGTGAAAAGGATCTGCATTTGCTTGGAATGGGTGCTTGCGCCGAACAGTGGGGAGGTGGATCGATGCAGCACTCGCATTTCCAGCCCTCGGCCATCCTGGTGAGGTCACCAACGGACCTCACACAGCGGAATGAATGTTAGAAAAAGGAGACTACTTGCGAGTACACTTCAATGCTTTCGCAAAGCATGAGGATGCTAGCTAAGCTAGTTTGGTGGTAAGGGAAGAAACACCATGAGGTGGGTTGTATACTATGTAAGATACAGTAACCCTCAGACGGAAACCTAAGCTTCGGCGCGGAAGAATCCCGAGAGTCTCTAGTCTAGTGCTAGATCACATGACTACCTGTCATGTGCTCCGCGGTTCGAATCCGCGCGGGGGATGATGAGTTTTTGTTTTGTCTCTGTGTCCTGAGCCTTTCGCATCCCTCCACTAATCAACTACGCCCATTTACGAAGTGGACAAATCTTCTTACTGCAAACGAGGCGACACTACTATTTTAACTGCTGATTTTGCAGTGTTTATTTCGGATCTCAAGCGATTGGCTCCTGTCGAGGGGTCTAGCATGATCGAGATTCATGCCCCGCTCAGCGGCCTTGTCCGCAATCAATTTACCTTGTGTTTAACCCGGTGTGATCGCCGAAGTAAGTCCCCTCCCACTATCTGCACCTGGATACGATGGCCAAAAAATTGACTGTCACCGGTCTCTCAGATGACAATGACAACAAGAGCATTGTTCCCCATGTCGACGATCGGCAAGCGAGTGGACCCGTGGGGGTGTCTCTCCGCCCCCTCAACCTCTAAGACGAGCCAAAAGCGCAGCTTGGTGTGACAAAAGGTCAGCAATTGATACGTGGCTTGCACTACTGAAAATCTCAGCTCTGCAGAGCTAGACTAGGTACTCGATGAAGTCTGGAGTGGGGCTCAGCTTCTAATGTCGATGACTTAAATGGCTTTTCTCCCCCCTCATTTCTCCCCGACACCGGAAAAGCTCCTCCGTGACTCCCCCGCTTTTTCTTGACCCAGCTACACCACCACCAGCTCCTCCCTCCCAGAGCATAACAGGGACACACCAACCCACCATGACCGCCGCTTCAGCCCAGTATCTGCCTGGCTCGGTTGACATCCCCGTCGGGAAGTTCCCTCCGACCCTTACATCCACTGATGTCGACCCCGAAGGTATCGCCTCCCAGCTGGTGGACACGATCAACACAGCACTCAGCAAAGGGGACATCGAGGCTATCAGCAGTCTGTTCCTCGAAGATGGCTACTGGCGTGACCATCTCTGTCTGACGTGGGACTACCGCACCGCCAAAGGCCAGGAACGAATCCAGGCGCTCCTCAAATCCGCACAGCTGCCGACCAAGATCGAGGTCGATCGATCGACCGCTCTGCGTACACCCCACGTGGGCCCGATCGACGCGTTCGGCGATGTGAAAGGTGTTGAGTTCTTCATCAAGGTCTCTAGTCCCGTCATTAGCGGGACAGGTGTCGTACGTGTTGCCGAAGTCAACAGCGAATGGAAGATCTTTACGTTTTTCACATCGCTTCAAAACTTGGTGGGCCACGAGGAGAGAGTCGGTCATCGCCGGCCCTTGGGAGCACAGCATGGCGCGACCAAAGATCGGAGGAATTGGCAGGACAGACGGAACGCAGAGCGCAACCTGGAAGGCGAACCTCCGGCGGTCTTGATCATTGGTAAGCATCGATCACTCTACACCACCCTATTGACTGTAACATCGTGAGTTGCCACTAATGAGCATCATCATCAGGTGCCGGACAAGCCGGCCTCACCGTGGCCGCCCGTCTGAAAATGCTTGGTGTTGACAGTCTGATAGTCGACGAGGCAGACCGCGTGGGTGATAACTGGCGCAAGCGATACCACCAGCTGGTGCTCCACGACCCCGTGTGGATGGACCATCTCCCTTATGTGCCTTTCCCGTCCAGCTGGCCGGTCTTTACGCCCAAAGATAAATTCGCGGAGTTTCTGGAATGCTACGTCAAGCTCCTGGAGCTCAACGTCTGGACGCGGACCAGCGTCCAATCCACTTCGTGGAGTGAGGCCGACGGCCGCTGGACGATCGACCTGAAGCGCCGCAAAGAGGACGGAAGTACCGAAACCCGCACTCTGCAGCCCCGCCACGTCATCCAAGCGACCGGCCACTCCGGCAAGAAAGAAATGCCCACCTTCAAGGGCATGGAGACCTTCCGGGGCGACCGTCTCTGCCACAGCAGCGAATTTCCCGGCGCCAGCGACCTCACCACCAGTACCACCCAAACCAAAAAGGCTGTGGTCGTGGGAGCCTGCAACTCGGGCCACGACATCGCGCAGGACTACTACGAGAAGGGATACGACGTGACCATCGTCCAACGCAGCTCGACCTGCGTAATCTCCTCCGCCTCGATCACCGACATCGGCCTGAAGGGCCTCTTCGACGAGGACGGACCCCCGACCGAGGACGCCGAGATCTACCTCTGGAGTCTGCCATGGGAGGTCTTCAAGGCCCAGCAGATCAAGATCACGCGCGTGCAGACCGAGCACGACCGCGCGGTGCTCGACGGCCTCGAGCGCGCGGGCTTCAAGGTCGACGACGGCCCGGCGGGCGCCGGCCTGATCATGAAGTACTTCCAGCGCGGCGGGGGCTACTACATCGACGTCGGCGCGAGCCAGCTCATCGCCGACGGCAAGATCAAAGTCAAGCACGGCCAGGAGATCGCGGAGATCCTGCCGCACGGCCTGCGCTTCGCCGACGGGTCGGAGCTCGCGGCCGACGAGATCGTCCTCGCCACGGGCTACCAGAACATGCGCACGCAGGCGCGGCAGATCTTCGGGGACGCGGTCGCAGACCGCGTCGGCGACATCTGGGGCATGGACGCCGAGGGCGAGATGCGCACCATCTGGCGGCGCAGCGGCCACCCGGGCCTGTGGTTCATGGGCGGGAACCTGGCCCTCTGTCGGTATTTCTCAAGGACGCTGGCGTTGCAGATTAAGGCTTTGGAAGAGGGGATTCCGCAGTAGATGTGTTGTGCGGAGGGATACCGCGGGAGGTGCAGTACAAGTATGTACCTCGGAAGAAGCCTGGGCGAGAAAAAAAGGACAACAAAAGTGGAGGTTACATGATAGGTTCGTTCGGAGGAGCACGATCGGATCATGCAAGACAAATCCCAAGAGAGATGTTGTGTGTTGTGCTACCCAATGCATACCAATGCATAAAATATGAGTACAGTATAAATGTGCACTGTAACTAAAATCCCTCAACCCCCTTAGATTAAGCCCCGCAAGGCGGACCCTTGTGCAGTATTTGCGGAAAGCAAACGGGCCTCGGGACCGGCGGCGGCGGCGGCGGCGGCGGAGGAGACGGGCGGGCCAGAACTTCTATTTCTCCGGTTGTCTCTCCGTACTCAGTCCCTTTCTGAGAGAAAGACAAAGAAAGTTTCAACGACACTACTCTCTCCAAACATTGACTCAATTTGGATATCATCGACGTAGATAGATAGCAAGAGTCCCTGACCCTGACCCTGCTGAACCCTTTGACTCCCAAAAATACAAACAACGAAACGACGATCAACAACCCAACCCCCCCCCCCCCCCCCCCCCCCCCCCCCTCCCACCAAAAAAAAAAAAAAAAAAAAACGCCACCACCCCCCCCCCCCCCCCCCCCCCCCAAAAAAACACCAAGCTAAAGTTTAATAAACCCCGGACATAGGCTATCAAATGATTTATGAAGCTAAGAAAATAAAGACCCTAAAAAAGGGGACAGAAATTAAACCCACCCCTCCATCCTCGCCGCATAGATCCCCACCATCAAGGTAATCGTGTAGAGCACATCCACGCGCTCCCCGGCCACCCCGACGGCGGCCAGCACCCGCCGCCGCAGTTGGTCCTGCGGCTCCCCGCGCAGGACCTTGATTCCCTTGTGCGAGAGGCCGGCCAGCCAGGGCCGGGGGCTGCGCTGTGTAGAATTGGAAACATCACCGGAGCTGGGATCGACGGGGCTTGTGGACGTGCTCCGAATGCCGAGGAGGAAACTGGCGGGTTCGTTGTTTTCGTGGTGGTTGTTGTCCTCGTCGTCGTCGGGGGTGGTAGACGCCGAAGACCGATGGGTCGTGGTTGTTGCCGATGATCTTGGCGGGATTTTGTGTTTGGGTTTTTTCTTGGCGAGTTCGAGGGTGAGTTTTTGGGTGCTGGAGGAAGAGGATGAGGATGTGGGCAGGAGTTGGAAGATGTAGCCTCCGCTCGAGGTGCGGGAGGCGAGGAGGGTGATTTGGAGTTGGGGGAGATAGATTGCGTTTTTGTTGTTGGTGGGTGGTGATTTGGTGGTTGGTGATGTTGAGGATGAGGATGAGGGGGAGGACGGGGATTTGTGATCGGTGGAGCTGCTGCTGCTGCTGCTGCTGCTAGTCGCGGCGCTAGTGGTTTTGCTGCCGCCGCAGTAGTTGGTGTATATCACTCCTACTACCGGGCTGTCGGTGCTGGTGTCTTGGCTGCAGGACGAAGGAAGGTTCTGGTAGGCGTCGCTTTGGACGACGTACAGGTCCTGGCTGTGCACTTTGCTGGGACAGCCGGGGATCGACTTGCCAAGGCTGGAGGGTCGGTAGATCTCGAGGATGGGGAGCGCGCGCGAGGCGGAGAGGAGCTGTTGGATTTGGAGCAGGAGGCGCGAGGTGAAGCGGAAACACGAGGTCGATTTGGGCGGGGGGTGGGCGAAGGGGAAGACTTGTTGAGGTTGTGATTTGGGGGTGGTCGCTGTGGTAGGCCTGCTGGTTGGATCGTTGTTAGAGATGTGGTCATACTTCGGAGGTTGCAGTGTGCATGTATGTACAGTACGTACCTGCTTTGGCTGGAGATGGTACTCTCCGTGTCGCTGTCAGTTACGCTCATGGTTTATTTTGGGCGGTTAATGCCAGTGTCACTGCCAGTGCCACTCTTGTAAAGTGTTGACAGTCAGAACTAATTCTTCAGGAGCAGCTGGGAGACTTTAAAGGCTTTAAACTCCACGATCATCCACGTCGCTGTCGCTGTCATCGTATTCGTACCTTCAGCCCTGCTCCGCACGGTCATTGCGTGGTCGGGGCTGTTTGACTGAGTACAGTCACCAATCCTGCCACTATTTCCTGCAATGCTTCTTTTTTTTTTCTTCCCATATTTCTCCTAACACCTAGCGCATCTGATTTGACTGGTGCGACTGGTACAAGTGGTACAACTGGGACAACTGGGCCAGCCAAGAACGGGGATTCTTTTTTTGGGGGCTACTCTTTGGTCTCTTACGTACGTAACGGAGGTCAAACGGGCAGTTCCAGGCAGTTCCAGCGGCCGAGAAAAGACTCGACTAAACACTAAAACACTTTAGCTCCGCTGGGCTGAATCGGAGATCGTAAGCCCCGCTGCCGGACTGACCTTTTTGGTATCGGGATACGGATACGACCGAGCCCGTTGCCTGCTCCGTTCCGTGGATTCTGGGTCATCAGGAACGGTTAACCTCTCCCAAGAAACAAAAAAAAAATTGATACGAGTACGATCTATTACTGATCCCTAGGTTCGTTGACCCTGAACAACGGAGGTGCGACAAATCAAGAGTGGGGTATCATTCCTTCATCTAATCTTACACTTCCAGTAAGCAGCGCCAGCATAATAAGCAATGTAAGCACAACCGAGCCTGCGGTTGAACACCGCCCCTGAATCCTGCTGCTTCCCGCGGGAGTCGGAACTCACCACTCACACCCGGAGTCTCCCCCAATCTTGCATTTCCTCTACACTGACCCCTCGACTGCGAGCCAGGGCGCCGAGTCGCTCACACGCGGCGTCTGCGGCGAGGCGCATTTCTTCCGGTGGCTCAGTCCGCCTTTTCAAAGGCCAGCTGGCAGAATCCCTTTCTCTATCCTCATAACAAAGATCCATCTGGATTGACAGCCTTTTCAAATCTGGTAGAAAGGTTCTCGATGCAAAAGTTTCCTCCCACTCCTTCCACCGATCACTCTGCGTCAGCATTGCCGGTCCGCGCAAGCGCAATGTCGTCAGAGTCCGCGGGAACAGCCTGTACAAGCTTAGCAGATGAGACTCATCACTGAACACCTCCCCCACCGAGAGTTGCAAGGTCTTCAGGTTTCCCATCTGTGGTAAGAATTGCAAAAACATCTTCTCGTTGGTCTTCTGGAACTCGCAGAACCGTTCGTGGAGCTGAGGTGCAGCGCGGAGGTGTTCCCGACAACCTGCGGCAGGGCCAGGGTCATGCGGGCGAAAGTGCACAAAGCATCGTTCTCGACAATCTCCAGCGTCTGCAGGTTGACCTCGTGCTGTGTCGGTGGTGTGTTGTCCGGGTCGAGCTCGCTGCAGTTGGGCCCTCCGTATTTCGCGTCCAACCAGGCCATGGCTAGCAAGGGAAGGAAGACAACCTCGATCTTTCTCTCTTCAGGAGTCCCCTTGTGGACCGTTATGTATTCCGGCTTGGCCTCCCCACGGGCAATAGCATCCTTGTGTCTACGTTGCAGTTCCTGGTTGTCTGGGCCCTCAAAACGGAGGCCGCTGGTGTAGTCGAGGATCAGATGAGAGACCCGTCCCTGGCGGATGAATGGGGTTTGAGTGAGAGTCCCGGAAGCGGAGCTGATCAGCAGTCGAGAGAGTGGCCAGTGAGAGGGAATGTGTCTGTCATTCAGGTCTTCGTTATACCCCGTATGAATCTCAAGGTTGCGAATCAGGGGAAAGTGAAGGCCTAGGATAGCCCACTCTGCGTCGGAGGGAGTGTCGTTTTGAATGATGAGGGTGTCAGTGTCTCGTGGAATAAGAGGGAGCTGCAAGGAAAGCTTCTGACGGTGATCGGGTTTGGATTCTTCGGTGGGCCCTTGCACCTGGACTGTAGGTGATGCGGTGGCCAGTTGCCGTAGTCTGAGTGGGCGAAGGCGCGTCGCAGTCCCTAAGAAAGGAAGTCGGCTGGCGTGTCGTGGTAGAGGATGCTGGAAGAAAGGTAAGTATGGATTTGAGATAAGATGGGTTGTGAAATGCACTGTACCATAGTGTCAATTTCCGAGGTTGATGGAGAAAGGAGTTTAAATCACGGTTGTCACTCCTGTCACACATCTTCGTATCCTTGCATCCCCTCCCGCATTCCCTGGCCGGAATATAAGCCGGGGTTGTTTATCCGTTCCTGGAGGTCGTGCTAGGATACGTCAAGAAAGAAGACACCAAAAATTATGGTGAAAGACCAAGAAGAAGCAAGCGATCGGTATCTGCCTGCATATCTGTTCATTTTCCAATCAGCCTGTAGTGGTTCTAGTTGAAGATATTGAGAAGAGGCTCAAAGACACGCAGGTATGTCTTTTTTGTGGGCGATTGCCTTATATGCCCTGGAATGACCAGAACGAGAAATCCTAAGTCGTGCAAATTCAAATAAGATGAATTGCGATCTCAAGTACTGAATTTCAGCCTAGCCTGTATAGATCTCTCTGTCTTGGTGGCTGCCGCTGTATGGCAGGTGGGGACTGGGAAGAGCTTAATCGGAGTTAATCAGAGCAGGAAATATAAGAGCTCCAGCCTCCAAGCACCACCGGCCAAGCCTGACTTTGTCCTTTCTCCTTTCTCCCTGCAGTGATAAAAAGCTTCATGTCTTCCGCAATCCGATTCATAGCAAATGTGTGTCGTTACATGCGGGGAAACCCCCCCGAAACTGAGATTGTCGTGTCGGACAATGCAAAACCCGTTCCAAACTCCGCAAAGCCCGAGCCAGCCACTCCTACGCAAGCTAAATCCTTCCGACATGACAACCAGTCATCCTTTCACTCAATCACACTCCTATCGAGCAATTGAAGGAGTTCCAGACATTTGAACCAGTACTCCTGCTTACAATCCATGGTCCCACCCTTGCAGCACAAGCTTTTCTTCTTTTGCGCTCATGTCGGATCATAAGGTTTGAGCATGTCGTCATGGATTCCTGGTGGTGCCAGCTATAAAGGCACCGACATCCTCTGCTACCTTATCCCTCTCTCCCCTTAACTTGACCCTTACAACCAAAAGCCCATCTCTCTCTGAGACAGAACAGCGCACATTCCACCGACAGAATGAGCACCTCCACCCCCAGCTTCGCAATTGCCCAAGCCGTAGGCCTAACCGGCGCCGCCTGGCTATCCGGTAAGCCACTCTCATCCTCCGCCTCAAGTGTCACAACCACTCCAGACCACTAATCTAAACCCCCCAAAACAAAACAGGAAACATCTTCTCCCTAAGCCTGATGGGCGTGCCCCCGCTGATCGAAGCCCACCACACGGAGCAGATCCCGCTCTCGACCGTCGTCAAGCAGTGGCGCACCATCTACACGTACGGCGCGCAGCGCGCCCCGCTCATCGCCCTCAGCACCGCCTCCACCTTCCTGTACCTGGCCTGGAGCGTGCGCGAGAGCACCCCGCTGAGCCTGATCACCGCGCGCCACGGCTCCAAGGTCTACGGCCTCGCGGCGGGGTTGACGCTGGGCATCGTGCCGTTCACCCTCCTGGCGATGAAGAAAACCAACGACCGGCTGTCGCAGTGGGCCACGGTCAAGACCGAGGCCGAGTGGACCCCCGAGGCGGACGCGGAGGTCGAAGGCCTGCTGTGGAAGTGGACCTGGCTGAATGCCGCCCGGTCGGTGTTGCCGTTGCTGGGGGGGTTGGTGGGGTTGGGGGTTTTTGCGTGATTTCTGCGTCGAAGAACATCTAGACTAGGGCTGGGAAGTGGTTCAATTCTGTATATTAATGCTGGAGTTAATGGAGTTGGGGATGTCGGGTTTTATCGTTCGGGAAGATTTGTAATTTTTTCTGTCCGGACAAGTCCGATAAGCTTCGCGATAAGGTGTTGGCTTATCGGGTGTCCGATAAGATTTCGCTGCCTTGATACCTTGTCTGTCTGATGTTTAGGTTTGGATGCGGTTACTGTACCTGTCTATATTTCATAGGACGTCTGGGTCAAGAGGCTTGGTTTATTTTAACATTACAACCGAGTGTGAATATTGCATGCTCGCTTGTTCGAGATACGAAGCGTTGTATAAGTTGGGGGTCCATCTAACCCAAACCGCCCAGCAAAGTGACTCATCCATCTCGATAAATCTGGAGATCTAATGTAGGCTGACTCATTGTATAACAAGTTGCAACCACCACCACTCTTCCGTAGAGAGAAAGAAGAAGGACCATCTGAGAGATGAACATTGCTCTGAGTTATACCAAGCACCTCATTGCAATACATACCTAATCTCAGACACAGCCCCCCTTCTTCTTATCATCCCATCCCCGCAACATGAACCAAACAAACCCACCACCAACCATGCCAAACTCCAGCTCCAGCATCACCCTCACCCCTATCAACCTCCACCACCCCGCCGACTACGCCGCCCTCCAACACCAACGCACAGTCTGCGGCTGGGACCAGACCGACGAAGCCCTCCTCGCCTGGCGCGCCCAACAAGACGCAGGCCTCAAATCCTTCTTCTGGATCGACATCGTCCCAGCCCCCACCTCCACGTCCAGCAGCAACAGCAGCGTCAACAACAACAGCAGTAACCACCAGACCCCCACGGCCGAACCAATCCACGCAGGCCACATCTCCCTCGACGCGTACGCCCACCCGCCAGACCGGGACCTCGCCACCGCCGACCGCACCAACCTGACCATCCAGTCGTTCTTCATCCTGCCGGAGCACCGACAGGGCGGGCTGGGCCGGCGCGCGATGGCGCTGGTCGAGGCGCGGGCGCGCCGGGACCCGCGCTGCCGGTACGTGACCCTCAACGCGGTCAGCAAGGCGTACTACGCGGACCCCGTGCGGCGGCGCTGGATCGAGCGGATCCGCGGCGAGGGCGGCCTTCCGGTGGCGGAGTGGTATGAGAGGATGGGGTACGTGCGGTGGAAGACGGAGCCGCGGTATACGGATTGGACGCCGGAGGGGGAGAAGGTGGTTATCGAGGCGGATTTTATGAGGAAGTTGGTGGTTGGGGAGTAGAAGATGAGATGGGGGTTTGGGGTCTGTCGGTTGGGTTTAGTGTGCTGTATATATGGAGAGTTGCGGGATGTAGATAGATAGGGATGTACTGTATATATGAGAATGTGTCTGCATTCTGCATTATGACTGGGTTCAGGTGGGTGAGTGCTGGATCAAGGTCTTGTAGCTGGACCTGTCTTCACTAATATGTGCTGGACCTCCATCTACAGGGCTTCTGATGCTGCCAGGTGGGTGGGGTTGTCAGTGTTCTAAGCATAGTATGTAGTGAGCAGAGAAACAGTAGGCTACGTGATTGGAATATTGCCTGTGATTGGCTGTTTAACTACTCTTGAATATCGATGGGCATTAGATTAAGACCAGTGACGTACACGCTTGTGAGGATACTTTGATAACAACAGACTGAGGCTGGTGAAAGTAACACACAAAGATATCGCTCTTCTCCACTACGCAATCTCAGGTGAGGTGAGATCTCGCTTAAGTGAGTCTTTACTCTGTCGATGCCGTCTCCCCAATTGGAGGAACACACCCTCACCTTACTTCCCCCCTTCTCCATCGATGGGACAACGCGATCTCACAAGCAAATCAAGGATTGCAGATTGTTCGCTCACCTATTTGCACAAAGCTATCGCGTCTCTACAAACCCACGATGTCGGCTCTTTTAGTCGAGCAGCATTCTGCAGAATACATGAACGAGTATTGCGGTGGTGAGCTGATCGCCACGGCGGTCTCGTTCATCATCCTGGAACTCACCTTCGCGGCTGTCCGCTTCTGGGCCCACAAGAGGCAGAGAAGAAACTGGGGCGTGGACGATTGGCTGATGTTTCCCGCCCTTCTGGCCAATCTGTGTGTCTGTATCACAGGAATTGGTGAGTATGCCATTGTCTATCTGAGCAGATCACGGCGACTACTATGACCTCACGTTTGTTGACGTCTCCTTCTCTTGAAGATAAGAGGCTGGATGGATCGAGATTCGTGATAGCTAACACGATGAGCAGTGATGATCCCTGTCGCCGGCGTGGGATACCATATTGACAAGATCTTGAAGGAAGCGCCCTGGAAACTCATTCAATTCCAGAGAGGCATTTTCGCTGGAATATGGGTGTGGGGCTTGGCGATAGCTCTACCCAAGTTGGCAATCCTCGCTTTCTACCTTCGCTTCTTCAAGTCCCGAAACGAGCGGATCGTCACCTATGTCCTCATGGGCATCATTGCATCGACCTATGTTGCCATTTCTTTGGCCCACACGTTCGCTTGTATGCCTGTGGGGTATCAGCTGAACCCCTTCAAGCCGGGAAAAGGTCAGTGTTTCGATACAAAGGCATTCTATCGTTGGATGTCCTTCCCAAATATCGTCACGGACATCGTCATGTTGGTTCTACCTCTTCCAATGGTCCATCGGCTGCATACATCGCATGCTCAGAAGATCGGACTTGGGATCATATTTGCCACTGGCGGAATGTAAGTACAGTACATATTCCATTATGACAAGCTTGCAGCATCGCACAGTTCAGTGCTTACCGTTCACTCGGGGGCTAATCTGCTATGTTTCGTACAGAGGTCTCATTACCTCGTGTTGTCGATTTGCGATTTTCTACAGCGACACAGAACGTCGGGACGATACTTGGAAGGCAGCGTCTCTGCACATGTGGACCGAGATCGAGCCCGGGGTGTACTTCCTTGCTGCGTGCATGCCATCCTTTCCACCACTCATCCAACTTCTCAGAACTCGATTTGTTAGGTCCAAGAGAGGTTCCAGTCAGACCTATCCCTCCGGCCATAAAAACATTGCACTCTACACCATCGGTGGAAGTGCCCGGCTTCAGGATTCTGTCCCTCTGACCCCGTCCAATACACATGAGGATTTCCCTCCACTGAGCGACGATGAGGAGACAGCCAGAAAGCCAGCCATCCCGGATTACAACGAAGATGGTGGGTTCCGGCACAGTGTTGCATATGCTGATCTGGCCGGGATCGAAGCTGCTCGGACTGGGAGTCCACGTACTCTTCGAGAACTATGGCCTCCCAGGAGGATCCGTGTCATGGAGACAGTCAGTGTTCGGCACGACGGATTTGGCTCCCTGGACGGTTCTTGAAATGTCTCGGACAGCTCCAGCCAGCCATGGTCGGGGATCAGGCGGGAAGTGCCTGAATTGTCAGGAAATCTAGCTGAGAAGAAAGAAGGTGAGAAAAGTGGATAAGCAGAAGGAGGATTTCCAAAACTTGATGTGGTAATCAGTGTATCTCCATGTATTTACACTCGAAGGTTGTGATTCAGATGATGTAAATACATCAGTGCAAACAAGAAATGACTTGTTCATGCGTGACTGAACCGGTTAGTTGCATGCAATGGTTCGAAGGGCTTTTAGGTACAGGTAGTAGGCGGGAACTTCAGCCCGTTGAGGTAACTACTACTGCGTCGCTGCCTGAGGCCCTCTTCACTATATTCCCACCGAGACACCCACTTAGCTATCCATCCGTGACATCCATCAACCTCCGGAAAGACGCTTCCTGTTCTCCCTCGATCATGGTCCCATTTGCATTTGACAGCCAGGCGATCCTGCGGGCTTTTCATGGCCGTATTTAAATTTGATCAGCATGTACGGTGCTCTTACAGGAGAATTGGACCCCTGATCGAAGACTTCGAATCTCAGAACACGATCAAAACACCTCTCAGAACCGACGATCTTCTTTTTGAAGCCCCTCTTTCATCCACCGAAGCTTGTTGAATCATCACCTTCGAGTCTGATGTCTCGTCTCGCATGGTAACTCCTACAGTACCGGTTCCGTAGTGTTCAATCCGGATACAACCCATCTGAACTCAGAATACGGAGTACCTACCTCCAATTGACGCGGGCACGCCAGCGGCTGAACAACCGAACAGCCAGCCACCTGCATAGGACAGTGCGGCTATTGAGTTTGGAGTATGACAGCTCTCACGGGCGCTCCCGAAAAGGGCAGATATCGGCAGGAGTTCATGCACCATGTCATAGGATCGGTGCCCATGGCGGTATCCCTTGCGGGATCCAGACCCTGGCGGAACACTCGCATGGAACACCAGCAACAGTCATTCCAGATTCAGTCAGGGGTGTACCATGCTGGTCATTCGGAAAATGCTAAGTCAACGATCATGGCTGGATTCTTGGGATTATTGACTTGTTTTGATATGTCAGATCGGGATCGAAGACCTCGAACATGGCACCTGTCAGATATGCCAGGGGAATGAGCACATCGAGGAGTTTGTCCCTGCAGTAGCATGGGCTCTGCATCTGGAAGGCCAATGCATATCCCCCTATCCTACACTGCATCGGCAGATCATTTGGGAATTGACCATCACTTCTCCTGGTCGGGAGCACACGATAGCCTTCGCTAATTCACCAAGAATAGGTCCATCATACATGTCACAGTTGGGCCAAACCCAGACCCGAGCTTTCTTTTGCAAAGAAAGGTATAAAGTCACCGTCAAGCCCACAGCATCCATCTCTTTTTCATCAGCATCAAGCCAGCTTCTCCTTCCACTCCTTTCTAACAACCTCAATCGCTCACCTCGATCTCCAACTCTTCAAGATGAAGACCTCCGCTCTTTTGTCTCTCCTCGCCGCTGCTGGCATGGTTGCCGCCGCTCCTCTGAATAGTATGTAAACCGCGATACTACCATCCCCTCATGCCTTCTAGAACAGGGAAACTGACGGTTGTGAAGACATCCCCGCGATGCCTGGCGCCCTTACCAATGCTGCCCCTGCCACCGGCGTCGAGACCCCGGACACCCACGGCAGCGTTCCTGATACCCACAGCGTCTCTGACGGGGCACAAATTGTCAACCCCCCCGCGGCCAAGGTCCCTGAGGCCAAGGTCCCTGAGGCCAAGGTTCCTGCAGCCAAGGCCCCCGAAGTTGCTCATGTCCCAAGCCGTCGAGGCGCGCCGGTCAACATCGGCGGCGTATCTGGCGATAACGACATCGACGGCGACAACAACATGATCGCCTACCCTCCCAGTCATAAGCCCGCCCCGGCCCCAGCTCCCATCCCTGAGCCCGCCCCGGCCCCGGCCCCGGCTCCTGCTCCCGCTCCCGCTCCCGCTCCTGCTCCTGCTCCCGCCCCGGCCCCCGCTCCCGCTTCGCACCCGGCTCCGGCCCCCGCCCCCGCCGCTCCCGCGCCCGCGCCCGCCAGCGAGCTAGACCTCCACCACGACGCCGCCCAGGAGGCGGACCATAGCGCCAACTTCAACACCTGGGAGAACCACAACTCCGGCGTCAAGGAGCACGAGCACCACGTCGACGACTACGATTACTCCGCCTACGACAACACCAGCAAGGGGGCCTCCGGTTCGACGCAGGACCACCAGGCCGGTCAGGTCAACAACAACTTCCACGTCGAGAACCACTAAGCTCCCTCCCCTCTTTCGGAAGTGACCCGTTTAGTGGGATTTGAGTTCGGTGGTCAGTTATCTTGTTCTTGGGAGTAGTTGTTTACTTAGTGTATCTAGTGTTTAATAACCTTCCTTCGTTTTGGTTTGGGACGAACGGAAGGGGGTGGAGGTTGTTGGAGATACTTTTTCCCTTATACTTCCAAAATACCATTTTCTTTTCTTCATTATCTTCATACTGTGTTGTGGTCGCAGACTGTAAGTATTCACGGTGTGAGAATGTAGCTTGTTTCACACTCTATCTTGAAATCCAACTGCCCCTGTACTGTACAATATAGAGAAAAGTATAGGTATGTCCTTGAAATCTCCAAATGTGGGGTATGAATAAGTATGTACAAGAAAAGAAAAATGAAAGAGGGAGTAAAGAGTGTCTTGAAACAAGGAACATAATCAGCGAAAGTGGGAACCCCAAACACCTTACGTGACCACCACCCTCTGGCGCACATGGATCCGATTCCGGGGCACATCCGCCGACCCGCCCGCCGCCCTGGCCGCATACCGACTCTTCCAGCCGCACCGGCCCAGCGCCAGCGTCTCCAGGGTCTCGGTCCGGCCGCCCCAGAGCTTTCCGCGCGAAGATGACGAGTCAGCGGTGGTGGCGCCGCGCTGCACGGGCGGGATCCAGAAGTGGGTGACGACGGCGCCCAGAACCATGCACACGCTGAAGAGGATCAGGACCCAGCCGTGGCGGATGGTGGGGCCGTCGCCCTCGCCGGTGCCGAAGTTGTAGTAGGCCGAAAACACCTGGACGAGGATGGAGCCGAGCTTGCCGGCGCCGGCACTGATGCCGTGGCAGGTGGCGCGGTAGCGCGTCGGGAAGATCTCGGCGGGGATGATGTAGGTGGTTGCGTTGGGGCCTGTGGGGTTTGAGTGTTAGCGGGGGTTTTTGATTCTGGGATAGGTGGTTGGTTTATGTTGTGAGGGGAGTTGGGGAGTGGGCTGCTAGGAAGATAGGATAGAGAAAGGCAACCATACCGAAGTTGAAGAAGGTTTGGCCGATGATGTAGAGGGTTATGGCGGAGGCTCCTTCTTGGTGCACAGTGATGTACATGGTGCCGAGAGCGATGAACAGAGCGGCTAGGGCGAGGAACATGTATTTCTGTAGGGCGGTACGGTCGAGTTTGTGAATCACTAGGATGAGAAGGATGCCACCGAGGAAACTGCCGCTGTTGAGGATAACGAGTGCGTGGGTGGAGCTGGCGAGGAGCATGTTGTAGACACTGGCACCGGGACGGTCGTCGGTTTTCCAGTAAGGGGCGGAGGAGTCGAGATGAAGGGAGCCCCACGTTTTGGCAAGAAATTGCGGGCTGGAGAGACTGATCCCATAGAAGCTAAAATCCAGGAAGAACCAAGCAAGACTGGTGGCGGCAAGGGTGCGCCAGTTTCCTTCGATCCAGAAATACTGGCGGATATCCCGGCGAGTCAGGTGCCAGTGGGAGTTCAGAGTGGCAGGTTGCAGGATCTCGGTCTGGGAGGGAGAGCGATGAGTGTCATGGTCTTCGTCGTCTTCGTCGTTCTCCCCAGCGGTGATTGTAGTAAGTGAGATGCCGGGAATTGCAAAGTTGTGCCAGCTTGCGGAGTCTTCGCCGGATGGAGAAGAGCCAGTCAAGGTGGATGGAGAGCTGGCGTGGAAGTCGTCGAACAAAGTGGTGGCATCGAACTCAGCTTGAACAGGGTCGTCATCAATCTCGAGCACGAAACGAGGAGACTCCGGGATCACGAAACGAAACAAGGTCGCAATGGCGCCCGGGATGACTCCGATGCCGATAACCCAGCGCCACATGATGTCGACCGTGCGAGTTAGATCCGCGGTGCCCTGCTTGCGACTGATAGTGATAATGATGATGGCGATGAGGTTCCCGGCAACCTGTCCAAGAGGTTGCATGAAGAAAACCGAAGCCATCATGCGTGCACGGTGCTTGGTCGGCGCAAACCTGCCCGCCTGTAAGTACGATTGCACGTAGTAGGCCGAGCTGATAGAACAGTGAGAGCACCTACTCAGACGTAATGACCGCGCTCAGCGGATAGTCGGCTCCTACCCCAATTCCAACAATGATTCGCCACCAGAGCAACCATGCGTAGACGCTCATGCTGCCGTTCTCGCCTCGGGAGGCCATCACAACCCCCAGGGTGGATGTGATCATTAGAATCAGCTCCAGCCCATACATCTTCTTCCGTCCGTAGCGATCCGCGAGGTATCCAAATAAAACCTGCCCAAAGAGTGTGCCGGCAAGTGTAGCGATATTAATGCAGGTGACATGCATAGACGATAGTTGATCGCGCCAGTAGACGTAGGAGATCATCGGGAAAGCCATGTTGCTTGCAAAGAGCTAAAGCAAATGTCCATTAGTGACTAGTTACCTTGGGAAGATCACAAGGAGAAGCATACTGTGTAGCCGTCGAGGAAGAAGCCGACCCCGGCGACAAAGACGACGATCCATTGAAATGCTTGTCGATCGATGGTCTCATAGACCTGGCGCATCCGAACCTGACGATCCTATATGGAAGTGGAGACTCTAGGTCAGTCTCGACACTTTCTTCTCGTAAGTGCATTTGAAGCTGTACCTGTTCATGATCAAAGTCCTGCGCACGGTCGGTTTTGTACCACCGCTTGCCCATGGCGACTGACTTGTTGCTGTAGAAGCTGTATTGATTAAGAAGCAGAAATAGAGATCGGAACCACGTTTAGCCAAATGACATAATGAAGTAGGAAGAGCCTAATGCAAAGAGATCTTGCAGGATCGCGGCCCCCAAAGCAGGGGACTGTGGTAGATGAAGAAAGAATCTGACGAGATGCACCTCGAGGGAAGCGATGGCAAAACAGCGAAGAGGAGGGGGAACGGAGGAAACCGAAGCTAATGAGAGTGGAAACAATTCACAGGATGCGCTAATTGGATTGGAGTTTGGTGGCGTGGTCGATTGAAGGCCAGGTGAATGAAGGTAAGAAAAGGTCCACAAGCACGCACTACAAGGTACGTAGTCAAGGTTAGTACTATCCATGGTCAAGCTCAGGCCCCGTCATGCGATGGTGAAGAGATGAGTGGGTGAGTGGGTGAGTGGGTGAGTGGGTGAATGGGGGTGGGTTATGGATTGTGGGTGCCTGAGGTCGGGGGGGTTATAGATTATTAGATTAGGATTTAGTGATCCCGCACGGGGTGCTTGGGCCAATTCCCATCCCCTTAACCCCACGTGCTGCACTTCTGGGGATTGAGAGGTGTGTTTGCGACCCACTCCCGGTAAGAAGTCACTCGACTAACTTCCCTTCAATTTCTGTCTCACCACATCTCCTCATACATAGTACAATCTACTTTCTACCACGTGGCGGAAATCTCCGAGTCATGTTCCACAAAGGACGCAGAGTGAAGCGGACACAACGGGGGGGAAAGGCAAGGAAGGGGAAAAAAAAAAAAAAAAAAAAAAACAAAAACAGAGCGCTTTCTCTAATGACTGCCGACACGGGTATAAAAATGATACATGAAATGTCGTGGCAAGTGAACAGAATGAAAAACCAGAAGACTAGTGCGACCTGGATACGAAACAAAGATCCTTCGACCCACATAATGAGCCTAGCAGCGACTTTATACAGTGGGACACACGTGGTGGCCACGGTCGCGCGAGGCAATTCAATCCTCCTCCTTCCCCCTTCTCCTTAAATTATGCAATCGCAATGCTATCGTCCCCTCTCTCCTTCTCACTTGATGTGATCGCTCAGAAACTGGCAAAACGCTATTCGATCTAGACCAGGTCATTCATTACTCAGCCTGGGGAGAGGTTTCGAACGTGCACAAGGGAGCATACCTGTATCGTCCAGGAACTGGATCTGCAGCGTCTTCATTTGAGTTAGGATATCAAAATTAGGTTGGAGCTGTATTACTACAGGCCGCCCTGGCTTCTTGCCGGGATTAAAACTGTCAATGCAGTTCACTGGGAGAGATTAGCCGGTCAAAGCCTGCTGTGGCCGACCGGCCGACCGGTCGGCCGGGGTCCCAACTCACCTGGTACTTTCACGTAGCGCTTTAAGTCTTTCCGCTGAGAATTGGCGAAAAATAGCATGACTTGCTTGCCATTGGGTCCGCGGAGGATACGTAGGTTCTGGCTGATGCACTCCTCTCCACGGCCTTTCGACTTGGCTTCTGCGATGCCAGCAAGAAAGACTAATTTGGATGCTAGAATGATCTCCTGAAACTGAATACAGTCTGAAGATTTAATTGTCAGCTGGAAACCTTCTCCTAGCGGAATGTCGCCGTGCGCACCTCTTTCTTCTTCAAATTGGTATGATAATTGGGTCGTAAACACGGTCTGTGCGGATTGTACGGTCTGCTCTTCCATGAAAGAGATCCGTAGCGAGGGTTCGTTGGGGCGTTTAGGATGTTCTAAGTGTGGGACGGGGATTTTCGACTCGTTAACTAGGATGAAAGGAAATTGTAAGCCGGTCTGTAGCCGATATGCAACGGAGGGGAACAGACAGGTATGAATTAATGGGGTTTGCTGGCCAGGGCCACCTCCAAGCTCCAGGCACCTGAGGCTGCCAGTAGTATCCTTGCGTACGTCGATGTAGGTATAACGGAGTTTGAATAGTTTGTTACTTCGCACGAAAGTACTGCCATCAAATCAATGGAATGGAAAACACTCGGTTGAAAGTAGGGGTCTACCCACATGGTGACATGATTGTTGAGCGGGATGTGGATGACTTCCTCGTGTAGCGAGTAGCACGAGGCTTCTCTCGATCGCGAGCCTACAGAGGAAGCCGTTCTGCTGAGAGGGTGCGAAGTGAAAGGCGAGGTGCCTGGACTGATCTGGCCGGACGATTGGGTTGATGAGGACAGAGTACTTTCTCGCCGGGAAAGTGGAAGAGGCCAATCCTCTGGATCATGTTGAAGGCCGGACAGGCCCATTGCAGAGGGGTTGCAAAGAATCGACAGATATCTAATCCTCCCAGTGGTAGACGCGGCGGTCCACTAATTGAGGTGCTGCAAGAGGCACTATGTCACCGAAGGGAGGACAATCATGCGGATCCCCAAAGACGGACTGACGTACGGGGAAGGGAGCTGATTTTCACCATCTCGAATGCTCTAGTGAGTGGAATGAGTCGCGAGAAGCGCCTCGACGCATGGCCAGCGATTCAATCACACAGTCACCCGGATGGCCTGGTGTGAGTGGATTCAGCTACACTAACAATCAGACCCAGAATCATAACTCACTCCACCCAGCGACCGATAAGAAAGCGTCTCACAAGTGCCAGTTCATGGGATTTAGTGGATGCCAAGGGGCGTTTTCTCCCGGGGACCCAGAGGCGGGGGATAGCTTGTCAACGTGCGCAAATAAGTGGCTGCCAGCAAAAGCTTGGGGGACAGTTGGGTGGGTGGAGCCCGGACGGGGAGAGGGGATCGTGTCTGGACCCATCCGGGCAGTTAAGGTAGTCTGAGTCCCTCGTGGTAAAGGCGCACTCCCGTTCACGCTAGAAGATTGGACCTCGGAACCAGGTGCTGAATTCCCAATCAATGTTTGGATAGTTAGATCATCTTCCAAGCATCTAATCACGGTGGAAGGAGTGAGTTCCTGGTTATTCTGTTTGATGTCCGCCATATTCCTTTAAACCTGCTCCGAGATCCCGAAACAATAGTGCCGGTCCTCCAAATCGGAGGTGTTGAGTTGCCCACGTTCATCAAGCATTGACATCGGCAGTAAAAGGTCAATCCTGGAGCATGTCTCTCTCGTGCAGCGACCTGCATTTGATCGTGGGTCCATCGATCAATCTTTAATCAATATTCCACTCTGCACGGGAACAATTATGGCCCGTCGAAACTCTGTTGAGTCCATCTGGGAAATCGAACAACAATAGAAGGATCGAAAAGCCACAATTGCAGGCTGGGATCAGCAGGCTTACTCAGCCACTCTCCCCGAGTCGAGTCAATTTCCATCGCCTAGTTCAAGTTCCATGGATGGCCCAAATTTGCTTCACGTTCGCCTCCAGCCAAAGAGAACCCAAAATAGTGGAATGGAAAGTGAAATCGTATTAGTAAGTCTATGTACCTCTATCTGCACCACCCACTCCAGGAGCGAGGCATCCCCAAATAGCAGAATATAACATCGAAAGATGGAAAGAAATCATATGCAAAGACACCAACACCGGCTAGGAAGTATAAATAAACGTATGACAATGTCCGAGGATGGGAGATGTGCGAAAGGCAGCGAATGGATTGCGGTATCTATGTGATAGCACAGCGGTCACGGTGATGCTGAATTCACTTCGAAGCCGGTGGACGGCATGGGATTGGTAAGGTGGCTATTCGAGGGAACAGTTGGATTTGTGGGTATAGAGCGGGCAATTGCCGAGAATCGAAAACAGTATATAACCTAGAATGCGGCCCAGTGGATAGGGACACTGGAAGACAAGTCAGCATATCTAGCCGAAAGTTTGTGACGCCGATTTGCGGGACTCGGCTGTTCGAGGCGGGTGCGCATAGCGGGGTGATGGGACGCTTGCCACTGAACTTACTTTTTTTTTGTTCATCAAAAGAGGCAACGACAACAGAGTAGAGCCGGATATGATATATGACTGGCGGAGAAATATGAGCAGTGCTCTTGTGCAGGTCGCGATGACGGCCGGAACATAACGATGGCGACTTTCGGCTGTCGCATGCAACCAATGTGAGCTCCAGTCGGCAAGTCGCGGCTGCGCCGGTCCGTAGAGCAGTCTGCTCTCCTCTCAGAATCGATTCCCTCCAGGTGGACGATCCGATCGGTCTTTATGAGCTGCAATGTGGCACCAAAGCTTGTCTTAGACGCCAATGGGCCCAAGGCTGGCATCACTGCTTCACCAAGCCGATCCATACCAACGCTAAATCAATATCTCTTATCCGGACCCTCCTGTCTTACTCGTGGCTAGCCTATTGACGAGGCTTCTGTGCGATGATTCGGTAGCTCGTCGATACTAATCGCATTTTGTCCATCTTCACAAACGCCTCGCCATCGAGGCACAGGCGATTGATCAGGGTCTTGAAATGTTTGGGGAGCATGTGGGCCTTGACGAGGCCCAGGATAAGCTGGCGCATTGAACGGAAGTAGAAATCGACCTTGTCGATGAGCGGGGCTTGCAAGCCTCCGACACTGGCATTGTCAGAGCGCAGGACTTTGAAGCCGGCGTCTGTGAGGGCTTTCTCGAGGCTCTCCGGCGTGGGAGTACCAACGGCGCCAATGAGAGGCTTCACGCGACTCATAAGTTCGGCATGTTCAGGGTTGGAGGGGTCATAGTCAGGCAGGCTGACCCAGTCGAGGCAGGAGAATTTGGCGCCGGGCTTGAGAACGCGGTAGATCTCGCGGAAAAGGGTGGGGAGGTCTTTGCACAAACTCAGGGCCTGGATCTGGTAAAAAGCATCGAAGCTGGCATCTTCAAAGGGAAGGGGCAAGCTGTTGAAATCCTGGACGACAAAGGAATTGGAGGCGAAGCCAAGCTCCTCGTTGTAGGAGCGTGCCTGAGCAATCTGGTTGGGGTCGATGTTGAGGCCGGTGACTTGCGCGCCCGAGTATTGCGTCATGTGGGCGGCCACCCGCCCGCGCCCGCAGCCCAAATCCAGCACTTTAGCGCCCGGCGACAAGCCGATATCCTGCGCAATTGACTCTTCATACAACAGCTGGTTCTCCAGCACGGTCGCCTTCTTGCTCATATACGGCGGAATATACATCTTCTCCACATCGCCCAACGCACAGAGATGGTTGAGGACGCCATAGTACGCCTTGAGACAATCGCCAACCTTCTCCTGATAGTTCGGTCCCAGCGTCTCGACCATCTGCTTCTCATCCGACCAGTCGAGGTTGTAGATGACGTAGGAAGCCATAAAGTCATCGACTTGCTTGGGCGTCAAATTGTGAAGGTATCGGAAGGACTTCCAAAACGTCTTCCATCTCTTGGGGGACGCCGAATTCTCGAGGTCAGGCAGGCTGTCGTGCGCCGCCAGCTTCTGTTTTTCGTTGGCGACGGCATCCAAGGAGGAGCTGCTCTCCGAGCTCCGTCCGGATTCGCGCGATGCCAAGACGGTTTGCGTTTCCATTATATATACTCAACGATGAAGTCACGACTGGGGGTCCAACAGTTCGCAGCGGCCAAGATCACCTGCGCGCACGCTCACTTTATAATTGAGTCTCTGGTAAAAAAGGACCAGGGACAACAAAGATTTCGGGGGAAAAGGAGAAGAGAAGGGGGGATTAAGAGGGGTTCAAATGGAACGGTAAGAGACGGCGGTTAGAGCTACTGTCCAAACGATACCATGCCAATTATGCAGCGCTTCTTGCAAATGGAAAGAGAGCGGGGCTAGGCTTAATTTATAAGCATTGCAACAGCATGTAATTGAAAATTTTCCAAAAAGGCGCCCTGTGACGGGTATCTTCTTTCGAACAACGGCACTGGCCGGCGCCGGCACCGAAGGGGGGGCAATCCTAATAAGACGGATGGATTTGCCAGATTAGCCAGGCGACTTGCCATGGATGCTAGTTGGCGATGGTCCATGTGGATTGCAGTGGTCTTGTCACCAGATCTGGCAACCAGGGTCGGAAGTCTCGGAAGCTGAGGGTGAGGGTCGAAAGGGTCGAAAGGGTCGAAAGAGACCAAAGAAGCAGCACGGGAGGAGACGGCAAGACGGCGAACCGGAAATGGACAGCGCTCTGGATTCAATGATGATTTTTTTTTACGAACTATGGCTTGACCACCACTCAGAACACAGGACAAAAGACTTGCATCTCTTGTTGGTCGCTGACCGACTATCTTAGTCTCAAGCGATCTACTTACGACATTTACAGGCCAGGTACTAGCTGTCAGCCCCTCCAACCGCCAGGGTACTTTAGGGCTGGCTATAGTACGGATATAAGTACATGTATGATGTCGGAGGTTTGCATTAGTTAGGGTAAAACTACACCCTTCAAGAGACTAGTCGGTACTTGCTTATGGAATCGGGCCACTAAAGTCAAGCTCCCACCCCGGTCCTTGGTATGAGTCAAAGGGTCTAGTTAATTAATTATTACTCAGTTGTTAGCGCCATTGTCTAGGGCCTTCTTGTCACCTCACAGACCTCCTCTTTCCCCTCTTGATCGTCTCGAATTCTCCTCCCCGAAGAAGTTGGTCGATACTTGAGGTGGACGGAGTACTTGTCCGCTGCTGTCGTGGTCATGGACAATTGATGACGAGGGCTTAGTCACACAGTTAAAAACTTCAATATCAAACTAACTATCAACTCCCACCAGCATGTTATCGTCGACTGATTAGCTGGCTACTGGGCTAAGTACCTAGATACCACTCATGAAACCTTGACTGACCTAATAGATTCATAAACTTTTGTGTGCTGTGGTCTACTCTGAATGTGGTCAGCAATGGCCGGCCAGCTACGGCACTCGGGGCCCGGACCCAGAGCATCCATTCGGAGCTCCTGCAGCGCCAAGCCGTGTAGTGGTCCTTCCTTCAGCATGAGCTGACCAAGCGTCGTGCCAATTCAATTCAGTCTTGGCGGTCGATGCTTGATCTACTATTATGTAGTTGACTATACCTCCAATACTTCTTTCTTCGGAATCGGATGTTGCACAAGCGATCTATCTCTCACAACATCCGCTCTTATACCACCGCTGTGTGACTGCAGAACACAGCATTAGCAGCTCACAGTTGCTGCACACATGGAATTGGTTTCAATAGTACGGGAGGAAATATGGAACGGGACCCTCTTCGGACTCGGAGTAGCGACTAGGTTGCCCTGTAGGGAACCATTGGCTCCGAGATTGGAGGTGGTGAGCTGAAATTTTTCACACTTACTGTGTAGGAGAGGGGATTCATGATCCATCCCATTCATGATTCATCCCTTCATCCCCTGGCGCGGCTCTGACGGCTCTCGCGTCTCTCGATCAGGCAATTCACCGCGTCTCTCCTTCGGACTTGTAAGCCGAACAATCCGCCGCCCCCACTCGCGTGCTCGTTTCCCGTATTTCCGCTTCCACCCGTCATCTACGGAGCTGACTCGCCATTACAACAATCCCAGAGTTCACGATATACCTTCGGTTTCCCGGCTCATCTCCATTTTGGGGTTTGCTTGACAGAATGAGCCTTTTTTTTCCCCTCTCTCTTTCTTCTTCTTTTGTCTAGTTTTGTTGTTGATCTATGATTTCGGCTTTAGGGATCATTCTCGTTCCAGCCCCATCTCTCAGCCATTGCTCGGATCTCTTCGGAGTCTCGGACGGAGATTATGCTAGGCAAGCGACGCTGCGAGAAAAAAAAAAGATACTGCTGTTGATCGTCTTCAGCCGCCCTCTCGCGACACATACGGTACTGTGGACGATCACCACCCATGTCATCCACCATGCTTAGTGCTTTCTTCTGCGGATGCGGACGGTCGGCTGTTCTCACTCGCGTACCTCTGAGCGCCCGGGGCCTCGTTGTAGCTTCCTCGTCCAGCATGGATTGACGGCTGATGGTCAGATTGACCGTCTGCGCATCGACGGTTTGTTCATACTACGGGGCTGTCTCCGTTGATCAGCATGGTAGCGACCGTGACGTGGCTGGCCGTGTTGCACACAGATCCTTGCGCCTGCAGGGCACGGGACGGCACCAGTAAGAGGGGGTGGTGGTGGTGGTGGTGGTCCGATCCTGGCGACTGCCCTGGTATCTGATTGGGATTGAACTTGAAGCCGTTACCATCAATTTCGGCATGAACCCACATCCATCACGGTGCGCATTAATAATGCTACCCATCAGTTTATCACACGATGAGTTGGTCTCCACTTTGGTCGGCCTGCAGGCCGCCGATTGCTGCTTCCTGAGTGGCCCGTTGTCTTACTATACCTCTGGTCCAAATTTCCTGGTGGAGTTTCTTCCTGCGCTCGTGGAATCTCTCCATTGATTTTTTTTTTTCAGTTGTTGATGATTCGTGTTTTTTGCATTTCCTGTGACAAGGTGGGAAAAGAGATAAGAAAAATTATGTTTTCTGGTCTGCACGTGACCGATCGGTCTCTGGATCTATTGCCCGAGTCCAAAACAGCACTATACATCCGTCCTATCCGGTGCGAGCAGCTCAACACCAGCCATGGAGGGGCTGACCATTTTTCACATACAACCTCCAGCATCAAGAAACGTTCAAATAAGCTTATATTTAAAGCTCAGTGCATCCGAACCATCTGCAGCAGCTCCTTCCTCCAGTTGGGATGGCCAGCGCCTGTTCCCGGATCCACTTCATTAGGCAGCCAGATATCACTCCAGGTCCCCCTTCATCGCACGCACCGGATGGATGTGTCTAGGGTTTTCTCCCGGGTTGGGCTGAGTGGCAAGACGAATTTCCCCCTTCCCCCCTCCTTCTTCACGCTTACGTTCGCGTCTCTCCAATCATCGAGCACCCTCGGGTCTTGGGTGGTGGTGGGGATCCGTCGTTCATAGGTTAGGTTGTGGCCTTGACGGAGGGAGAGGAAGGAGAGAGAATAGCTGATCCCGTCCAGTGAGGAGGGTCTCCGACCCGGTCCACCGGTGTAGTACATGACAAGCGGGTCAGATACGGTGCACGGGCAGGTACCTCGGGGTCGAGTGGCCGGCAGACGGCGGCTGGGTTGGGCTGTTCATGCCCTTGGCTGAGTTTGCTTGGTGTAATCATCCAATAGGTATTGATAGCGAGGACGACCGTAGTCTATGAGACGCCCAGGCAACCCGCATATCCGTCCAATGCTAAACCCTGATCTTCCAGACATTGTTCTGGAAGTAGACGGATTGGCCACATCATGTATCTGGCCAAGAATGAAGACCCAGTGTTTCTTGCAGGGCCGCTGAAGGTACAGTACATGGACCCAGTGGAGGAGATTCCGAGAAGAATAACTGCCATGATGCAGGCTGGAATCTCTGAGTAAGATTGACTTGTGAAGGATAGGCGAAGTAGACACCCACGCATATGCAGCAGCCTATGGCATGCATTTCCCGCCCACTGTTGCTTTCTGCCTACCAGTATGGCTGGAATCCAATTCAAACACCCTGGCACATCTCACTTACCTAGTCGGCCCAGAGCTAGCCTGCCCTTCCTATGTACTGTACTATTTTGTACTTCCGTCTATTCCGAGGGGCCATGCCTCTCTGCTCGTGTTGACCCCGGGGCTTGCCACTCAGAATCTCTCCCTTTCTCTTACCTTCTCTCTCCTACTCTTTATCTCTTTCTTGATACCGTCGAATAAGACCAATTGTTTCCCTCACTACAACACAATAAGACAAGAAACATGCCCCCTCCATCCGAGCTTCCCTTCCCATCTCTTCTGAGGGGTTGACTTGCATCTTCCCGGTTTTCCACAAATTATACCCAATGTACTACTCCCACTAAGTACCCAAACCAACAGGCCGCAATCCAACTACCATAGTTACCTGTTTAAGTAAACCTCATCACCTGCTTTCATCTCAGCATACGCCATACAAAGTGGAAAGAGAGTTGCAGTCGCATTAGGGTGTGAATACTGGTAACCCACTAGTCCTCAACGGTTGGAAGTAGTTTTTCTCGTTTCCTTGTAGTGAACAGCTTATACTTCAGAAATTATCAAACATTTATACATCCAGTACCCTTACTAAAAGGAAGTATATATAGATATCAAACCCATCTTCAACTTAAATATGTACAGGTAATAAACAGTTGTATGAGGTTGCTGACCATAATCTATAGAACTTATAGTGTCAGCCTAAATCAGGATTGAACTAATCTCACTAATCCATTAACAATCAGATAGTATACGTACAGTACCTGTCCCCAACCAATTTGCCACCCACACGTATGTGCAAGGCTCGTTCTTCGACGTACTATGTATAGTATATAAAGTGTCCAGGCTTACGCCCTTATCTAGTAGGATAGTCATCCCCCCTAACATCAAGAACAACCCCCCCCCCCCCTCTTTTCATCCAAAAATCGCAGTTGGACCATTATTCCTACCATGCGGGAGCGAGATAGCTCAAACCGGCAGGTTACGGAAATCGGGATTCTAGGTACAGACAGCCACGACAGCTCGATACCTCTTGCTAGGCGCCTGTTCCTGTTGGTGCTAGCTGGACGAAGTACATTATGAATAATTTTAAGTCATAGATGTGTTCTAAAGTAGCTGCTGGATTTTTTCCTGATGTCGTTTTACTAGCTCCAATTCAGTGGTCTCTCATTTGTCTGCGGGGTTAATTGGGGTTCAGGTTGTGGGACAGTGATGATCAAAGGTTGGAATTGATTGGAGCTTCATCGTATGTGGGGATAAGCTCGAGGACATGACTGTAAATCCTTCTGGGGGGTTGACCGTGATATGTAGTTATTACTCAATAGCCTCGAGAGAATTAATCAATCTTCATGAATATCGAAACGGTGCTGGATGTCTACAGGATGGCATTATAAACATACTCCGAGTGTTCGACACTAATTGAGATATATTCGGTTGTTGTAGGTGTTTACTGAGAATCAGATTGTGGGGTAATGAGCCACAGTGACTGCTGATCAATATCTGTACAGTACCGCGCCAATGCCATATCTCTGCCTTGAACACATCAACTCCCACGGGTCACCTCAACTAGTCTCCATTCTATACCTATCTTTGCTTATTCTGAGCAGAGAACAAGACAGGTTTTAAAGTATCGTACAGTCGATGCAAGGCTCCTACAGCAAGAAAAGCTGACCCGTCTATGTGACCCTTGGTCGAACCGATTACCGCTCATCAAACTAGATATTATATATAATGCGAATATTAATTCTATCCTCTCACATATTCTCAGCTTTAGAAGTCTTCCCGCGTGATCCCACTCTGGTCACACAAATTGCGAAAGACGCCCCCGGCCTCCCACAGCCGCAGCGGCGTGTCCATCTCCGCGATCTGTCCCTGGCCCATCACGCAGATCCGGTCGTATTGCAAGATCGTCCGCAGGCGATGCGCGATGCACAGCAAGGTCTTGCCCTCGAATCCGTGCGCCATCGTCTCCTGCACCTTCTGATCCGTCTCGAAGTCCACCGACGAGGTCGCCTCATCGCAGACGATCACCCGCGAGTCGCGCACGAGTGCTCGCGCCAGCGCCATTAGCTGTCTTTGTCCGAGCGAGAAGTTTAGCCCGTCCTCTTCCACCACGGTATCGAGGTGGAGGCGTTTCTGCACGGGGGTACTCGTGTCGGTGAGTGCGGGTGTGGCGGTTCCTTCATCGAGGCTTTTCTCCGCGCCTTCCTGGTCGACCAAGTGTGCTTTGCGGAGCGCAGACCAGAGTTCGAGGTCAGTGTGTTCATTGAATGGGTCCAGGTTGGAGCGGATGGTGCCCTTGAATAACGTCGGATCCTGCGGGATGATCGACAGTCGCGTGCGGAGATCGTAAAGCCCGACGGTCGCGATGTCAACCCCATCGATGTGGATCTTACCCCCCGACAGTTCGGTCAGTCGGAACAGAGCGGACATGATGCTGGACTTGCCCGCCCCCGTGCGACCCACGATCCCAACGCGTTCTCCGCCACGGATATCCATAGAGACGCCCCTGAGCACCAGAGGAAGCCCGGCTCGGTAGCGCATCTGCACGTCTTCGAATGTGATGCGACCGGCAGAAGGCCACTCCTTCCCGACGTCCGTCAGGTGAAGAGGAGCCTCCTCTTCTAGCTGCGTGCCGTAGTGATTTACACGCTCGGCCGCATTCATGTTGTTATCCACATCAGCGAATTGTCGCACCGTGAACCCCAAGGTCTGGGTTATGGAAACCACATATGACAAGACCAAGCCTGCGATGCTGGGCGAGACATCCAAGCGTGAAGTCACAACAAGAAGACTCGTCACCAGAATCAACAAGGTGCCAACCATATCAAGTCGGACCCCAAGCCATCGTTGGTTGGCAAAGGTCAAGAAGTAAGCGCCATTCATGTCATCAATGGCATTGTGAATAGATCTCTTGAAATGCTCTTCCGCTTTGTATGCTTGAATGCACGCAGAGCCTGCAATCGCCTCGCCGAATCGAGCGAATACTTTGGAACGGAGGACTGCCTCATGCCGCTTGAGGTTGCGAGCCGATGCACGGTAGTAGCTAGCTGCGAAAAGAAACAAGAGGATCAACGGTCCCAACGCTATCGCAAACTACAGACCACATAGTCAGAACAGCACAGATGGCGACTCCAGGAGGACTCACATAGTAGTAAAACGCAATCACCATCCCGATTGTGGAGGTAATCTGTGACAACGTCAAGACGAACAACCTAATCGAATCAGGTAGATCGCTGTCCATCACTTGCACATCCTTTGAGAAACGGTTGGTGATACGGCCCATTGGCGTAGTGTCGAAGAAAGACATAGGGGCTCGTAAGATCCGATACATTGCTCGTTGAAGCATTTTCTTGCTCGCATTGGCACCCACAATCGTCACATGCGCCGCAAACGCATACATTGCGACGAATTGGCTGCAACAAACCGCGATGTAGATCCCAACGTACTCGCCCGTGGTCAATCCAGAATATTTATTAGACGTCCAGAAAGACAACCAAAGTCCGGACATGACCAGCGCGCCATTGACAACACAGATCAAGCATAGTGAAACAGGTACATTGAGATATGACCCCGATGCTTTAACGTAAGTTTTCAAGACATCCCACCCAACCGAGCCACTTGCCATGTCCTCTTTCTGCATCAAGGCACCACCTGGCACTCTTCGCGCGGTTTCGGGCTTTTCATCGGTAGTAGCGCTGGTGCTCGATGGTTCCTGATCCAAGGCGTCTTGCTGAGACGTTATGGACATTAGCCGCTTGAAGATGTCACTCGAGCGCGTCAAGTCATCAAAAGTGCCGATCGCGTGGATCTTGCCATCCTCCATGACGATGATTCGATCGCAACGTCCAAGCACATGCAATTGATGGGTGGCGAGCACCCGCGATCGGTCCTTGAGAAGGCCGCAGATGGCGTTGTCCATGATGTGGCGTCCTACATGAGCATCGACCGCTGACAAAGGATCATCCATGAGCACAAGCTCTGAGTCTGAATAGATCGCTCGAGCGATGTTCAATCGCTGCTTTTGACCACCGGAGATAGTGATGCCACGTTCGCCAATTTCAGTCTGATCTCCGTCCGGAAACATCGCCAGATCCGAACGAAGTGCGCATGCATCAATCACCTCGTTGTATCGATCCTCGTCATAATCCCTTCCAAATAGTATATTGTCGCAAACCGTAGTGTTTTGTACCCAGGCATACTGTGGGCAATAGCCCCGAGTAGCGCCTATCCGAACACTCCCTGCTGTTTGTCTCATATCGCCCGCTAAGGCTGCCAGTAGTGAAGTTTTCCCGCTGCCCACTGATCCGATGACTGCGACCAACTCACCGCGGCCAATCTCAAAGTCCATTCCCAGTAACTGAAAGGGAGTCTTGGCGTCGGATTCCCGCTCCGAGTGTGTATTGGATGAAGCTGGCTCCGTTTTTCCAGAAGCGATTGCAGCTTGACTGGGGCGGGGGTTTGCTAGGCTTTCCGCAGAGTCGCGCACCCGCTCCCAGGTGAATGAAGCATGTTCGACCTCAACAGCGTTGGTCATCGCATAGTCCCAGGTTATGCTTTCTTCACGTTCTTCGGCGGACAAAAACTCTTGTAAACGGTGAAGGGCAGTCCAGGCATCAGTCGCTTGCGTCATTGCGAGATTCAGAATAGCGAGTGGCATTCGGAGAGCATTGAACAGAGCCAGCGAGGAAAAAATGCGATCAGGTGATAGGGCGTGGTTTGTCAACGCATACGTGATGAAGGACAGCATCGAAGACAATGCAGGGAGCGAAAGCATACTGACTGTGATGGCATGTCGAATTACCAGCAGCCGTCGGATAGAACTGATTTCGCGTTTGCGCAAGTTCTCGAGTCGTTCTAGAAAGCTGCTTTCCCAACCAAAGAACTTCACGAATTTGACACTCGAAAGAATTTCCTGTGTCAGGGACACTCGTTTGTCGGTGATCTTGTTCACTGCTCTTCGGAGCGTGATAAGGGACTTGACACAGTAGGCCAGCAAAACTGCCCCGAATACTGCCAGCCCATAGCCTGGAAGTGCACTGTAGCCGATGTTGATGACCATGAAGATCAAAGCTACTCCCAAGACAACGGGTGTAGTCCAGAGCATATGAATCAAGCCACAAGCTCGATCGATACGGTCCACATCCACACCCATCAACGTGATTATGCGCCCGCTGCCCCAACCATTTCCCTCGCCATTGCCAGGGCCTCCTCGCATGCTCTGCCGCTTGGGACCCTGTTTTCCACTGGCCGGTAGCACCTCGCTTCCAGCCTTCGCGCGCCCTGATAATTTCATCGCCTTGGTGTAGATTGCAGACACAAGCACCGCTCTGATTTGACCACCGCAGATCATACCGCGGTAGAAAGCCTGGCTCAAACACAGGGTCTGCACTGCTTGCATTGCGGGGATTCCAAATGCGAATCCTAGTCCACGGCCAAGGTTGGGCATGGGGTGATTGCCGTGATGGGCGGCATATGCGTCCATTGCGTAGCTAGTCAGGTTTCTGACAAGATATGGTGTCACGACAGCGAGTATCATACTCACAACCTGACATATGCCACCAATAATAAACTCAAGCCTAAATGTGTCGAAGAGTGCCCATACCAGCGCCTTTTTTGAGCCCTTTTCCATTCGCTTTTGCAGGGCAATGTCGAATCTGGCCGTTAAAAGGTCCACTTTCCTGTCTGGATTGACTGACCATATATCTTGAAGCTCTATCTGCCGCAGGTATCCGGTCTGTTGCACAACATGAGCATGGTGTGGGGGTGTAACCGGGGTGAACCCAAACTAACCTTGATCAATGGTGCTATCCATTGGAACGTCACGCGACTGATAATGCTAGCCCCATACTCCTTACTGACTGCTCTTGCTTCTGGTATAGGAGGGACTTTCTGAAGTCGCAATGGGTTCAAACTTCGTCGCGCAGTCTTGGCCGGTACTCTTTCGAGTTGATTATGTTTCTCATTCTCACTATCCAGTTGCGTTGAACGAGAGGATGTTGCGAGCTCCGTTACTTGGCTTTTTCCCTCTTCATTGATCAATATCGGCCCATGCTTCGATTCCTCATTTCGACTCATCATGGTCCTGCTTGCGTCAAGCTATAAGAGTTATGAGATCGTATTTCTGGAGCGGCGCCTGCATCCGAAACTGCAGTTCAGATAAGCGTTCACCGAACCCAGCAGGTAAAATTGGAGCGCTCGCGACAATGAGGGTTGACGGAAATCAACAAAGCGGGAGGCCTCGAGTCTTTCAAATAGGCATTGCGTGCATTTAGATCATATGCGACCGTGGCGACTGTCGGAAACAATGGGAAGGAGAAAACCGGTTATGCCAGAAAAAGAGGGGGTGTCGATTCGAAGATAAAACATCCGGCAATCATTGATTGGCCACGTTTGTTAGCTTTTGTTGATATCGTCCAGGGAGAGACGTCTATATCAGAGCTTTTTTTTTTACGTCGGCCGATATAACTATGGGGTTAGTTCTAGTGCTGATGTTAGTTGCAATCCAGGCCAACAGATCCCGCATAAGGACAAGCGGTAGATATTCCCTACGGCCTGCACGTTATGCGGACTTTATGGGAGACGGAAAGGATTGAAGGTCGGGGGCTGGACTGACTGGTTTATTTTGCATTTATGGCATGTGGTGTTCCGTCCTCAAGGGCACGAGCAATGACAAGTTGAGAAGCGCTCTGCCATTGTACTGAATGCGATAGCGAGTTCAGGTCCTTATACGGAGACCGTAGGCTTGGTCCTTGCATTGTATATATCCGACGATCACATTCGAAGGAATGTTGCCGACGCCAGGGAAAATCCGACGCCCCGTAATGGGCTATCCCTGCTCCCTTGCAGATTAACATTCAGTATTGGGCTGGACATCAAATAGGTTCACTATCACCATCGCCGATGAATCGACCTGTACGGAAGATCGCAATGTAGGTTCCATGTCAATTAGAGCTAGCACTCAGTGTAACCACCGATGTGTGGGATCACCTTGGTTGCGTGCCGAGGGTGGCATACCAGATGTGAGGTCCGAGAGTCATGCACCAGAAGAGATTCGAATCAATAAGATGGGGGAGGAAACCAGTCTTGCTTTTTTTTTCCCCTAGAAAGAGAAAATTGCAATTGCACCACACTAACTAGAAGATCTGTGCTAGGTAGCAATCAATACTAGCAGGGTGAGGGATTAATGGGAGCTATTCGTTGAAGAGGGGAAGAAAGAGGGGGTGGCAGCAAAAGGGCACGGGACAACAACAGCCAACCCAACAGCCGCACAAATATAATATTAGGGGTAGGTAACCATGAGCCGGCACTGCCCAACTACTCACTAAAAATCAAAGGGAAATGTGCTGCTCTCAATTTGTTGCTGAACAATGCTTCTAAGGTCATAAAATATCATTACAAGTCGTCATTCGCCACAAAACTTGCCTGGCCTGCCAATCCCATTACCAAGTCTCGGATCTTGCATTCAGAAAGAGATTCTGTTTTCTCTTAGACTTGTGACGGAAAAGCCTTACAGTTCAGGTCGCTCAAAGCGAGCAAGAAAATGGCACTGGCTCTGGGGTGAGCGAGAGTACCATTAGGCTCATAGGTCAGGGCTCGGGTGTCGACCATAAAACGGCCTCGTCGCGACTCAGGAAAGAACAGCTCATGGCTTCTCATTAAGAGGTTGACTGATCGCATCCTCCTTGCGTCCGGCTTCTAGTTCTCAAGGGTCACCTTCACCTTCTTCTCCGGTGGAGGGATAATCTCGTCCTCAACCTCGCCAGTGAGGGTGGGCAGCTCTGCCACTGACTCCTTGATGATGTCCAGAGCCTTTTGAATCTCATCTTCAGTGATGACCAAGGGGGGCGCAAGACGGATGATGTTCTGGTGGGTTGGTTTGGCCTAACAAACACGGTGTCAGCACATCCACGTTATGACCCACGACGAGTTTGACAGATGATTGAAACTTACCAGAAGACCCTTGGACTTCATCAACATACAAAGATCCCACGCGGTACGACCATTGGTTCTCGACTCGTCAATAACGATGGCATTCAGCAGACCCTTGCCCCGCACTGTCTGGATGATAGGGTTCTGGATGGCCAGCAGGCCGTCGCGGAAGAGGTGACCAAGCCTCTCCGCGCGCTCAACCATCTGTTCTTCCTGGACAACCTCCAGAGCGCGGATGGCAACCGCACAGGCCAGAGGGTTACCGCCATAGGTGGATCCGTGCGTGCCGGGTTCAATTGTGAGCATGACATCCTTGCGCCCCAGAACGGCAGACACGGGGTACATGCCACCAGAGATGGCCTTGCCCAACAGGACCATGTCGGGCTTGATTCCACTCCACTCGTGGCAGAGCAGCTTACCAGTACGGGCAATGCCAGTCTGGATCTCATCGCAAATCAAGAGGACATTGTGCTTGTCGCACAGGGCTCTCGCCTCCTGCAGGTAATCTTCGTCAGGAACCACGATACCCGCCTCGCCCTGAATGGGCTCCACCAGGAAAGCGGCCAAGTTGGGACCCGCCTTCTCGAAGGCCTCCCGCAGAGCCGCCTTGTCGTTGTAGGCGATAGGCTTGTCCGTTCCGGGAATGGTGCATCCGATACCGGGGAGATAGGGGCCATAGTTTTCGCGCGACTCGGGGTCAGACGACAACGAGATAGCGGCGAACTGACATCCATGATCATGTTAGCTTGACTAATTGCTAGAATAAGATTCGCGAGCCCACTTACCGTGCGTCCGTGGAAGTTGTTCTCCGCACTCAGGACGAGCGCCTGATTCTCCGGAATCCCCTTCACCTTATAACCCCACTTCCGAGCGATCTTGATACCAGTCTCGACGGCTTCCGCACCTGTGTTCATGGGCAGGACCATATCGAACCCGAAGTATTTGGTAACAAATTCAGCGAAGCGAGGGAAGACATCATTATAAAAGGCACGAGAGCTGAGGGTCAGCCGAGAGGCCTGTTCCACCAGAGCCGCTACCAGCTTGGGGTGGCAGTGACCCTGGTTGACGGCGGAGTATGCAGACAGGAAATCCAGGTACTCCCGACCCTCGGGGTCCCAGACAGTGGTGCCCTGAGCACGAGCGAAGACGATGGGGAGGGGGTGGTAGTTGTGAGCGGCATACTCCTTCTCAGCACTGATGGCGTCCTGAGTGGTGGCAGCGTGGTAGGAGTAAGCGCCATCGACACCGTTGGAGCCGTTGGCAGGCTTGGTGGTGGCTTTGGTGGCTTTGGTGGCCATGGTGAAGACAAGTGATGTGGGATATTATGCGGGGGCAACCAAGACAAGATTGAGTGGGAGGAAAGGTTGGTCAGTGAGTCTGAAAAGGGGGAGGATGAGGAATAAGAGGAGGTGTATATGGAAAGAGAGCAGAGGAGAAGGAAAGGTGGGCGAGAGGGGAGGGAAGATATAAGAAATGCGCGGGCGGGCAGAAACAGGCAAATGTAGCGAGGCCAACGACAAACGACGAGGAAGAGAATAGGAATTGTTCACCGGCCGAGGAGGAAACAGCGAGAAATGAGGGAAACGAGGATAACCAAGAGACAAAATGGGTGCAGATGGGAAATTTGCGGAGATGAACTAGACTCCTAAGTGCAAGTCTACGCGGATGATCCCTAAGTGCAGGTGTACCCGGGACGGTTGCAATTTAGTAGGCGGTTGACCAGTTTACTTCTGACTAAGCCCCGGATAAGGAGATGGTCGATCCACCGCGAGGTCCACTTTTGTCCACAGTTTGTTTTGCTTTGCCAGTTTGCCTTCTTCCACAAACCCAGTGACGCTCATTTCATTACAACTTCACTCTCTGTTCAGACCCACGCACGCCACGCTGCGGATCTTCGCCTCCCTCTCCAGGCTCCTTTCTTATCGGGTCGGAGACCTAAATTCCTTATCAACAAACTTACTGTACAGTTTCCAGTACACAACAGTGCAGTTTCTCCTGCAGCCCTCCGTTTAGAGTCGGCTAATTACATCACACTCTTCCACTACCACCACCACCACCACCACCACCACAACTGCATCATCATCATCATCATCATCATCATACTTCACAACTTTAATTCGCAGGATCTGGGGATCATATCATCTGGTTCCTGAACTGGGTTCCACCACTCCTAATATGTCAGGCCGATCAAGAGCCTCCTCACCTCCTTCCCTTCCTTGCTCCCCCTCCGTGTCCTCGGCGGCTGCTTCTCTGGCCTCTGGCTTTCCCTCGGATGACCCCGACGGGCCTTTATACTTGCCTCGCCAACTGAGGCCGCGAACGCCCACTCCCTCCCCGCCTCGCTTCCCTATCCTACCTTCTCCACCCGATTCCCTACGCGTTTTCCTCTACTTGCTTGCTTTTCGTCTATTGAATGCCTTGACTACCCGCACCTTCTTCCAACCCGATGAATACTTTCAGTCTTTGGAACCGGCCTGGCAGGCGGCCTTTGGCGAAAACCACGGGGCTTGGATCACCTGGGTGAGCTTCCCTTTCTTTGTCTTCCGCTATTGGCGGAACCCGTCTGCACCTTTACGGCATCGCTACCCTCCCACACCATTTGGTCTTCTGCCTTCTGATCGCTCTCACTCCAATCCGCCCGGTTTCGGTGACTAATTGCTTCACCGCATGGTGTCATCTTACAGGAGTGGCGGCACCAGTTGAGATCCTCTCTTCACCCTCTCTTCTTTACCGCTGTTTATTCCGCTGCCAGCGGGCTCGCTCGTGCTTTGCACCTCTCCCCTGCATGGCAGGCGGATCTTCTCATTGCTGCTCCGAAGACGGCGCAGGCCGTTATCGCAGCCCTCGGAGACTACTATACCTGGAAGCTGGCTCGTTGTGCCTATGGTCTAGCCAGTCCAGAGGCCTCAGCTGCGGTACGTATCAGATTGTAACTTGACATGTCCACCGCAGAAAGACTAATTGGGAACCCAGCTGGCGCTGACCGCCCTTAGCCCTTGGCAATGGTTTTGTTCTACCAGAACCTTGTCCAATTGCCTGGAGACAACGCTCACCGTTATCGCTCTATATCTGTGGCCGTGGGAATGGTCGGTGGCCCCGAAACCTCCCGTACAACCCAAACCGACTGGCCGGGTAATCACCACGCCCTGGGATTTGATGAGAGAGGGCCAACGGCATCAGCATGATGAGGTGGTTCTCGGAAGGTATGTTATACTGTCCTACAGACGTCATAACTGCTATCCGAATGGCTAATATGAGAACATGGAGAATAGGCTGAGACGGTGTCTCCCGCTTGCAGCCCTTGCCTGTATTTTACGGCCCACTAACATCTTGGTTTGGCTGGTCCTAGCAAGCGTCGTATTGCATCGCAGCACCTCGGCGCGAAGAAAACTTTTAGCTCGCGAAGCTGCAATTTGGGGGTAAGTCGCCTTCATCCTGCATCATGGTTTTTGTATTGACTCCATTCCAAGCGCCGCTGTCCTAGCTGTATCAATCGTGGCAGATCGACTGTTTTACGGAATCTGGACCTTCCCTCCTCTCCGCTTCCTGTACTTCAACATTGCCCAGTCCCTAGCTGTTTTCTACGGGCGCAACGATTGGCATTACTACCTCTCCCAAGGCTACCCTCTATTGCTGACAACTGCGCTCCCGTTCACCTTTGTGGGCTTGTACCGTGTTTGGACACGCTCGCATGCAGCCGCTAGCAATGACCTGCAAGTTGAAACGCAGGCTCAACTGCAAGTTCAGCTGACTTATGTGTGCCTTTCCATGCCGCTTGTGCTCTCATTGATCTCTCACAAAGAAGTACGGTTCATCTATCCATTGCTTCCCGCGCTGCATGTTTTGACCTCTCCGGTGTTGGTGGACTTTTTTGGCCCTGCCGTGACCCAGTCGGTTGGCAGGCACATTCCTCGCCGACTTCTTCTGGTGTTTCTTGTGTTGTGTAACGTTGTCATTGGGCTCTACACCACAGTCTATCATGCGTCTGGGCCGAATGCTGTGTTTTCATACCTGAGAGATCAACGGCGAGTCCATGGTTCCAACCACCTGAGTAACATCAATGAGCCCGGCATTACTGCCGGCTTCCTCATGCCATGTCACAGCACCCCGTGGCGTTCCCACATGGTCTATCCCACCATCGAGGCCTGGGCGCTATCCTGCGAGCCTCCCATTGGAATGAATGCTACCCAAAAGGCGGAGTATCGTGACGAAGCTGATCAGTTCTACGACGATCCCTCCGGGTTCTTGCGTGCCAATATGGCCGGTGGATTGAGCTACTTTCCCCGACGACCAAGCTACCAATCCCTTTCGGAACGGTCTCGATCATCTTTACGGCCCGAGGCTACCCCTAAGCATCACTGGCCGGACTACCTCATCTTCTTCGCCCAGATGGAACCCACGCTCAAGAAACTGCTCCGCGGTTCCTCATACGGCGAATGCTGGCGCACTCACAATACCGACTGGCACGACGACTGGCGTCGTCAGGGCGATATCGTGGTCTGGTGTCTGGACACAACCGAGCAGCTGGACTGGAAAACCGCGAAACGCTCCCGCCAACTCCAGCAGCGCGATCGTGTCTTTAACCGCATCGTCCAGGCCATCAAGAAGCGGGGCCCGGGCGGCAGACTCCAGCAGGCGCTCCGCTGGACGACCTCGCGTCCCCAGTCCTCGTCGTGGTCATGGCTGTGGCCGTGGTACCGGCGGCCCAAGCATACTGTGCTTGGATTTGAGGTTCCAGACTGGCTGGATCGCCTCTGGGATTTCGTCTGGTAAGGATTGACCACGCAACACCCATTCCCTCATTTACGTTCCGTACGCAAGTACACAATCTGTATACCCATCTCTTCTTTGTTATAATCCACAGTCTCTATATGTGTCTATAGTGTCTATAGTCTGGCTCATGCTTGAGGTGTTCCCAGTTTGATCACGCTCGCTGCCACTGTATTTCTTTCGCGATTCTGCTCACGGTTGCACATACTTGGAAGTCTCCAGTATTTTGAATATATGTCTTTTTTTTTTCGCAAACAAACGGAGATGGGGCTCGATTAGCGTAAAGCATTTAGAATTCCTTCAGATTGCATGCACAGCCAAAGGCTAACTGTTTATGCCGGTGGTAGCCGCTGCGTATCACGTGACTGGTTTGCCTGGCTGCGCCGGCAGTCACCCACCTAAGAATCGTCGAAACTGGACACTGTGTGTTTCATGTGCTGCTTTAGATTTTGGAAAAAGAGAGATATCATGGCACGGTCTATATAGTTCAGAGAAGAGTGCTGTCATATTTGGTATCTTTCGTGGCCCCCGGGGGAGACCGAATCAATGTACTATTTGCCCCAAAGAAAATATTCTACAAAATGTGAAGGCGTACGAAAATATGTAGGCCGAGCGCGGCCTCGGGGGGGGAGGGTGTGTGTGTGTGTGTGTGTGTCCCATCCTCAGCGATCGTCAACACGAATGCGAAACCAAGTGGCCGCTTATAGCTTGCCGCCCTGGGAATAGCCGTTGGTCTTCAACCAGGATCCAACGTCGGCGCGGTCACGGTTGACCCAGTTGACCTTGGCACGGATGGCATCCAGACTCTGCTCGACGGCACGGTCGAATCCCTAATCACCAATGTTAGTGTTTGTGAATAGCCAAGCCGGAGAGAGGAGTTCTTTACCTTGGTGTCCTTGCTCTTGAAGAAGGCCTCGACCTCCTTCAGCTGGGCCTCCGTGCAGAAGCTGGCGGTGCTGAGCTGGATGACAGTGCCCAGCATGCCCAGAGATGGGGGCAGGCGCTTGAAGATGGCATCCCAGTTGTTGGTCAACCAGGTCCAGCGGGCCTCGATACCATTGGTGTGGCTGCGCAGGCCGCTCAGGGGCATGTAGATGTCCTGGTTCTTGACCTCGTCGCCACTGGCCAGCTCCAGGGTCCGCTTGATCAGAGCGGGATCCTCGGCGGCACCCAAGCAGCGGAGGGCGGTGGTCTTCTCATCCGACGTCGGGGCGTTGCGGAACCGGTCCAAGACAATGTTGTACTCCTTCTCACCGCCCTTCTTCAGCACGATGCTGAACACACTGCCGCGGATGTTGGGGTGGATGGCATTGGCATCACCGGCCGCGAACCGCTCGAACATATCGTGGGCCGCCTTGACGACGACCGGATCCTCAGCCGAGCCGGCACTGCCGAACATCAAAGCCTTGAACTGCTGCAGGATGTGTCCATCCTTGTCGGAGAAGTCCCATCCAAGCTCATGGGCCTTCTCGCTGACCAAAGACCGCTGGAAAGCCTTCAGGGCATCCTTGCTGGGAGCATCCTCAAACAACCAAGCGGCCCGGAGAGCACCGATACGGGTCAGGATTTCGTTCCACACAACGAATTCCGACTCGCTGTCAAATCCCTTCAGAAGAGACAAAAGTCCGGAAGTGCTCTGGAAGCCAGACGCCGCGAGAGCACCCGCGTCGGCGATCATACCAGCACGGTCTTCAACGGTGAGGAGGCCGTTCTTAGCAGCCTGACCCAGCTTGGTGAGACGCTCGGGAGTGTAGGAGGTGCGATAGATGGCAGAGTGATCGGCGTTGAGCTTGAAGAAGTCCAAATCAGGAACCTTGAATTCGCCCTCCCGCTCGCTCAGCATGGTGTCTTCATCGAGACCCTGCTTGGTCCGCAGACCCAGGATGACTGGGTAGAGGGTGGTATCCTCCTCGGGGCGGACATCGCCCGTACGCAGGAAGCGGTTTTGCTTAACCTTGATGGATGAGGTCTTTTCATCCTCAGAGACAGTGACAACGGGGAATCCCACGTTCTTGGTCCAGATATCCATGACCTGCTCAACGGGCTTGCCACTAGCATCGGCGAGAGCGGCCCACAGGTCACCCGTCTGGGTGTTGCCATAAGCGTGCTTCTTGATGTAGTTACGGACACCCTGCAGGAACACGTCCTCACCCATGTACTTGGAAATCATGCGCAGAACGGACGAGCCCTTGGAGTAAGAGATGGCATCGAAGATCTGGTTGATCTCGTCGGCACGCTTCACAGGCACCTCAATGGGGTGACTGCTACGGAGCGAGTCCAAGGAAAGGGCGCTCTGCAGGTTGTCAATGACGTAAGTCTGCCAGACCTTCCACTCGGGATAGAAGGCGTTGCAGGAATACCAGGACATCCAAGTGGCAAAGCCCTCGTTGAGCCAGAGACCATCCCAAAAGTCCATGGTGACCAAGTTTCCGAACCACTGGTGAGCCAGCTCGTGCTGAACGGTCTCCGCGATGCGCTCCTTGCGGGCAGCACCGCTCGTCTTCTCATCCAATAGAACATCGACAATACGGTAGGTGATCAGACCCCAGTTCTCCATAGCACCAGCACTAAAGTCAGGAACAGCCACCATGTCCATCTTAGGCAGGGGGAATTCGCTGTCGAAGGCCTTCTCATAGAAGGCCAGGGTGCGAGCAGCCAGGTCAAGCGAGAAGCGACCGTGCTCAATGTCCTGATCGGGGGTGGCATAGACGCGGATAGGGATGCGGAAGGCATTGGTCTCGATGTAGTTCAGGTGACCGACAATGAAAGCCACGAGGTATGTGGACATAAGGGGAGAGGTGTTGAACTTGACCGCCTTCTTACCGCCGTCAACCTCGGTCTCGGAAGCAACGTCCATGTTGCTCAAGCAGGCCATGCTCTTGTCAGCAACCAGAGTAATGGTGAACTTGGCCTTGAGAGCGGGCTCGTCAAAGCAGGGGAAGGCCCGACGAGCATCGGTAGGTTCCATCTGAGTTGTAGCAATGTACTTGGTTTCACCCTCGGAGGTCTTGTATGAGGAGCGGTAGAAACCGGCCATGTTATCGTTGAGCTCGCCGGTGAAGGTCAGCTTCAGCTGAGCCGAGGAGCCAGCAGGGATCGTCTCGGAGAACTTGACGGTGGCCACCTGGGTGTCTTGGTTGATGGAAACCTCGGGCTGGGAGGCCACGACAGAGCCCTGGGCAGAAACAACGGCATTGTGGATCTTGATCTCGTTGGAGTTGAGGGAGATGGAATTGGTATCTTCGGTGACCTCGAGGCTACAGGATAGTGTTAGTTGAAGCTTCAGCTAGCTTACAGGAGCAGTCAGGATGGTGAAGGAGCACATACTCGATGACGACGGTTCCGTCATAGGTAAAAGCCTCAAATTTGGGCTCGAGAGTCAAGTCATAGTGAAGGGGCTTGACGTTGGTGGGCAGGACCTCACGACCGTGGGTGATGTTGGTCGAGCCCGACACTTCTCCACGACGTGTACCGCACATCCTGCGACAAGAGCAATACCGCTTTTGGGGCTTGGGAAGAGTAGTGGAGCGAAGAGGGGAACGACGGAGGACGGGAGGGGAAGAAGTGGAGGCAGAGAGAGGGGGGAGAGAAGATGAAGACGATGAGAAAGAGGCAGAAGCAGAAGCAGAAGTAGAAGAGAGGGATGGGAGAGAAGATATAGAGTGTGAATGAGTGGAGAGAGAGGAGGAGGAGGAGGTGGGGGAGGGGCAGAGCGCAGAGGAAGGTCTGATGCTGGCGGAGCTCCGGCGAAGGAGCGGTAACCGTCGGGCTGAGGTAAAGCGACGCATCTTTTCTTTTGGTAGTGGAATTATTATGATTGCAAATGCGAATGGGAGGTAGTGATAAGATAGCTAGAATGGGGATTGGAGAAGCTCAACCGAGGCAGAGCCAGGCAAGGAGCGAATGAGGACAGTGACAGCTGAATGGAACGAACTCAAACAAGCGCAATTGTCATTCAGCTTTGGCTCATGGAGAACAATCCCTTCGAATCTCTTTCAACCGTCACTTGAAGGCACTTGAGACGAAGGGAGGAAGAATTTCTCGTCCAGATAAGCAGGCGGTGAGTCCGCGTCTGAGCTCTGGTATTATTACCGTCATATTACTGCTCCGTCACGGGTCACGGGATGAACTAGTCCTCAACCGGTCAGTCTTCAGGGCTGGAGCTTGTCAGGGCTTCTCCGCATCACATGAGTCCGCTCAATTCTCCTATTTATTCCCCACCACCTCTTCCTCGCGCCTCTTTCTCTCTCCTCATTCATTTTACGCAAGCCAACTACCGCCGTATGCCTCAAATTCTCGTATGGTATATGGCGGTTCCGCCGTCCCTCCGGGGCCAGCGGTGCTTGCTAGACGGTGCTCCAGCCAGTTTGAGGGGTCCATGATTTGGGTCACGCGTTAGTCGTGCCCTTCCCGTGAATGGGCTTCCATAGAGGTCTGGGACATTAATCACTTTGGCTTAGCCATTTCTTTCATGTCATCGAATGCTAAGCCTTCAATCCTCGAATCACAATCTGAACCCATATCAGAAATAAAAGCTTTTTGTCTCACTTGGATTAGGGTAGCGCAACGCCACCATAGCAATGGTATCTCTCAAATGGTTTTAATAATACAAGAACTGAATGTCGAATGAAACCCCAAAAGTGCCCGAACCATGTTCGCAGCATCCTTCCCATGAATAAAGATTGGAAAAAAATTCCCGTCCATTGAAAATCAAACTCCGCATGTATGCGATGGTAATGTAAATATTATGATTATGCCATAAGCGGCTATGATGTTGAATCGTTCCTCATAAAAGCATTAGGCAACAAAGGAAGAGTGTCCCGACAGTCGGAGTCCGGTTGCCGTTCAGAACCAAACTTTCGGATCCAGGCAGCCACGTGCGCGCCTATTGCCGCTGCTCGGACGGCTGTGCAGCCTGGTTGATGGGCATCTTGGTGAACACGCTTCTGGACCAGCCATCGGCGTCAATCACAGACTCCTTGACCAGGATGTACCCTCCAAAGCGGGGCATCAAGATCGCCCACACCACGTAGTAAATGGCACCGAGCGAGAAGATACCCAACGCCACCACGCAGTGCAGGTAGTACGGCAGGCTCTTGTACACACTCTGTCCCGCGCTGGGAGGAATATACGGGGCAATCACCAAGTAGACGTTCGACAGAAAGAAGAAGACAGTGACCGGCAGGGTGGCGCGGATGCCAGGGGCCCAGTCAGGGAACTTCTTCGACTTGGTCAGATAGATGTAAATCAGACCAGCAGACACGAACACGTTGACAATCGACAAGGGATACGTGATCAGGCTGAAGAGTGGCCAGGTTAGTATCGAAGCTCAAATCCAGAACAATTTTGCAGAGACTCACTTGACCAAGAAGTTATAAGCGTCTCCGGGAGGAGGCGCCAACATGATGATGATGGAGACAACCCAGTGCTCGAAGAGACCAGTAGCCGGCGAGTTGAACGGCCGGTTGCTGGCCCAGAATTTCGACAAGGGCAGAACTCCCTCGCGACCCAGAGCCTGGACAACTGCAAATAGTCTTAGTACCGTTTCTTCACTAATCCGAAAACAAACAAGTGACTTACTTCGTCCCTGAGAAAAGATCACCGACAAGACATTGCCGAAAGCCGACAAGGCCACAAAGACGGACATGACTTTCTCGGCCCGTGCACCGAACATGTTCCCGAAGAAAGCGGCAGCAACAGTCTGACCAGAGGACAAGAACTGTTCCTTGGGCACCGCAGCGAAGTATGCGATGTTGCACAGCATGTACAGGATTCCGACGGAGCAGATAGCAATCGGGGCTGCGATCTTCAGGGTCCGGGTGGGGTTTTTCGTCTCGCTCAAGGCCTGGAAAGGTTAGCAGCCAGCCCACAAAGAGAGAGATCCTAGTAGCTCACATAGTTGGCGTTGGAATAACCGATAAAAGACCAGATAACATTGTATAAGGCCATGACGATGCCGTACCCGGTGTCGGTGGTACCCTCGAAAGCGTTCGTGAAGTTGTGGGGAGGGTTGTCGATCTTGACGTGGCCAGCAAGAGCCACCCAGCCGGTAACAACCACAAAGACGATGATGACCAGCTTGACGACACCCAGCGCGTTCTGCAGCATGAGGCCCCATTTGACTGCAAAGGAGTGTATCAAGAAGGCGACCGTGATGCACGCCAAGCCAATACCACGCTGATTCCATCGCCCGACCTCAACGTCGGCAGCATTGAGGATGTACTCGCCGAAGACGATACTGTTACTCGCAGCCCAACCCAACAGGACGGCGTAAGCCGCGTACATGGCCGTAACCAGAAACTTCGGCTTGGTGAAGACATATTCAAGATAGTTTTTCTCTCCGCCGTTCCTTCGCTCTGTCAGCATGTCAAGACAACCTGGCCTTGGAGGGAGGTAACTCACTTGGGAATCGCGGTACCCCATTCGAGATAGACGGCCGTACCGGCCATGGCAATCAAGGTGCCGACGACCCACATGATGAGGGACAGACCGACACTGCCGGCCAGGGAGAGAATGGTACTGGGGGTGGCAAAGATACCAGTGCCGATGACGCGGTTGAAAATCAGGAAGGAGGCACTGACCACACCGATCTGACGGCGGTCATCAGGAGTGGCCTCGAAGACATTTCCCTCGTCTGTGAGCCATCAGTCAGAACCAGCACATGCCTTGGGAGAACTGCCTGGGCAGGAGATCATCATACATAATCCAGAGACACCATCAGTTCTGCGAAGACCATCTTCGACAGGCTTGCCGCCGGCAAGAGGCACCTTGTAGCCAGACTCAGGCTCGATTTCACCCATTGCGACAGTGATCTGGAATCGAGAAAAAAAACCCTAGTGTATAGTCGTACTGATGAAGCCCCGAAGTGGGTGCAGGCTATATAGCGTGGGGAGGCAAGTGACAGCAGCCGGAGAGGAGGCGGTTACCGACGGAGGCACGAGACCGTAAGATGGGATGGTGTGCTGCGACTAAATTTGATGCAATCGAAGGCGACCAAACCAGCAGCAACTCCGAACGGTCAGGCGTCGACAGGATTGTCTGAGCAAATTGAGACAAGACACCAGTGGCCAACGGAATGGAAAGAAGAAAAAGTTAGATGCAAGCGCGACTGGAATCTATATCCTTGGCCCAGACACAGTACCAAGCTAGTATACCAGTCGCAGCGAACGAATTGGATGGGAGGCGGAACTATAGAGTGATTTAAAACAAGTCAAGGATCCAACAAAGAACAAGACGAGAAGGTATGGCAACAGTGACGTTTGACAGCAGTGACAACGACAAGGAGAAGAGTGCCGATTGAAGAGAGGAGGGGAAAAGACGTCAAGAGGTGGGAAAGAACAATTTTCATGCAGGGCGGGCGAAGCCATGTGGTTGGCGGATTTCCGCCGTTCGTCCAGCGGGCCTTAGCCCAGTACGAAGAGGAGTTGGATGGATCATGGATCAGGATGGATCATGGCTTCTTGTCTTGCCCTGAGGCAAAAGTGGCAGGGCCGCCAGGGCTAAGAAAAGTTTGCTGACGGGCGAACCCGCGGTGGGTGAAAACCGCTCCACCGCTGGGCCTACTCTAGGCCTCTTGGAGCCCATCTTATGACACACTTAAACTGAGCACGCCATTGTCCCCCTGCGATGATGAGTTAAAGTTAGGTAAGGTTTTGCACCATCCTGAGACAATCCAGGCTCTAGGCGGGGCTCACCGTGAGCCAAGACAAGCACTATTCCTTTTTATCAGTATCAGTTGTCACCCGAAAGAACAAATCAAGAATCAAGACAAACAAAAAAAGAGAGGACATAGAGATAGAAGTAAAATTCCTCTGATTATATGTATGTACAGTACAGCTTCGTCTGACTGGCAGTCCGTATCTGCTTCTAGAAGATCCATCCTCCAATTCCACCCCGGCTCCGAGATCCCAAAGTAATATCGTCATATCATATCCAAATGAGGTTGGTGGCATGTGTGAGTGTGGCAATTTGTGTGTGTACCTCTCCCAATCGGAACGCCTAACAATAGCCGTGCAAAACTCCGAAGGAAAGCAAATAAAAGCGCATAACTCCGTATGGTCGCAGTAACGCGTATAGCAAGAACCCAACCCGATATGAAGAAGCAGATCAAGCAGAAGAAGAAGCGGTCAAGGAAACAATGTTGGAAAATGTAAACCATAACTCACGAACTGAGATGAGGCAAGGTGGGAAATGCATCACCTATGGAGGAAAAGTGGCGACTCGAGCATGCGCAAGACACCCGGGGAAAGTCAAGAGAGCATGGTCCAGCATGCTCGAAGAAGGGAAAGACCAAGGGTTCGGGAATCTATTTAGGCGGCGTGGCTCCAATGGCATGTGCAACAGGTGGTGGGAACGCGGTGGGAGCCAACTTGCTCGGGCCACTCGACGGAGGAGTGACAGTGTGCCGTTTGGAGATCATGGCCAATTTCTTGCGGAGGGATGCCAATCGGCCCCGGATGCTGGACACCACTGTGGCACG